TTAGCCTCGGATGAAGCTTTTAATCTAGTGGCACATGAAGTGGCCCAGACAATGCCCAAGGTATTGTGAAATTTTATCTGAAACGATCTTATCTTCTTCATTGCATAGTCTTGTGAGATTCTGTGTGTTATGAGGTCTAGAGATTTACTTTTTTCCATTTTTTGGTTAGGTGCATCAAAATGGACATATACATAATGGACATATACATACAGGTAAGTATGGGTTTTTTTTGTGCTCTATTTGCGAGTGGAGGTCATTGCTTTTTGGTTGTAAGAAAAGCAATTTATTTAGATTTCCACGTTTCTCCAGGGATATCATGGAACAACCTTAGTCAAAGGGAAACATGTTCGCGTAATTGCATTGGTGTAGTGATCAGGTTATCGCGCCCCACTAGTGATAGGTATTTATTGAGATTCAAACTCGTGGATTAGTTTTATGACTCATTCTATGCTTTTCTCATCCAGTGTGTTATTTTTTTTTTGAGACTTTCAGGTGTTTTGGCCTAGTTAGACATTTTGATGAGTATTCAAGAAAGCACTCGGTATTACAATTAGCCAGTACTTGTTCACCATCGAACTAGGCAAAATCATTTAAGACCTTTCTTAACATCTTTAAACTTGGTACAGGTAATGTTCGAGGATGGTGTTACCGAGTTTGTCGACATGTCGAGAGAAGACTGGGAGATTGTCTAATATTGTTTTCAGGTGATTAATAATACTCTTTGTTTGATTTCACTATATGTCATGAAACAGTACAACTCCCAGAAGCATATAGAGTATTAAATAACCCTTGCTGCCATGTTTCTGCAGATTTCCTTGGAAAGAAGTTGAGAAACCTTGAATTATCTGTCTTGGTAAAGAATTTGGAAATGGTGCTGTGGCATTGTCCTTGCATCAAACTTGACCTGTGTTGTGCCATAATATAATGTTTGTAATATATACACCTACTTGTAAGTTGTAACCACATCTGTACTTTCTTCTCATTTCGTTTTTTTCATAAGCATCTCAAAATGATGATGATGTCTTGCAAGACTTTGTGGTGTATAATTTGACTTTGTACGGTTGTTGTACTAACCGGTAATCTCATTTCGGTTTATCTATTAGAGTTTGTCATTAAATACCGGTTTATTCTGAAGTTATTAGCACATGCTGAAAAACTGGTGCATCTGTGTCGGTGTCGCCGACAGAAGCCAAGTAAAGTAAGAGGTTTGCAAGTCTATAGCAAAAAAAATTCTCGCGAGTGTAAACCACGCGCCAACGACCGGTGATAGATCGGCGACTTGCGTGGTAGGTGGTGAAGTGGGTCTGTGGTTCTGGTTCACCTACTAAAAAATCAGGGGTTGGAGAAAGATAGTGACCAGTGAGTGACTTTGTGGTTGGTAAATTCTTTTTTAATACTCCCCTCTGTATGAATAGTTGTCGTTTTAACTATAATTACGTTTATTAAAAAAAAGTTGAAAATGACTATTTTAACTTCATCCTAAACAACAATTCACAATTTAGACTAAGTAATTGTAATCAATTAATTGAGGTTAATTTAGGAAGTCTAAATTGTATTGGAATGTCAAAACGACAACTAATTAACAAAAAAGAAAAAGTGTAGAACGACAAGTATTCGAATACGGAGAAAGTAATTATTATAGAATTCATGCTGTTTCATTTAAAAATATATAAACAGCATAATTACATCTGTAATAGTATAATCAATATCAACTCGCCTAAACAAGGATTATTGACATTAATTTATTAAACAAAGGATTATTTACATTAACCTAAAATATAATTATTTCTAAAAATGAAAATAATTTAAGGAAGTGGACGGGTAAGGTAAAGTCTAAAAACCACCAAACTTGTTGGCATCTCTCTGTTTAGTAGTAGTATAAAGCAGCGACTACAAGAACCTGAAACAACTCGCCTTCTTTTTCTGACATTCTTCTCCATTTCGAAAATCTCAATCGGGAGAAGATGAAGGTGATTGATAAGATCCAGTCATTGGCCGACGAAGGCAAAACAGCGTTTTCCTTCGAATTCTTCCCACCAAAGACAGAAGATGGAGTCGACAATCTCTTTGAGAGAATGGATCGAATGGTGGCTTATGGTCCAACGTTTTGCGATATCACTTGGGGAGCTGGTGGATCTACCGCAGATCTAACGCTTGATATAGCTTCGAGGATGCAAAACGTTGTTTGTGTTGAGAGTATGATGCATCTTACATGTACTAACATGCCTGTTGAGAAGATTGATCATGCTCTTGAGACCATTAGATCTAATGGGATTCAGAATGTGCTTGCTCTTAGAGGTGATCCTCCTCATGGTCAAGATAAGTTTGTTCAGGTTGAAGGTGGTTTTGGTTGTGCTTTGGATCTCGTTAATCACATTCGAAGCAAGTATGGTGATTACTTTGGTATCACTGTCGCTGGTTATCCTGGTAACGTCTCGAATTCGAATTCTTTTCTTCTTTTGGTGTGATTGTAGCTAAAGATTGGATTTTTATGTGTTTTGATATTTCAGAGGCTCATCCTGATGTTATTGGTGAGAATGGTCTTGCGTCTAATGAAGCTTATCAGAGTGATCTTGAGTATCTCAAGAAAAAGGTTTGTTTTTTTGTTTTTGTTTTGCTTTGTTCTTAAATGTTTCCATCAATTTTTGTTTGAATTTGGGTTCTGTCTTGGAACAGATTGATGCTGGAGCTGATCTGATTGTTACACAGCTTTTCTATGATACTGATATATTCCTCAAGTTTGTGAATGATTGTCGGCAAATTGGGATTAATTGTCCCATTGTTCCTGGAATTATGCCTATTAATAACTACAGAGGGTTCTTGCGTATGACTGGTTTCTGCAAGACTAAGGTAAATTTTGATCTTTTAGTTAAAAAAACAGTTCTTGCAAATGAATAACCTTTAAGGTGATGATGATATTGCTGTTGCCTTTCCATAAAGGTGTTTGTTTGCAAGCTTAAGATATCTTGATTTCAAAAAACTGTATATTGAAGGTTTCTTGATCACCTAGGTGAAATATGAAATTGAGATACTTGATTATATTAATGTAGATACCAGTTGAGGTCATGGCGGCCTTGGAGCCTATCAAGGATAATGAAGAAGCTGTGAAAGCCTATGGTATTCACCTTGGAACAGAGATGTGTAAAAAGATGTTGGCTCATGGAGTCAAGTCTCTTCATCTCTACACATTGAACATGGAGAAATTAGCTCTTGCAATATTGATGGTTGGTCCTTAGTTTTTCTACCACCTTTTGTACTTGTAAAAGCATCATACTGATAGTGGAGTAGCCTAACTATTTTGCTGGTGTTGCAGAATCTTGGTATGATTGATGAGTCCAAAATTTCTCGTTCTTTACCATGGAGACGCCCTGCTAATGTTTTCCGTACTAAGGAAGATGTGCGCCCCATTTTCTGGTAACAGCACTTAGTTTATCTTGTTCTGATTTTGCTTAGCCACAGATTTTAACCCGCTTGGAATATAACACTTGTGCTTTCTTATAATCTTTTGCAGGGCAAACCGTCCAAAGAGCTACATTTCTAGAACCAAGGGCTGGGAAGACTTCCCACAAGGCCGGTGGGGTGATTCACGCAGTGCTTCATATGGTGCACTCTCGGATCATCAGGTACTACAATACATCCTCTGTAATTGCATAACTCTCTCTCAGGATTTCATAGCAAATGGGGTTTGAAGGGATTTCATCAATTGGTCTTATTGATTTGCTCTAGATTGTTTAATGTAACATCTTCTTATGAGCTTCTCTGCTGAACTAAATGCTTTGTTGTCAGTTCTCACGTCCACGAGCACGAGACAAGAAGCTTGAACAAGAATGGGTTGTCCCACTGAAAAGTGTTGAAGATATTCAGGAGGTAGAACATTTCTTTCACTACCACACATTTCCCACACTTTTCACCTGTAAAAATAGGCAGACGCTTACTTACAATAATCTTGTCAAAAACTGTCAACATAACAGAAATTCAAGGAGCTCTGCCTTGGAAACCTTAAAAGCAGTCCCTGGTCTGAATTAGATGGACTCCAGCCAGAGACAAAGATAATAAACGAGCAACTGGTAAAAATCAACTCCAAAGGCTTCTTGACCATCAATAGCCAACCATCAGTCAACGCCGAGAGATCTGATTCCCCAACTGTTGGTGAGGATTCAGTCCCGTTAAGTCTCTGTTCTCATAGCAAATAGTGTTTCAGAGTTTTGATCCCTGATTCATCGATACTTCTGCTTGTGTATGATTTGCAGGATGGGGAGGTCCTGTTGGATATGTATACCAAAAGGCTTATCTAGAGTTCTTCTGCTCAAAGGAGAAATTAGATGCAGTGGTCGAGAAATGCAAAGCTTTGCCATCGATTACTTACATGTCTGTGAACAAAGGAGAAAACTGGGTATCGAACACTGCCCAAGCTGATGTGAATGCTGTTACTTGGGGAGTTTTCCCGGCTAAGGAAATCATTCAACCAACCATTGTCGATCCCGCTAGCTTCAAAGTCTGGAAGGATGAAGCATTTGAGACTTGGTCAAGAAGCTGGGCTAACTTGTACCCAGAAGCTGACCCTTCCAGAAACTTGCTCGAGGAGGTAAGTTAATATATTTTTTCTTGACCTGATCAGATTAGTTATTGCTCTTGACTAATGGACATTTCGATCCAAAATGCAGGTGAAGAACAGCTACTATTTGGTAAGCTTGGTGGAGAACGATTACATCAATGGTAACATATTCGCGGTCTTTGCTGATATTTGAGAAAATCAAGAAACACTTACAGTATATCAGTTTCCTACTGCTTTCAAGATTTGCTTTTGTACTTTCTCTAAAATATTGGGATTTTGGTTTTTACATCTGTCTACCATAACAATATTGTTGTGGCAGTAATGTTATTGATAAAAAGCATCAGTTTTACTACCTTAAAGATCCAAAACAAAACAATTCTTCGGCAAGTTTTGTTTGTGTTGAAAGTTCAGAGGAAAACTACAAAAAGACTCGCAAAAAGATAAAAAGGCTTTAAACGTTTGTTTATATTACTTGCAAATGATATCTAGGAAGAGGAATCTTAGGCTACACATTGGTTTAATGATCATAGATTGTTCACATTAGAGATTTTAACAGTACTAGAGAACAGTAGTAGAGATTTTAACAGTACTAGAGAACAATCCCAAGTTCTGATGGCTTTAATCCATTTCTCAAACGGTAATTGTAGAGATAGTAGTGCACCTGTCCACATCCTGGATAAAACCTCAACTCTTTCAAGAAACTCTCATTCTGCATCACATCCGATGCATAGAACACATCGAAACCTTTTTGCTTAGCGACGATTAGTGCATCATTCATCAACTGGGGAAACGAGGTCAGTGTCGCTACATTGCAGTAAGAATAAACACCTTTCACTGTCGTGTATTTCTGGTTACCGGGGATAGTTATAGAGACAGTGTAGAAGCTGCAGAAGTCAGTGACATCATGAGTTTCAGGGCTTACTACTAAGTAACTGTAGATGATATTTTCCCTTGGGAGAAGCCAGTGCTTGACATAGTTTTCATCAAAGTCAGTCGCAACTCCAAACTGGCAAAGGTATTTCCTGAGCAACTCTGTAACAGCGGGGACATCACGGCGCTCCATTTCCCTAAATCCAGGAGTGATCGGTGCATCTGGTAACTTGTAAAGTTTGACGGTCCTGCTCAATGTCATTCTGTCACGAAGCCTTGTCAACCCAGCATCGATTAGCTTCTTCGGGTTCAACATTCTGACCCAGTGTCTACAGGTGGTGACTGGTCTAGAAAGTATATGACGTGAGGTATAAGCCGCTTGCCATATATTCTGCAAGTGAACCCTTCTAGTCAACTCCTTGATCATGACAGGAGCAAGTCCCTTAGACCTGAGCTTCTTGTGAACACACAAGAAATTGATCTTTGCCATTTTAACAACCTCATCATGCACCCTAATTCTTTCTGGCACGCCACTGATGAAAGCAACAAGTTTCTTGGAGGTCTTGACACGGACTCCAATATGCCAGCTCCGGTAATAACCAGGTGGACACAATGCCCACCTTAGATACTCCCTGGAGTAATTATACTTGATATATCCCCCATCAGAATTGTTTTCCTTGAGAAAGTTGTACATCTCTGAACACACATCATCAGAGTTCACATCGCATATGGTCCATTCGAATTGACCAAGAAGGTAGTACGGCTCTTGCTTGACCTCAGACACCAAAGTTGCGGGCTCAATTGGGCCTTCAGGCAAACTCGTGTCCTGGATATCTTTAAACTGCCCAACAGGTTGAGTCTCCCAGAACTTATGGGTCATTGAACAACACTGGCACTGCAGTAACCTTCCAAGTATGGTTCCACCTGAAGTATCGTCCTTGGCTAATTGAATTTGTGAGCTCTTGGCATCAGCAACTAGTGTATCCTCCACAGGATTCAGTTTTGGATCTGACATTGTGATGTTTCCTCTGCACAAAAAATTTGATTGCTCATTCATGAAATACACAGGCGTATTAAGCTAGCAAGCAAAAACGCACTCTAGCAACAACCATGATGAATCAAAACTGAAAACGAATAAGAAACCCGAGCTAGCTAACCTAGACATAGCGATCCCAAAATCTCTAGCAACAACACACAAATACTTTCCCAAAATCGAGTATCGAATTTACAGATCGAGTTACATATTTCCATATAATCAAAAGGGGACAAAAATCGCTATGAAGAATCGGATACAAAGCCATGATTCGAAACAAAAACTGGGCGATAGTATCAACAATGACGAATTACTTACCAAAAGCTCTGGGCTGAAGAATCGGAAGAAGATCGCCGGAAAATAGTTGACCTACGATCGGAGAAAAGTGAGAGAAAAGATAAGTTCAAAATTTCTGGAGACACTGAGAGGCGAGCCGTCGCAGTGATTTAGACGATTTTGACCCTGAGATTTCTTCACAAACTTACCGTCAGATTGAGGCGAGTCCACGTGTCATCATCTGCCTTTTAAAACATTTGGCGCCATAATTCCCTCCTCAAAAATATTCAGTTGGTGCAAACGGAGACGGTCGTCGTCGCAATTTGTTAAAACAAACCTGACGGACTGTTATAATTGACGGACGAAAACAAACTGCAAAAATTGCCCCAACACAACTTTCATATTAGGCCTATTATGTAAAGGCCCAACAACATTAATCATGTGATCTGATTAATTTAGTTAAAACTCTAAGAATCCTACACGAATAATTCTTAGAGGCAGAAGAAGCATATATGATTTATTAGCAACAAAAGCAATATAATGGACCCAATAAAGTTGTGAACGTGACGGTCCTATGGTTTATATGTGACATTTGTATTGGGGGCATTTGAGCACCTTTGATACACCGAGGTATATGTTGCTTCACTGGAGGCGGCTAAGAAGGAGATTTGTAAAAGCGGAATCAACAAATGTGCCCTGGAAAAAAAAATATATATATTACTAGTTTATTTGTGACATTTGTATTGAGAAATACGTGTTCCATCAGAATCAATACCAAGCAGCAGTGATAATCATCAGCTTTTGGAGATCATCAACAAAAAGCAAACACTAAAGGATAATAGACTAAATCCCTAGAAAGTTAGCTTCTTTGTTAAAGCCGCAGCTAAATAAAGACAAAAATCAACCACTAAAGGAAGAAACCTAAAAACAAACTTCACATAAGACTAAAATCCCTAGAAAGTTAGCTTCTATGGTGAGTCAGTCATCTCGGATCGGGAAGCATTCGAATATGAATCTCAAATTTTTAACGAAAAATTCAAACTTTCCATTTAATAACAATCAAGAGCACGAGTAAGAGAACAAAAAAAAAAAGCCATTTTTTTTTGGTCCTCATGGGTGCACAAGATTAAACAAAGAAATGATTTACCTTTGATTCCTTCTTCTTCCAGAAATCGTACAAGCTTAATGAGACCCATAAATTATTCAGACGAAGAAGATGAAACAACTCTGCTCTTTGATTGGACTAAAAAGTCTACCCATTTTTTTTCCATGTTTGTTGTTCAAAAGAGTCTCTCTTTTTCTTTTTTTCCAATTTTTGTTCCCTACTTCGTCTATCCCAGAAAATGAAAATGCCCCAACACAACGTTTAGGAATTAGGAACACACAACTTGCCGCTCCTTTATTGGGCCCATTATTTCAAGGCCCACCAACATTAATCAGGTTTATCTGATTAATTTAAATTCCCACTAATTTATTTCGAGGGGCATCAATTGAGTCATTCAAACACTCTCTGTGAGTTTCAGTTGGCTGTGGAGGAGAATTACAGAGAGTATTCATATTGATTTGCAATAATGTGAGTGCCTACAAAAAAGCATCAGTTTCATTACCTTTTTATAATCCAAAACAAAAAGAAATCGTCTACTCCATCAACTAATCCACTTGGTCCTAGGAGACAGAATTGTCTTCACAAACTCGGATTGTTCTGACTTCTGATCTAGAATGTTGTTGTTCTTAGAGCAGTAGTGTTAACAGCACTAGAAAACAAGCCCAATTTCTGATGTCTTCAATGCATTTCTCAAACGGTAGTTGTAGAGATAGTAGTGCAACGGTGAATTTTTGGCACTAAACCTCAGCTCTTTCAAGAAAGTCTCATTCTGCATCACATCCAACGCGTAGAACACATCAAAACCTTTTTGCTTAGAGACAATTAGTGCATCATTCATCAGCTTGGGTAACGAGGTCACTGTTGCTACATTGTAGTAAGAATACGCACATTCCACTGTTTTGTATTTCCGGTTGGTGATAGTTGCAGGGACACTGTAGAAGCTGCAGAAGTCAGTGACGTCATGAGTTTCAGGGCTTACTACTAAGTAACTGTAGACGACATGTTCCCTTGGGAGAAGCCAGTGCCTGACATCGTTTTCATCAAAGTCAATCGCAACTCCAAACTGGCAAAGGTAGTTCCTGAGCAACTCTGTAACAGCAGGGACATCACGTCTCTCCATTTCCCTAAATCCAGGAGTGATTGGTGCATCTGGTAACTTGTATAATTTGATGGCCATGCTCATTGTCATTCTTTCACGAAGCATTGTTAACCCAACATCCATTAGCTTCCTCGGGTTCAACATTCTGCCAGAGTATAGGCAGGTGGTGACTGGTCTAGAAAGTATATAAGATGTGGCATAAGCCGCTTGCCATACATTCTGCAAGTGAACCCTTCTAGTCACCTCCTTCATCATGAAAAATGCAAGTCCCTTATACCTGAGCTTCTTGTGAACACACAAGAGATTGATTTTTGCAACTTTAACAACCTCACCACGCACCCTGATTCTTGCTGGCACGCCACTGATGAAAGCAACAAGTTTCTTCGAGGTCTTGACACGGACTCCAATATGCCAGTTCTGATAATAACCAGGCGGACACAATGCCCACTTTAGAAACTCCTTGGAGTAATCAACCTTGAACCTATGTCCGTCATCAGGATAGTTTTCCTTGAGAAAGTTGTACATCTCTGAACACATATCATCAGAGTTCATATCGCATATGGTCCATTCAAATTGACCAGGAAGGTTATACGGCTCTGGCTTGACCTCAGATACCAAAGTTGCGGGTTCAATTGGGCCTTCAGGCGAACTCGTGTCTCCGATATCTTTTATCTGCGCCACAGGTTGAGTCTCCCAGAACCCACTATGAGTCTTTGAACAACACTGGCAATGCAGTAACCTTCCAACTATGGTTCCACGTGAAGTATCGTCCTTGGCTAATTGAATTTGTGAGCTTCTGGCATCAGCACCTTGTGCGTCTTCCACAGGATTCGGTTTTGGATCTGACATTTTGATATTTCGTCTGCACAAAACAATTTGATTGGTCCATCATGAATACACAGCAAGGGAAAACGCACTCTAGCAACAGCCATGAATCAAAACTGAAAGCGACAAAATCCGAGCTAGCTACAGTATGAAGCGTTATCAAGATTAGTAACCCTAGACATAGCGATCCCAAAATCTCTAGCAACAACACACAGATACTCCATATAAACGAAACGGGACAAAAATCGCTATGAAGAATCCGATATAAGGCCATAAAACGAAACAAACTCCCAAGAAAACTGAGCGATACTATAGTATCAACAATGACGAATGACTTACCAAAGGCTTCGGGTTGAAGTGCGAGAGAAGAATCGGGAGATGATCCGCCGGAAAATAGTTGAGTTTTACGATCGGAGAAAACTGAGAGAGAACGAAACGGAACAAAGATGGCAAGCTCTGGGTCTAAGAATCGAAACAAAAACAAAGAAAAGTGAGCTATAGTATCAAAAAATGACGAATTTAATCACCAAAAGCTCTGGGTTGAAGAATCGGAAGAAGATCGCCGGAAAATTGTAGAGAGAGAAACAGAGAGGCAGGGAAGGAGATGACGCAGAAATGTAGACGATTTTGACCCTGAGATTTCTTCAAAAGGTACCGTCAGATTGAGGCGATTCCACGTGTCATCATCTGCCATTTCAGAAATTTGGCGCCATAATTCCCTTCTCAAAAACAAAAACATTCAGTTGGAGCAAATGGAGACGGTCGTCGCACGTGAAAGATTGCCGTTACACAAACTTGAGTCACTTGACGCTCCTTATTGGGCCTATTATTTCAAGGCCCACCAACATTAATCTTGCGCGTATCTGATTAATTTAATCAAACTCAAGCAAAAACCTACACGAATTCTTAAGAGGCCGAAGCTTATTGTGTTGGGACTTGGGAGCATTTGACATTTGAGCACCTTTGATACCACCAGTATACAGCGTTGCTTTACAAGCCCAATCAACAATATGCCCTGAAAGAAACAAAACTATTGCTTAATATCACTAATCTTCCATCAAATCAATACCAACCAGCAGAAATAATCACTAATCAAAATCATTAAAAATAAAGAAAATCAATAAACCATTAAATGAAAAAACCCAAGAACAAACTTCTCATAGACTAATCCCCAGAAAATAAGCTTCTTTTTAGAGTTATTAATCTCGGGTTGGGAAATATTCGTTATGAATCTAAATTAAAAAAAAAAAAAAACCCATCTAATTAACAATCAAGAGAAAAAAACCCAATTTTTTCCCCTCATGAATAATTTAACTTTGATCCCCTCTAATAGGTCGGAAGCTAATTGAGCCTCTTCTTGCAGATTAGAGGAGGACTCGGCTCCAGTAGGAGCTGCCACTTTTGGGGTTTCTATTGCCATCCCAACTTGAGTCTAACAAGACACCATTATACGATAGATCGTACAAGCTCAACGAGAGATTCAGACGAAGAAGAGATACTCTGCTCTGCTCTTTGATTTGAGTAAAAGTCTACTCTTTTCTTTTTTTTTCCCAAAAAGTCTCTTTTATTTACTTTTATTTCCCAACTTTTGTTCTCCTTTCCAACAAATGCCCCAACACAACTTTCATTATTTACATTAAGCCCCTCACGTTAAGGAACTCAACAACTTGACACCCTTATTGGGCCTGTTATTTCAAGGCCCACCAACATTAAACATCCGTATCATTAATTAATTTAAACTCGCGTTAATTTATTTATTTTGAGTGTCATCAATTGAATTGTGACTCGTTCAAACACTCTATGTAGGTTTCAGTGGACTGTGTTACAGGCCCAATAATAACACCGGCCTATCTAGCATTAAAGTGATCAAAACGACGTCACTTTACCTTTATAATTTAGTGATGTTAAAAGAACACGATCTCGAGAAAACCCTAAACGGACGCCAGCCCTTTAGCTTCTCTGTTTCTTGGAGATGAAGCCGTCTGATGTCGTCAGTGCCTCTGATAGAGCTGAACACGGCAAGATCTCACAAATCCAGTCTCAAAACATGTCACAATTTCAGCCTATCTCTAAAGAAGAGAAAGTAGATCAAATCGTTGAAGCAAACCCATTAGCCAAGGACGATACATCAGTTGCAAGGTTACCAAATTCAAAGACCCATAAGTTCTGGGAGACTCAACTGGTTGGGCAGTTCAAGGATATCGGAGACACGAGTTTGCCTGAAGGTCCAGTTGAGCCCGCAACTCCGTTATCTGAGGTCAAGCAAGAGCCATACAACCTTCCTTCTCCTTATGAATGGACCACATGCGATTTGAGCTCTGATGATATGTGTTCAGAGGTTTACAACTTTCTCAAGGTACATCATCCTGATGACGGATATTTGTTCGAGGAAACTTATTCCAGGGAGTTTCTAAGGTGGGCATTGTGTCCACCTGGTTATTACCAGAGCTGGCATATTGGAGTCCGTGCCAAGACCTCGAAGAAACTCGTTGCTTTCATCAGTGGCGTGCCAGAAAGAATTAGGGTGCATGATGAGGTTGTTAAAATGGCAAAGATCAATTTCTTGTGTGTTCACAAAAAGCTCAGGTCAAAGAGACTTGCTCCTGTCATGATCAAGGAGGTGACTAGAATGGTTCACTTGCAGAATATATGGCAAGCGGCTTATAGCTTACCTGATATACGCGCTACACCAGTCACCACCTGCCAATACTGGGTCAGAATGTTGAACCCGAAGAAGCTAATCGATGTTGGGTTTTCATGTCTTCGTGACAGAATGACAATGAACAGAACCGTCAAACTTTACAAGTTACCAGATGCACCGATCACTCCTGGGTTTAGGGAAATGGAGGGACGTGATATCCCGGCTGTTACAGAGTTGCTCAGGAACTACCTTAGCCAGTTTGGAGTAGCGACTGACTTTGATGAAAACGATGTCGAGCACTGGCTTCTCCCAAGAGAAAATGTCGTCTACAGTTACGTAGTAGAAACTCATGACGTGATTACTGACTTGTGCAGCTTCTACACTGTCCCTTTAACTGTCGTCGATAACCCGAAATACAAAACAGTGGAATGTGCTTATTCTTACTACAATGTGGCGACAAAGACCTCGTTACCCCAGCTGATGAATGATGTGCTAATCGTCTCTAAGCGAAAAGGTTTTGATGTGTTATACGCGTTGGATGTGATGCACAATGAGAGTTTCTTGAAAGAGCTGAAGTTTGATCTAGCAGATGCACAGATGCACTACTATCTCTACAATTACCGTCTGAGAACTGCATTGAAGCCATCAGAACTTGGGATTGTTTTCTGAAAAGCTCTACAACAACTTGCGCTGGATGATATTAGTTTTGTATCATCAACAAACTTGATTTTTTGTTTATTTTCAATTTCAAATTTTCAATATCAATTTCTGAATTTATTCTTTGAGGAGGCAGTCTTTTTGCTGGTTTTAAGAACAGAGACAGTGATGTATAGCACAAACAAAATCTAATAAGGAGATTTAAACACACACGTTACACGTATGTAACATTATGATACTTTTGTATTTTCAACTTTTAAATATTCATATACTCTGATCGATATCAACCGTCAAAAACATGGGTACGTTTTACTCTTAACAAATTTATAAGTCTTAAAAGAAACATAGAAGAAGAATAGTTGTATGAGTTCGTCTGTATTCGAATATAGGTGATGGTTCAATGTTTTATTAGTACTATGGACAAAAATTTCCATCCTTCTCTTCTCTTCTCTTCACAAAAGTTGTAATCATTATTAATTTTTTTTGTCATTTTTAACCAAAAACATTAGTACTGGTCAGCTTATCACCGCAAGTCCAAATTCACAATTATCGTAAAGCTTATGGTAAAGGAACTTGTGTTGAACTTTCTCATAAGTGTTATCTTTCACCTCCTTAACTCTCACTGTTTTAGGGTTGTTGACTTAATGACTTAGCTAGGCTTCTTGAATTTAGTCACACAACACAACTTTCTTCTTCTTGTATTGCACTCTTGCTTCCTCTTCTTCTTGTCGATTCCCTCTTCTACCAAAAACACCAATTATAATATATTCACCAAAGAAAACACCAATTATAATATGGGCTTAACTGAAGCCCAATAATGGCCCTCTTAAGTTCATGACATAAGACCTCACTGTCTTCTTTGACTATCCCTTTGTCGTTGACTTTGCTTCTTCTTCTTCTTCTTCTTCTTCTTCTTCAATGCTTCAGTTTCTTCTCTGTTCTTCATCCTGCCGATTTATTATTTTCTTTTAGAAGGTTTGATCAAAGGCTCAAGATTCAACAACTTGGCTTGGCCTCGGCACATTCCATGTCGAGGGAATGGTCCAACGTTATGCGATATCACTTGGGGAGCTGGTGGAACTACCACAGATCCCGCACGACATCGCTTCGAGGATGCAAAACGTTTTCTGCGTTGAGGGTATGATGCCTATTCTATTTTGAATTCAATTTCTGGTTTGGTTTACATGTAATTTGTAGCTTAAAAATTTGATTTTTGTGTGTTTGAATTTCAGAGACTCATCATTATGCGTCGAATGAAGCTGTGAAAGCCTATGGTCTTCACCTTGGGATAGAGATGTGTATAAATATGTTCAGGTCTCTTCATCTCTACACATTGAACATGGAGAACACAACTCTTGCAATATTGATGGTTGGTCCTCGTTTTTCTACTACCTTTTGTATTTGTAAAATATATGTTAAGCATCATACTGATAGTGGAGTAGCCTAACTATTTTGTTGTTGTTGCAGAATCTTGGTATGATTGATGAGTCCAAAAATTTCTCCTTCTTTACTAAGGAAGATGTGCGCCCCATTTTCTGGTAACAGCACTTAGTTTATCTTGTTCTGATTTTGCTTAGCCACAGATTTTAACCCGCTTGGAATATAAGACTTGTGCTTTCTTATAATCTTTTGCAGCGCAAACCGTCCAAAGAGCTACATTTCTAGAACCAAGGGCTGGGAAGACTTCCCACAAGGCCGGTGGGGTGATTCACGCAGTGCTTCATATGGTGCACTCTCGGATCATCAGGTACTACAATACATCCTCTGTAATTGCATAACTCTCTCTCAGGATTTCATAGCAAATGGGGTTTGAAGGGATTTCATCAATTGGTCTTATTGATTTGCTCTAGATTGTTTAATGTAACATCTTCTTATGAGCTTCTCTGCTGAACTAAATGCTTTGTTGTCAGTTCTCACGTCCACGAGCACGTGACAAGAAGCTTGAACAAGAATGGGTTGTCCCACTGAAAAGTGTTGAAGATATTCAGGAGGTAGAACATTTCTTTCACTACCACACATTTCCCACACTTTTCACCTGTAAAAATAGGCAGACGCTTACTTACAATAATCTTGTCAAAAACTGTCAACATAACAGAAATTCAAGGAGCTCTGCCTTGGAAACCTTAAAAGCAGTCCCTGGTCTGAATTAGATGGACTCCAGCCAGAGACAAAGATAATAAACGAGCAACTGGTAAAAATCAACTCCAAAGGCTTCTTGACCATCAATAGCCAACCATCAGTCAACGCCGAGAGATCTGATTCCCCAACTGTTGGTGAGGATTCAGTCCCGTTAAGTCTCTGTTCTCATAGCAAATAGTGTTTCAGAGTTTTGATCCCTGATTCATCGATACTTCTGCAGGATGGGGAGGTCCTGTTGGATATGTATACCAAAAGGCTTATCTAGAGTTCTTCTGCTCAAAGGAGAAATTAGATGCAGTGGTCGAGAAATGCAAAGCTTTGCCATCGATTACTTACATGTCTGTGAACAAAGGAGAAAACTGGGTATCGAACACTGCCCAAGCTGATGTGAATGCTGTTACTTGGGGAGTTTTCCCGGCTAAGGAAATCATTCAACCAACCATTGTCGATCCCGCTAGCTTCAAAGTCTGGAAGGATGAAGCATTTGAGACTTGGTCAAGAAGCTGGGCTAACTTGTACCAAGAAGCTGACCCTTCCAAGATTTGCTTTTGTACTTTTTCTCTAAAATATTGGGATTTGGTTTTTACATCTGTCTACCATAACAAATAAACAATATTGATGTGGCAGTAATGTTACTGATAAAAAGCATCAGTTTCACTACTTAAAGATCCAAAACAAATTTGTCTGAAAAAAGATTCCCATGAATATTAGGCTAAACATTGGTTTAATGATTGTTTACTTACATTCGGGATCAAGCAGTAACAGTTTTAACAGTAGTAGAAAAGAACAGTTTACTAGAGAACAAACCCAAGTTCTGATGGCTTCAAGTCTTTAACTCTCATTGTGTATCAGACGAACAACGCATCATTCATCAGCTGGTTTCAATGTACTCAGAAGACAATCCCAAACTCTGATGGCTTCAATGCACTTCTTAAGCGGTAGTTGTAGAGATAGTAGTGCATCTGTGAATCGTCAAGTTTAAACTTCAAGTCTTTCAAGAAAGACTCATTGTGCATCACATCCAAAGCGTAGAAAACATCAAAACCTTCTTTCTTAGAGACGATTAGCGCATCTTTCATCAGCTGGAGTAACGAGGTCTGTGTTGCCACATTGTAGTAAGAATAAGCACATTCCACTGTTTCGTGCTTGGGGTTATTGTCGTCGATAGTTAACTGGACAGCGTAGAAGCTGCACAAGTCAGTGATCACGTCATGAGTTTCTACTACGTAACTGTAGATGACATGTTCTCTTGGGAGAAACCAGTGCTCAATATCGTTTTCATCAAAGTCAGTCGCAACTCCAAACTGGCTTAGGTAGTTCCTGAGCAAACCTGTAACAGCAGGGACATCACGTTGTTCCATTTTCCTAAATCCAGGAGTGATTGTTGCATCTGGTAAATTGTAAAGTTTGACTGTCAGTCTCTTTGCCGTTGTGTTGTCAAGAGCACATGAAAACCTAACATCCATTAGCTTCATCGGGTTCAACATTCTACCCAGTATTGACAAGTGATTAATGGTGTAGCACGTTTAGCAGGTAAGCTATAAGCCGCTTGCCATATATTCTGCAAGTGAACCCTTCTAGTCACTTCCTTGATCATGACAGTAGGAAGCACCTTCTTAGACCTGAGCTTTTTGTGAATACAAAAGAGAGTGATCTTTGCAATTTCAACAACCTTATCATGCACCCTAATTCTTTCTGGCACGCCACTGATAAAAGCAGCGAGTTTCGTCGAGTTCTTGGCACGGACTCCAATATGCCAGCTCTGGTGATAACCAGGTGGACACAATGCCCACCTTAGAAACTCCCTGGAATAATTTTCCTGGAACAAATATCTCTTATCAGGAAACTGTTCCTTGAGAAAGTTGTACACCGCTGAGCACATATCATCAGAGTTCATATCGCAGGTGGTCCATTCATAAGGAGAAGGAAGGTTGTATGGCTCTTGCTTGACCTCAGATAATGGAGTTGCCGGCTCAACTGGACCTCCATCAGGCAAACTCGTGTCTCCGACATCCTTAAACTTGGTATCAGCAACGATTTGATCTGCTTTCTCTGTTTTAGAGCCAGGCTGAGATTTTGACATGTTTTCAAGCTGGATTTTTGAGCTTTTGCAGTCCTCAGCTCTATCACATGCATTGACATCAGACGGCTTCATCTCTTTCTTGACCTCAGATAAGATAGTTGCGGGCACAACTGGACCTTCAGCCAAACTAGTGTCTCCCATATCCTTCAACTTGGCATCAGGAACTAGTGCATCTACTGTTAACCTCTTCAGAGATTCTTCCGCCTCCACCAGTTTATTGACACAACATGTTGAAACGAAAATTCCAGCTAGTGAAATAGCTTCAGTGGCTAATTTCGCTGATTTGAAAATGTCATCTGACTTGGGGATTGCATCTTCAGCGAATAGTTTTGCCTGCAATGCAGCACTAGCTGCGAGTTTGGCGGCAGCAGCTGCCACCTTGGCCATCACAGCAATCAAAGCTAATCTATCTTGAGTTTCAAGCTGGAGATTTTGTTGGTCATCGATTAAAATGTATTCACTTGGACTCAAAACAGCTGCATCAGCCCAATCAGATGACGCAGATGCATGTGTGACAGCTTGGTTTAGTTCAAAAAGGGTAAATTCCAACAAAGCTCTATGGGGGTTAACTTCAACACCATCTTGATCGCCATTAGTAGGTGAATTAGGTTGAGTTTTGAGTTCAGATGTTGTCCACGATAGATCAGTCCCTTGATCTGACATCTCCGTTTTCTGCACGTTATGTTCGATACACAAGGCATTAGACGAAACAGGACACATGGAGCTATGAAGAATCCTATACAAAGCCATCATTCGAAACAAAAACTGGAAGAGCAATTCTGGGAGATAAAAGAGACAGGGCAGAGATCGACTTAGATTCCATGTAAACGAAACAGGACACATGCAGAAATATAGACGAAACAGGACACATGTAGCTATGAAGAATCCTATACAAAGCCATCATTCGAAACGAAAACTGGAAATAATTGAGCAATTCTGGGAGATAAAAGAAACAGGCCAGAGATCTACTTAGATTCCATGTAAACGAAACATGACATAGATCTGAAGCAAAGTTACATGGATTCTGATGCAAAACCATAAATCTTAACAAACACGGAGCCATAGAATCGATAGTGAAGAATTACGTACGGAAAGCTCCGGATTGAAGTGAGACAACAAGAACAGTATCAAGAGCGCCGGAAATAGTAGAGATACGATCTGAGGAAACGAAATTGGGCAAAGAACGAGTTAGGTTTTGCCATGTAAATGAAACGATACAAAGTTTGCAAGAAAAGGTTCACAGAGTCGTCCGAAACAAAGCCATGAATCTAAAGAAAATCCAAGAAAAGTGAGATATAGTATCAACAATGACGAATTTCATTACCAAAAGCTCTGGGTTGAAGAATCGGAAGAAGATCACCGGAAATTAGTAGAGCTACGATCGGAGAAAAGTGAGAGAAACACAGAGGCGGGGAAGGAGAAAGATTCTAATTTTGCAATTTGGTATATAACAAAACGGCTTTAAGATGACGCGTAAATTCTTTAGGACGAATTTACCCCTGAGATCTCTTCAAAACTCACCGTCAGATTGAGGCGAGTCCACGTGTCATCATCTGCCTTTTCAAAACTTTTGGCGCCATAATTCAGTTAGAGCTAACGGAGACGGCCACGTGAAAGATTTCCGTTAAACAAACTTGACGGACCGTTAAAATCGACGAAAACAAACTTCAATTAATGAGCCCCTCGCGTTCAAAAACACACAACTTTAACGCTCCTTATTGGGCCTTTTATTTCAAGGCCCACCAATATTAATCATGCGTATCTGATTAATTTAATTAAACTCAAGCAAAATCCGATTCCAATCTCTTTTCCATTCAGAAAGAGAATCGATTATAGTATGTTGTTGCTTCACTCGAGGCTGGTGAGAGAGGATCAAACATAGGATTGAGAATGCAACCGTTAAAGCCGAATCAACAAATATGCCCTGAAAGAAACAAAACTATTAAGTTTGTATTCAGAAATACGGGAAAAATGTCATTTAATCGTCCAACTTTCAAAAAATGGCCATTTTATACATGAACTTTATAGAAGACCATTTTAAACATCAACTAAACGTTGACTGCCGTATTAAACATGAGACTGCGTTGACCTGGCCAATATATACATGACGTTAAAACTCGATAACGGAACCACTAACAGCCGTTATCAGCCGTTAGCTATTCTGTTAGTTAAATCGTCAACTTTCAAATTTAGGCCATTTTAAACATGAACTTCGTATGAGGCCATTTTAATCATCAACTAAACGTTGACCCGGCCAAAAAAGACATGACGTTAAAATCTGCTAACATAACCACTAACAACTGTTATCAATCATTAACGAACAACAAAACTAAAACAAAAAAAAACATAATACAAAGAACCAAAACACAAACCAAACACCAAAGACACTAAATACCAAAAATAAGAAATTTGTTCTTGATTACTAGTGTGCAGACGAATGGTGAGATCAAGAGAGGTGAACGTAAGACACTAGACAATGATAAGAATTAGATCAAGAAAGATGAACGTAAGACATTAGACAATGGGGTTAATATCCCCATTTTGTTCCATATTCCCATTTGCATACATATTATGTACTTTCATCATGCTTCTCCTCAAATTAAGTATTCATCTGTTCTTTTCTCTCAATTTTCGTATCATTGTCTAGTGTCTTTCGTTCACCTCTCTTGATTTCACCATTGGTCTACACACTAATATCCAAAAACAGATTTCTCATTTTTGGTTACTAGTATGTCTTTGGCGTTTGGTTTGTGCCTTGGTTCTTTGTATTATGTTTTTTTTTGTCTTAGTTTTGTTGTTCGTTAATGATTGATAACAGTTGTTAGTGGTTATGTTAGCAGATTTTAACGTCATGTCTTTTTTGGCCGGGTCAACGTTTAGTTGATGTTTAAAACGGCTTCATACGAAGTTCATGTTTAAAATGGCCTAAATTTGAAAGTTGACGATTTAACTAACAAAATAGCTAACGGCTGATACGGCTGTTAGTGGTTCCGTTATCGAGTTTTAACGTCATGTCTATATTGGCCAGGTCAACGCAGTCTCATGTTTAATACGGCAGTCAACGTTTAGTTGATGTTTAAAATGGCTTCCTATGAAGTTCATGTATAAAATGGCCACTTTTTGAAAGTTGGACGATTAAATGACATTTTTCCCTCAGAAATACTATCTGTTCCATCAAAGCAGGAGTAATAATCATTAATCAAAACCAAAGAAAAGTAAAAAAAAATTTACTATATCGTCAATAAAATCCAACTTCATCACATCATCATACTGTGAATGACAGTCCTTTTTCTCCAGAGGTTTTGTTTTTGACATAAAACAAAGGAATTTGAACTCACTCATCCAACAAGGAAGAGCTCAACAACAGGAACTGAAGGTGGATCAGTCTGTTCAGGTGAATTCTTCTGCCTCCTACTAACAATCATCAACTTTTGGATCATCAAAGCAAACACTAAAGGATAATAGACAAAGAACAATAATGACTTGTCACTTGTTTTTACTTTTCTTCTTTGTAGAAGCCTCGGCTAAAAAAGAAAAAGAAAAAAAAATCAATCAGCCATTAAAGGAACAAACTTTTTTTTTTTTTTTTTTGTTAATTAAAAGGAACAAACTTCACATAGGGTAATCCCTAGAAAGTTAGCTTGTATGGTAACAGTCATCAATCTTTGGGAAGCATTTCGTATATGTAAGCAGAGTTATTAATCTTAATTAAAAAATAATAATCCAAAATTCACGAGAAAGAGAAATTGTTTCCTCATGGGTCAACAAAACACAAGAAATGATTTACCTTTAATTCCTTCTTCGTCTTCCAGATTATCCTCCTCTTCAACTACCTTCACTTCAGCATTGATCAAGATTCTTGGATAGGTGAGAAGCTAAATTGAGCCTCTTTTCCATTAAAAGAGGACTCGGCTCCAGTATCCACCTCCGTAGGACTAGGAGCTGCCACTTGTGGGTTTCTATCGACATCCCAACTTGAATCTAACAATGCACTATTCGAGAAATCTTACAAGCTCAATGAGACGCGGAAATTACAAAGCAGAAGAAAGTCTGCTCTTTGATTTGAATAGAAGAAAGTCTACTCTTTTTTTTCCAAGTTCCAACTTTTTTGTTATTCTCCGTCTATCCAGACAAAATGAACAAAAGATAAGGGAATTACAAACAAATGCCCTAGCACTACTTCATATTTACATTAATAAGCCCCTCCTTATCGGGCCCATTATTTCAAAGCCCACTAACATTAATCAGGCGTTAAACTCCCATTATTTATTGACAAAAGCTACGAAGATACGCATCGTTTCACGGACAAGAAAACCGTTACACTTATATCGAATTAACCTAAAAGGCTAAAGCCTAGCGTTTTCTCTTGTCGAATTTACGTCGTTTATTTTCCGTTCTAGTTATTAGTTTCAATGTTTCACTGCGACAGCAAAACAACCACATCTAGTCTTAGCTTGATTTTATTCTCGAAGAATTGTTTTTTTTTTTTTTTTTTTTTTGATAAACCCTATCGGCTATCCGGTCGGCCCCGGTAGGAACGCACCGAGGTGCTACATAGTGGACTGGTCCACCGTGTTAACGGTTAGGCCCTTATGGGCTATCACTCTGCCTATCCCGAATTTGGAATGCCTTCCGACTAAGTGCCAGGGGTAGTCAGGCCGCCTGCATTTCTGGCTACCAGGTAAACCAATTGGGCCAAGGTCCAACTGACAGACTTCCCAAACAAATGTATTTTTTGTTTCCAGGGAGAATCGAACTCAGGTTTGGGAGTTTCACCCTTTTCCAAAGCTTCCTCTGCCACTAGACCACGGATGCTTGGGCGAAGAATTTGTTGTGAGACAATATTAGATGTTTGTGAATTCGATCCCAAGAAAATAATACTAAATTTTTTGTTGTGCACTTGCACAAGTGTAATAGGGTTAAAACGCGTTGTTATCACGTCTCACTCAACTGAAGAAATCTCCAAGTTCACAACTATAGTCATCGCGGTATATATGAATCATACCGTATGATCCAATACCTTAAAAGATCGTTGGACAAAACGAAATCAACAATTTCTGTAACCCTCGTCTTGCTTATTGTGCCATAATGAAATGCTTCTTGGAATATTCTCGTATATTATCATGTCATGACTTTAACCTTGATCTATACCTTAAGCTTTTGTTCCTTTGTTTTTTTTACATGGAATCCACAAACAGAAAAATGAAGCTGGAAAGAGATGGTTATAGAAGTAGACAAACATGCTGAACAACAAAGAAGAAGATGAATCACTAACCATGCTATCATACTCCAATCAAATAAACTGCTAAGAACCTAGCCTCTACCCAAACCAAAACCCCCATAAGTTAGTAGTAGTACACATTCAAAAGCTAGTTTGAGAGAGAGTGCCCTTTATAAGGCATTAGTTAAGCCTCATTCATCAAAAAATGGGCAAGATAAGCAAATGATACTAAGACAAATAGAAAAAAACATAACAAGAATCAAAAACAAACCCCGATGGAGATCTTGCAGAGTCTGCTCAACATGCTTGATCTTTCAAGGCCAACGGCGGAGCTTGCAACTTTTGGACCATTTAGTTAAATTCCAAGTGAAAGAAAAGGGGAAAGACAAGATGAGAGGGAAAGAATCACCATGTACATGTGATGATGGAGAGAATCAGGGTAGAAGCATAATGTGCCATAGTTAGTGATGATGGAGCCATAACAGTAGCAAGAAGTTGAGAATCAGATGATGTAGATACACTACGGCACTATGCCCTGAATCTACCCCATCAGCCTCATTCAGACTGACATTCTCATTTGCAGACACATCAAAGTCTTCCGCTTAATGGACAACCAGAAAGATAAATAGCTTTATATAGCAACAAGATGATGAAGATAGAGAGTTCTAATATGCGTAAAAGGGAATATTCAATCATGGTAAACAAATTCCATCAGTTGGCGTTGGTATTTACTTAGTTAGTACGAGGGAGTAGTATGTCAAGACCACCAAAGCAAGGTTCAACAAGAAGGAAATTTGTTCATAATCGATCAAGAAATTGATTATGAAGGTGTATTGAAAATCTCAAATTGGTTGTCTAGGTTTTTATGTGTTTTTTTCTTTATTTTGAAAAATAACTACTCTCTCTTTGGTTTCATGTGTAAAATTCATATATTACTTGTTATATTTTATCAACAATGTGTTTTTCTTAGATTTGTTCTTTGCTTTCTTAGGCCGTTAGGTCAAGCATCGCCTTGTTTAAGCGCGTTTGCATCTCAAAAAGCAGGGGCTTAAAAATGTTTGAGACAATAGAGAGAAGACCTTATATAGAGATTCTTATAAATTTGTGAAAGCTTCCTCAGGTTTGGATACAAAGGTTGGAGAACCGGTACACAGCTTAATTCAGGCGCATAGAAACAGAGAATCGCAGTGGCTAGAACAAGCGTGCTAGAAGCAGAGTGTGGTTAAGAAGCACTTGATAGAATCATGGTTAACCGTACTACAATTGTATCGATCAAGCAAAGTAAGAAACGTGGATATGACCTGTTGCAGCTATACAGATGTGATTTGATTTGGCCAATTTGATAATCAGGTCTTCACACGGAACTACTCAAAGATCCGGGAGAAGCATATTCTCTGCTCATACGTCTACGACAAGAAAAGAAATCGGATGAGTAATCCAGTGGATAAGCAAAAGATGTCATCAATTGAGTCAGTCATTCAACTGTATATGAGTTTCATTGGACTAAGTTACAGGCCCAATAATAATAACGTCGGCCATCTAGCATTAAAGCCACTAAACACTTTTCCTTAATATTTTAGTGATGTATATAAACAAAACTCTGAGAAACCCTAAACAGACGCCAGCCATTTAGTTTCTTTGTTTCTTGGAGATGAAGCCGTCTGATGTCAATGCATGTGATAGAGCTGAGGACTGCAAAAGCTCAAAAATCCAGCTTGAAAACATGTCAAAATCTCAGCCTGGCTCTAAAACAGAGAAAGCAGATCAAATCGTTGCTGATACCAAGTTTAAGGATGTCGGAGACACGAGTTTGCCTGATGGAGGTCCAGTTGAGCCGGCAACTCCATTATCTGAGGTCAAGCAAGAGCCATACAACCTTCCTTCTCCTTATGAATGGACCACCTGCGATATGAACTCTGATGATATGTGCTCAGCGGTGTACAACTTTCTCAAGGAACAGTTTCCTGATAAGAGATATTTGTTCCAGGAAAATTATTCCAGGGAGTTTCTAAGGTGGGCATTGTGTCCACCTGGTTATCACCAGAGCTGGCATATTGGAGTCCGTGCCAAGAACTCGACGAAACTCGCTGCTTTTATCAGTGGCGTGCCAGAAAGAATTAGGGTGCATGATAAGGTTGTTGAAATTGCAAAGATCACTCTCTTTTGTATTCACAAAAAGCTCAGGTCTAAGAAGGTGCTTCCTACTGTCATGATCAAGGAAGTGACTAGAAGGGTTCACTTGCAGAATATATGGCAAGCGGCTTATAGCTTACCTGCTAAACGTGCTACACCATTAATCACTTGTCAATACTGGGTCAGAATGTTGAACCCGATGAAGCTAATGGATGTTAGGTTTTCATGTGCTCTTGACAACACAACGGCAAAGAGACTGACAGTCAAACTTTACAATTTACCAGATGCAACAATCACTCCTGGATTTAGGAAAATGGAACAACGTGATATCCCTGCTGTTACAGGTTTGCTCAGGAACTACCTAAGCCAGTTTGGAGTTGCGACTGACTTTGATGAAAACGATATTGAGCACTGGTTTCTCCCAAGAGAACATGTCATCTACAGTTACGTAGTAGAAACTCATGACGTGATCACTGACTTGTGCAGCTTCTACGCTGTCCAGTTAACTATCGACGACAATAACCCCAAGCACGAAACAGTGGAATGTGCTTATTCTTACTACAATGTGGCAACACAGACCTCGTTACTCCAGCTGATGAAAGATGCGCTAATCGTCTCTAAGAAAGAAGGTTTTGATGTTTTCCACGCTTTGGATGTGATGCACAATGAGTCTTTCTTGAAAGACTTGAAGTTTAAACTTGACAATTCACAGATGCACTACTATCTCTACAACTACCGCTTAAGAAGTGCATTGAAGCCATCAGAGTTTGGGATTGTCTTCTGAGAAGCTCTTCAACAACTTGCTTGGATGATATAATTAGTATGGTATAACAAACTTGAATTAGTATTGTTATTTTGTTTTGGTTCTTCTTTATCTGAAAAACTTCTCCCATGCGATTTTGAATTCTGTTGGAAGTGCAATATTTAAGTATTTGGAAGTGTGATATTGTTACTTGTGTCATAATATTCTGTGTGCATCTTCACTTTGTCCTAGATCATAAGGAGAGAGTTGAAACCTTAAGAGAAGTTTTTGAACTCCTCCCCGGCAACGGCGCCAAATTGATGTAGTACTTTACTCAATTAAATATCGAACCACAATTTGCAATTGATCAACTCACTAGGAATACACGCAAAAGCTTAATCTAGGCTAATAAGAAGGTAGGGTTTTGTAAACTTGACTAACAAAGTAAATAACAATCAAACAAAGCAAAACAAGACAAATGGAAGCAAAATGCAAAAGACTAACAAGCTTCGAAAGTAAACAAACCGGAAAAATAAACAAGTTACTAAGCGATACTAAAGGCGAATTCTCGGGTTAAAGGAAATTGATTTGGAATGATAAAGAGATGGATTATGGAGCTTCAAACAACTTTTAATAAGCAATGATCCTTAGGCCATAGAACACTAAGCAACACTAACACATTTCCATGACATTAGTCCATTTACTAATCAATTAATAATCAACTTCTTCCAAAGGCAATCAATTGACTAACAAGCATTATAAACAAGTCTATCTAGCCACTTAACACCCTAGTCAACAATTTCCAAAGGTAAGAATTGTAAAGCACTTAAAGGCTTTGGTTCGGGAATTTCATCGAACACCTTCCGGGCATGAAATTCCTAAAGTCTAAATCAACATGATCAAGGCTAATCTAGCTTTATAATCAACCAATAAGCAAGGATCTTAAGTAATCTAGCCCTAAACTCCATAACCCAACAACTAAACCATCCTAATCTACCTTAACCCAAGAACTCTAAATGACTACTCACTCATGATCATGATTACACAAAGCAATATGTTTGATCTTTGTGAAATCATAATTAGAGAAGGTAGATAAGAGATTAAAAGAGAAATTTTGATTCAAAACTCAACAAAACCAAAGATTCATACAAAAACTTAGAAAGAAACCTTAAGAGAAGTTTTTGAACTCTAAACAAAGCATCATAAGTAAAGTCAACGAAAATATGCAGATGACAATCTTAAGTCTTATCATAAGACTCTTATGATTGATATATACCTCTATTATTAGCATCCGTCTCTAGTCATAATGATTATTATTTTTTTTCATTTTTAACCAAAAACGATTAGCAATCAGCTTATCGCAAGTCCAAATTCACCAGATATAGCTGGTGGTGGTAAAGGAACATCGGAATTACGATTTCCTTTAGTGTTCCTTTATTTGGCTTGGCCTCGGTACTACATTCGATTTATCCTGAAACCAAATTGATAAAATAAGAATGTTGGTATTCTTAGTAGAAAAATGATCAATAAAATGTAAACAGGTTCAGTTATGAAGGGTTCTTTAGTTGATCATCTCTAGATTTTGATAGTTCACTTCTTATATATTATAGATAGCATCTGAGGTCACTGCTTCCTTGGAGCCTGTCAAGGTGAGATTGAATGTTACAACCAGGGAAGAAGAAGAAGCTCCATGGACATTTTATTATCTGCTTTCTTCTTCCCTCCCTCTTCCTCGTCTCTCTCCATCTCTTTTCCTTTGCTCCTCTTCTACTAGATTCAGCTATAACCGGACCAACATCTTTCATCTCCTCTATCTTGAGATGATCTTCTTTATCACCAAAGAGCAAACAGATAAACTCAAATCAGTCCACAAATCATAATGTATTATACAACTACTATAAGAGAACTTCCGGGAGGAAAAAGAAGCGATGATTGTACTTCTCCTTGGCCTGAGAATCTCTTTACAAGTCTTATCCAAGATGTTAACGGTTAAACAGTTATCTCCTTCGTTTGTGAAAGTCAGAAACTCGCTGTCTCCTAAATATTCTCGTTTAGAAACTGCCCCATCCTTTTTTTCTCCATAAGGTAAGATATTCTCCGTACCACCACCTTCAAAATGACCTTAAGCGGGAGATTCTTGCATACACTTCTCTTGAACTTGTGTGGAATCAACCTCTGGGGAAATCTTTCTTCATTTAAGTTTACACTTCAAACCATAGATTTTTTCCAGGTTTGAGAATCTTGAAGAAGCTTGGCCTCTTCCTAGCAAATGCTCAATTTCTTCCCACAGAAAACTGACAAACTTGAAGATTATTATTTCAGAAGTTTTCGAAATTATATTAGGCTTCTAAAAGAAAAAAAAAATGTATATCAAAATAACAAATAAGCAAACATGTAGCTATAGTTGATGAAGGTTAATTTGCAGAGGAGGATTCACTAAGCTCTTATGATTAGAATCACATTCGAAGAACATACAAATATTTGAGCACGAGACTTTAAAAGCCTTACAAAACTATTATACAAACTCAAGAAGAACAACTGCCACAAGCAAAAACCTTTTCAAGTTCTGTGAAAATCACCATTTCAATAATCGTCTCCTTTGGAAATAATCTCTTTGCAAGTTGGTCGCAACAAGATTGTATGCTCAACCTGAGAAATATAGCTTCCTTTCACATCACAAACTGGAGGGCATGGCTACAAATAACCCAAAGAAACATACTTTCATCAAAGTGTTCATCAACAGAGTGATCAGAGGTCTTTAGGAATTTACCTCAATAATGCCAGAATCACAAAGATTCTTTAAAGCCATCAAGTATTTTGTTTCACCAAGGCGGTCCAAATAGCGTCTGCAGAAGGCTAGAGTGGAGAAGTTCTTGTTAATAGTGGCAAGGAGTTGTTTTGCTCTTGGTAACCTCAAAGGTACGTGACCCACATCATAGTTTTTCATGTAATGGCTACATTCTAAGTCCTCTCTTACATATCCTTTCCCTGCAAAATGACACGAGAGAAAAACCATTTTACTCTGGATTCGTAAAAAGCCACATTTCTTGTAGTTTGTCGTGAGAAATGTTGTTACCTGTTGATCCAAATGTTTCAATGGCATATAATTCACCCTCTTCCATTTTCGTTTGCTCGCCTCCTCTAACATTAGGAACAGATTTTTCGGCGTGTATCTGATAGCGTCCAATGCTGTGCCCATTAAGGTTTCTGATACTCTTGACTGCCCGCAAAAGACACCACATTGTTATAGTTTTCTAATAATCCAAATATAAACTACCAAAAATTGAAGTAACTAGTTACCTTGGTAGACTTTTCCATTGATTTCAACCTCATAAGACTCCATGACCTCCTGAATTGCAGCACCAACATCACAGAGCCGAACATCTACACTGGCTTCCTGAACCAAGAAAACGAATAACACAATGGTCTAATTCAGTTGGATAGAACAATAATGATCTTAAAGGAAGAAGCTCAATACAGTTAAAAGAAACCAATGCAAACTTCACACAAAGAATCAGTGCAAATTCACCAAGAACAGAAGAATCCTACAAGTAGAATCGCATATTATTAGCAACAAAAACAGTTTGAGCACCTTGATACCGGTATATGTTGCTTCACGGGAAGCTGCTAAGAGAGGATCATACATAGGATTGAATGCAACTGTAAAAGCGGAATCAACAATATGCCCTGAAAATAAATCAAAATTAGTGTTTATATGTGACATTTGTATTCAGAAATACTATTTGTTCCATCAAAATCAGTACCAAGAAGCAGTAATAACCATACCATCAATATGTGTTCCAAAATCTAGCTTCATCACATCATCATACTGAAGGACAGTCTTATCTCCAGAGTTTGGTGTCCAATGAGCAGCAACGCTGAACGTTCAAGTAAATTTTGATAGATAGAGCCAAAAATGCAGAGAGAATTTAAAAGGAAGAACTAACTTATTCAGAGAACATCCTGTAGGAAAGGCGATACCAGCTTGAAGACCATTCTCTGATATCAACTTACGAACGGTGTTCTCTAAGGTCTCACAGAGATCAATCATCAACATTCCAGGCTTCAATATACTTCTCATATACTTCCTAACTTGACGATGAACTTCTGCTGCTTGGCGAAGAGAGTTATATATCGGCTTTTGCAGCCGCTCCATCTCTCTCTTCTCTTCAGATGTTGTTCTCCACAAATTACTACATTACAATATACAAACTTAGCTAGCAAGACAAATGTACATAGAATCTAGTCTAGATAAGGTATGTGAACTTACTCATCCTTATACTGTTGGATTTCACCTTCAGGAAAATCTCCAGAAGGGAAGAGCTCAAGAACAGGAATTGAAGGTGGATCAGTCTGTTGAAGGGAACTCTTCTTCTTCCTATAAACAATCATCAGCATTTTGAGCAAGATCACCAAAGCAAACACTGAAGATTAATAAAAAAAAAGAAACAGAAAATGAACTTCTCACTTGCTTTTACTTTTCTTCTTCTTCTTCTTCGTTGAAGCCTCAGCTAAAATGAAGAGACAAAAAGATTAAACAACAATAAAAGGAATAAGCTGGAGAAACTCTAAACCAACTTCACATACACTAGTTCCACGTAAGTTAGCATCTCTCATGACATAACCAGATTAAGTAATCTAAATTATAGTAATCAAGAACACACGAAAGAGAACAAAAAATCAATCTTTTTTTCCCTCATGATTACATACTTAAACCACAAGATCTGATCAATCAAAAACAATAAATGATTTACCTTTCAGTCCATCTTCTTCTTGGTTATCATCCTTTTCGTGTTCCTTCACTTGAGCAAGATCAAGATTCTTCGTTAAGTCAGAAGCTAATTGAGTCTCATTTCCATTAGAGGACTCGGCTTCGGTTTCCTATCGCCATCCCAACTTATTCTAACAAGGAGGCTCAATGAGAAGAGGTGCAGAAGAAAATTCATCATCAGAAGTCAAAGTCTACTCTTTTCACCTTTTTCACTCCCAACTTTTTTCTTCATCTATCTACCCAGGAAAATGTAGAAAGTTTAAAATAATTGCAAAACGATCCAACAAAACTTTCATTTATACAATTACAACCCCTTACTTTAAAGAACACACACTCAAACGCTCCTAATTGGGCCCAACATTAATAGGCCCACCAACAATAATCTTGCTTATTCTTTTTCTTCTTTTAACATTAATCTTGCTTATTCTTTTTCTTCTTTTAACATTAATCTTTCTTAACTTATTTTATTAATTTAATCGAGAAAGCAAGACAAAAAAAACCTATCGTTTCAAGGCCAAGAAGAGAACCGTTGCGCTTTGTGAAGCAAAATTACTCAACGGCTAGTTTTCTCATTGTCTCTTCTTCTTCTCCCTTTCTCTTCCTCTTCGCCTAGGGTTTCGACAATTTTCAATCCGATTCGAATAATACCTGTTTTCTAATCGGAACAAGTCTCCGGCATCTGGAATCTCCGGTGATTTTGTCAATTTGGAAGAAAACTGAGCGATAGTATGAACAATGAAGAATTACTTACGAAGAGGTCCTGGTTCAAGTGCGAGATCAAGAATCCGAACAAGATCGCCGGAAATTTTTGAGCTATGATCGGAGAATGCTGAGAGGAAACAGAAATTACTAACGATTGCAATTACAGTTTCATGGACTCCGATTCAAGCCATAAATCGGAAAAAAAAACTAAGAAAACTGAGCGATAGTATGAACAATGAAGAATTACTTACGAAGAGGTCCTGGTTGAAGTGCGAGAGCAAGAATCCGAAGAAGGTCGCCGGAAAATTGTTGAGCTACGATCGGAGAATGCTGAGAGAAAACATAAATTCGAAATTTCTGGAGAAACAGAGAGGAGGGGATGCAGAGAGATATTAATTTCTAAAATTGGTACCATACAACAAAACGGTTTTGATTTTGAAGATGATACAGAAATTTAGACGATTTTGACCCTGAGATCTCTTAAAATTTACCGTCAGATTGAGGCGAGTCGACGTGTCATCATCTCCCTTCTCAAAATCATTCAGTTGGTGCAAACGGAGAGGGTCGTCGCACGTGAAAGATTCCGTTAAACAAAACTTGACGGGCCGTTATAATCTAACTGCAAAATGTCCCAACACAAGTTTTTCATACAATTTACATTTTTAGTAAGCCCCGAACATACAACTTATTGGGTCCATTATTTCAAGGCCCATCAACATTAATTAGGCGATATCCTACACGGATTAGTTTATTTTGTCATCTGATTAATTTTTAATTAAACTAATCTACACGGATTAGTTTTGTTGTTGAACATTTTAGACTCCATTATGCCTACTTCTGATATACTTTTTGGCGAAATGTATTTGGTGACGTCGTTTCTGAGTGACTTTAATGTTAGATGGGCCAACAAATCTGCAATACTTTAAAGCGAGAGTAAAATTGTTTATATAAAATATAGACTAGATTCATACTGGAAACTCGATCGTTTATGGTAAACCGGTTTAATTCAGTATTATGTACGTAACACAGTCTATTCGAATCTATAATAATAAAACTTTTAAGGTTTAATAACTTTAACTGAAATTTTCTCAATGTGTATAATGATAAACTAGTTGTGATATAAAGAAAAAAAAATGAGATATAACTCGCCCCCCGTAATAACATCGGTCCATCTAACATGAGAACGACGTCACTTTGCCTTGATAATTTAGTACAAGAAGTCGAGAATTTAACTTATAATCGAACTGCAAAATGTCACATTATTATTAGTAAGCCCCGAACATACAACTTGACGCTCCTTATTGGGTCCATTATTTCAAGGCCCATCAACATTAATCAGCACTAAACCAAGTCACTTTCCTTTATAAATTAGTGGTGTAAAAAACAAGAAGTCGAGAAACCCTAAACGGACGCCAGTGGTTTAGCTTCTTTGTTTCTTTTAGAAGACGGCAAGATCTCACAAATCCACTCCGAAAACATGTCAAAATCTCAGCCTGGCTCAAAAGAAGAGAAAGGAGATCAAAGCGTTAGAGCAAACCCATTCGCCAACAAGCACGATAGTTAAGGTGGAACCATAGTACGAAGGTCACAGGATTATTCAAAGACCCATAAGTTCTGGGAGACTCAACCTGTTGCCCAGTTTAAGGATATCGGAGACACGAGTTTGCCTGAAGGCCCAATTGAGCCCGTAACTCCGTTATCTGAGTTCAAGCAAGAACCGTACATCCTTCCTGATGCTCTCGAGTGGACCACATGCGATATGAACTCTGATGATATGTGTTCACAGGTGTACAATTTTTTGAAGGAAAACTATCCTGATGAGAGAAGTCCGTTCAGGGTTGATTACTCGAGGGAGTTTCTAAGGTGGGCATTATGTCCACCTGGTTATCACCAGAGCTGGCATATTGGAGTCCGTGTCAAGACCTCAAAGAAACTCGTTGCTTTCATCAGTGGCGTGCCAGCAAGAATCAAAGTGCGTGATGTGGTTGTTAACATGGCAAAGATCGATTTCTTGTGTGTTATCAAGCAATATAGGTCTAAGGGATTTGCTCCTATCCTGATCAAGGAGGTGACTAGAAGGGTTCATTTGGAGAATATATGGCAAGCGGCTTATACCTCACTTGATATACTTCCTACACCATTCAGCAGTTGCCAATACTGGGGCAGACTCCTGAACCCTAAGAAGCTAATCGATGTTGGGTATTCAGAGCTTCGTCAAAGAATGACAATGAGCAGGGCCGTCAAACTTTACAAGTTACCAGATGCACCGATCACTCCTGGATTTAGGGAAATGGAACGACGTCAGTGGCGGAGCTAGAATTTAAATTTACCGGGGTCAAAATATAAAAAATATTTTAATAAAGTGTGGTTGTTTTTTTTCTTCAAATTATATTGCATATAGCTTATGTTTTTTTTATTACATTTACAAAAATGAAATTCTGATATTTATAAAAACATTTGGTTTGTCTAAAACATGATAATAAAATTAAAAACAAAGAAACTTATATATAACAATTAGTGGTTATAGTCTATATCATTTTGTAATATTAAAAAAGTTATGGTTTAAGGGGTCAAAAGAGTAGTTTTCATATTAGGCACTGGGGTCAATTTATAGGAATTTAATCAAATATCTATGTATTTGTTTAAATATGCCATAATATTAGTTTGATTTTGAAAATTCACCGGGGTCAGTTGACCCCCATGTTTCTATGCTACCTCCGCCACTGAACGACGTGTTACAAGGTTGCTCAGGAAATACCTTAGCCAGTTTGGAGTTGCGACTGACTTTGATGAAATCGAGCACTGGCTTCTCCCAAGAAAAGATGTCGTCTACAGTTACTTAGTAGAAACTCATGACGTCATCACTGACTTCTGCAGCTTCTACGCTGTTCCTTTCACAATCTCTGATAACCCGAAGTACACAACAGTGGAATGTGCTTACTCTTACTACAATGTCGCGGAAACGACCTCGTTTCCCAAGCTGATGAATGATGTGCTAATTGTCTCTAAGAAAAAAGGTTTCGATGTGTTTAACGCGTTGGATGTGATGCACAATAAGAGTTTCTTGAAAGAGTTGAAGTTTGATGATCCAGGAGATGCTGCTAAGCTTCACTACTATCTCTATAATTACCATTTGAGGAGTGCATTGAAGCCATCAGAACTTGGGCTTGTTCTCTGGTAAGCTAGCTCTTCAGTAACTTGATCTTTTTTTAATCTTATATTTTGGTTCTTCTTTATCTGGACTACTTCTCCCATGTTTCATGCGTTACTGAAACATTTTGAAATATTTGGAAGATTTTGAGTTATTTGGAAGTTGCAGAATGTTGGTATGATTGATGAGTCCAAAATTTCTCCTTTTTACGTTACCATTGAGACGTCCTGTGCAAATGTTTTCCGTACTAAGGAAGATATGCTTTTGTGCGCTCCATTTTCTGGCAACCACACTTAGCTTCTCCTGTTTTGATTATGCCTAGCCACAGATTAACATATAAAGAAACAAATTTTTAACACTAAACAAAGTATGAAAAGTGGTAAAATGGTTAGCAATGCATTCGATAAATGCTTAAAGTTTCAAGTTCTATGATTACTAAGGGCTGGGAAGACTTCCCACAATGCAGGTGGGGTGATTCACGCAGTGCTTCTTCATATGGTGCACTTTCGGATCATAAAATGTAATTTATTACATATACGTTTTGAAGGGGATTTCATCGACTGGTCTTACTAATTTTGCTTCAGATTGTTAAAATGTATCATCTTTCTTTTTTGCGTTTTTCATCGCCACTGAGTACTGCTTTTATTGTCAGTTCACACGGTCACAAGAACGACCGAAGAAACCAAACAATTATTATACAATCTAAAGAAGAACAATACAATTAAACAACAAAACATTTGCCAGAAGAAAAAACCTTTTGATGTTTTCGGTGAAAATGAGCCATTTCAATAATCGTCTCCTTTGGAAATAATCTCTTTGCAAGTTGGCCGCAACAAGATCGTATGCTCAAACTGAGAAACATAGCTTCCTTTTACATCACACACTGGACGGCATGGCTACAAATAACCAAAAAAGAAACCAACTTTCATCAAAATGTTCATGAACAGAGTCATCAGAGAATGTATATGAGTGTAGTCTTTAGGTGTTTACCTCAATTATGCCAGAATCACAAAGATTCTTTAAAGCCATCAAGTATTTCGTTTCACCAAGGCGGTCCAAATAGCGTCCGCAGAAAGCTAGAGTGGAGAAGTTCTTGTTAATGGTGGCAAGGAGTTGTTTTGCTTTTGGTAACCTCAAAGGGACGTGTCCCACATCGTAGTTTTTCATGTAATGGCTACATTCTAAGTCCTCTCTCACATATCCTTTCCCTGCAAAATGACATGAGGACAAAATCGATCTATCATGAATTCTCAAAACCCAAGTTTCTTGTATTTTGATGTGAGAATTGTTGTTACCGGTTGATCCAAAAGTTTCAATGGCATATAGTTCACCCTCTTCCATTTTCGTCTGCTCGCCTCCTCTAACGTTAGGAACAGATTTTTCAGCGTGTATCTGATAGCGTCCGATGCTGTGCCCATTCAGGTTTCTAATACTTTTGACTGGCCGCAAAAGAACACAACATTGTTATAGTTTTCTGATAATCCAAATGGAAACTACCAAAATTGTTGCCATTGAAGTAATTAGTTTACCTTGGTAGCCTTTTCCATTGATTTTAACCTCATAAGACTCCATGACCTCCTGAATTGCAGCACCAACATCACAGAGACGGACATCTACCCCAGCTTCCTGAACCAACAAAATTAATAACACAATGGATTGATCAATAAAGATTAAATAGGAAGAAGTTCAATATAGTTATAAGAAAACAATGCAAACTTCACAGAAGTAAACAGTACAAATTTGCCAAGAACAGAAGAATCCTATTAGTAGACATATTATTGAGCACCTTGATACCGGTATATGTTGCTTCACGTGAGGCTGCTAAAAGAGGATCAAACATAGGATTGAAGGCAACTGTGAAAGCGGAATCAACAATGTGCCCTGCCAACACAACAAAATTATTGTTTCTATGCGACATTTATATCAAGTGACAAACAGATGAAATGTTTTTGTTTATATCATACCATCAATATGTGTTCCAAAATCCAACTTCATGACATCATCATACTGAAGGACAGTCTTATCTCCAGAGTTTGGTGTCCAATGAGCAGCAACGCTGAACGTTCAAGTAAATTTTGATAGATAGAGCCAAAAATGCAGAGAGAATTTAAAAGGAAGAACTAACTTATTCAGAGAACACCCTGTAGGAAATGCGATACCAGCTTGAAGACCATTCTCTGATATCAACTTACAAACAGTGTTCTCTAAGGTCTCACAGAGATCAATCATCAACATTCCAGGTTTCAATATGCTTCTCATATACTTCCTAACTTGACGATGAACTTCCGCTGCTTGGCGAAGAGAGTTATATATCGGCTTTTGAAGCCTCTCCATCTCTCTCTTCTCTTCGGATGTTGTTCTCCACAAATTACTACATTACAATATAGATTCAGCTAGCAAGACTCAATGTACATAGAATCTAGTCTACACACTCATTTTTTTACTGTCCATTTGAGATGATGCAATTTCCTCTTTAGATAAAGAAAAGGTACATGAACTCACTCATCCTTGTATTGTTGGATTTCACCTTGAGGAAATTCTCCAGAAGGAAAGAGGTCAAGAACAGGAATTGAAGGTGGATCAGTCTGTTGAATGGAATTCTTCTTCTTCCTATTAACAATCATCAGCTTTTTAAGTAAGATCATCAAAGCTAACACTAGAGATTAATAATACAACAAACAAAATATATTTCTCACTTGCTTTTACTTTTCTTCTTTTTCTTCTTCGTTGAAGCCTCACCTCACCTAAAATGAAAAGACAGGTAAATGCAAATTCATTTAATAAAGAAACTCAAGAACCAACTTCAGATAGACTATTCCCTAGACAGATAGTTTCTTTGATGACAACTATCTCCAATTAGTAATAATCAAGAACACGCAAAAATATACAAAATCCATTTTTTTCCCCTCATGAGTGCACATTTAAGCAACAAAGATCCATCATTCAACACGAAATGATTTACCTTTGATTCCCTCATCTTCTTGGTTATCAACCTTTTCATCTTCAGCAAGATCAAGATTCTTGGATAGGTCAGAAGCTAATTGAGTCTCTTTTCCATTAGAAGAGGACTCAGCTTCAGTATACTCCTCCATAGCTGCCACTTCTGGGTTTCCTATAGCCATCTCAACTGATTCTAACAAGGCATTATATGAGAAATCGTAGCAGCTTAATGAGACTAGCAGAGAAATAAGCAGACGAAGAGAGAAAAGTCAAAACTCTACTCTTTTACCTTTCTCACTCCAACTTTTCTTATAGAAATTGCAAATTATCCCAATCTAACTTTCATAGTTACATTTACAACCCCTCACGTTAAAGAACACGCTCCTTATTGGGCCCAATATTAAGAGGCCCACCAACATTAATCTGTCTTATCTTATCTGATATTCTGATTAACTTAATTTAGAGAAGCAATTAAAATACTAACCTATCGTTTCACGGACAAGAGAACCGTTGCGCTTGTGAGCATTACTCAACGGCTAGTTTCCTTATTGTCTCTTCTTCTCTTATCTTTCTTCCCCCTTTCTCTTCGCTTAGGGTTTCGAAAATCTTCAATCCGATTTGAGTAATTTCTGTTTCTAATCGGAACAAATCTCCGGCATCTGGAGTCTCCGGCGATTTTGTCTATTTTTGAAGAAATTTGATTGGAATGGAGGCGAGAATCGGCCGATCTATGGAGCACCCATCTACGCCGGCGATTACTGCTCCGGCGCCGGTTCCTCCACCATCAACGCGGCGGCCGAGAGTAAGAGAAGTGAGCTCAAGATTCATGTCTCCCGTTTCTTCGTCGTCATCGTCATCTTCCTCCTCTTCCGCCGGAGATCTCCATCTATTGACTTCAAATTCTCCCAGGCATCATCACCAACACCAGAATCAACGGTCGACTTCGGCTCAGAGGATGAGACGACAATTAAAAATGCCAGAGGGCGACGAGAATCGTCCTTCCGAGACGGCGCGTAGCTTAGACTCGCCTTTTCCTCTTCAACAAGTCGACGGAGGTAAAATCCCAAAGCAGCAGATACGATCTAAGCCGTTGAAAGAGAACGGTCACCGTCTCGACACACCAACGACGGCGATGTTGCCGCCTCCGTCTAGATCGCGGCTGAACCAACAGCGTCTGCTCACCGCCTCCGCTGCGACTAGGCTTCTCCGATCAAGCGGGATCTCGTTATCTTCCTCTACAGACGGTGACGAAGACAACAACAACAACAGAGAGATTTCCAAATCCAACGGCTCAGATCTGTTACCAACAATCAGGAACCAAGCAAAGCTCTTCAACAATCCCACCGCTTCACCTCTTTCTCGATCCCTGAGTTCTGATGATTCTTCCTTGTTTCGAGATGTAAGAGCTTCATTGTCGCTTAAAAATGGTGTTGGTTTGTCATTGCCTCCGGTTGCTCCTAATTCGAAGATTCAAGCTGATACAAAGAAACAGAAGAAAGTGTTAGGACAACAAGCAGATATACATTCTTTGAAACTGCTCCATAACCGTTACTTGCAATGGCGATTTGCAAATGCAAATGCTGAGGTCAAAACACAATCCCAGAAAGCACAAGCTGAGGTCAGTTTCTGTTTTTTAACTCTGATAATCAGAAATTTGATAGCTTTTGCATAGTCTGAGAGTTGTGTTTGGTATATAGATCAATGGTTGAAACATTAACTTCAGTGTTAGAAATGAATGTGGTTTAGGTTATAATCTTATGGATTAGGCAATAAGTCTCTATCTTTTAACTGTAATTTGTTTTTCTTGCAGAGAATGTTTTATTCACTTGGTTTGAAAATGTCGGAGTTGTCTGATTCTGTACAGAGGAAACGCATAGAACTCCAACATTTACGGAGAGTTAAAGCTGTCACGGAGATTGTAGAGTCTCAAGTAAGTAAAGATCTGAAATATCACATTATTTTTACATTTTTAGAGGAAATGTGTAGTTTGCAATAATTGGTGACTAAACTACTTTTAACTCTATGCAGACTCCTTCTTTGGAGCAATGGTCTGTTCTTGAAGATGAATTCTCAAATTCTCTATTGGAAACAACTGAAGCTTTATTGAATGCTTCATTGCGGTTGCCTCTCGATTCAAAAATCAAGGTATATGTTGTGTTGGTCGCATCAACTAGGAAGAATCTTGTTCCTCTTTTGTACAAAATATTTGAATTTTGCTTCTCAAATCCAGGTTGAGACTAAAGAGTTAGCAGAAGCCCTCGTTGTTGCTTCAAAGTCTATGGAAGGCATTGTGCAAAACATTGGAAACCTTGTACCTAAGGTTAGCAAAATACAGTCAATCTGTTTCACATTGAATATGAACAGAAACAAAGCTATTTACTTTTCCTACACAAGCAAATGTTGAAAGTGGGCAACTTCTTTGATGGTTTTTGCAGACACAAGAGATGGAGACTTTGATGTTGGAATTAGCAAGAGTAAGCAGCATAGAGAAAGCATCAATAGAAGATTGCAGAGTTGCAATGCTTAAAACACATTCATCACAGGTATAAAACCTGTACATAGCCATTTGGGTGACATAACCATTTGTTTCTTTTCAGTTTCTGAAATCATAAAGTGTTTTCCTTATTCTGCAGATTGAAGAGTGCTATCTTAGAAGTCAGCTTATCCAGCACCAGAAGAAGTGCCATCAGCAAGAGTGCACAACTTCTGTTTGATGATTTTTTCCCCAGAAGGTTACTTTTACCATACAGTCAAAAAGCCAGCCATACTTGTCATTATTTCCAGTGCAGCAACACTCAAGCTCTTCGGTTTGGCTTCAAACTCATAATCTGTCTTCTTACATACCTCAAATAACAATTGAATTTGTAAATACTATCAGTTGTCTTGTAATACCTGAGTATCAATGATCCATTAGCTTTGTCTGAGCATTGTATCACCGTATCTTTAGTAAGAGAACAAAGAAGACTCCTTTTTTAAGTGTTGGGTGTTTCACCAAACTCTCTAATAACAAGAAATTTCATCGACCACTACCAAAGTAAACCGGGACACTATCGCGAGATGTCCAAAACAGGCCCATTAATCTAGATCAAGCCCAAAGTTCACACGCGTTTAAGAAACGGACGGCTCTGATTTCTTTTCCTCTTTCCTAAGCGGTGCTGAGATTATAAAAACCCTGGTCGAGTTTTTGAACATAGAGGAGGATAGCAGAAACTCTTGAGAAGAAACAATGGCGTTGAAGTTTCTAAACAAGAAGGGGTGGCATACGGGAAGTCTCCGTAACATTGAGAAAATATGGAAAGCTGAGCAGAAGCACGAAGCCGAGCAGAAAAAGATTGAGGAGCTTCCTCTCCAAATCCAGCAAGAGAAGGAGCGTTCTGAATTTCGCGCTATCAAAGAACTGGCCGGTCTCGTTCCGTAAGTTTTCTAGTTATCTACCTTATAATTAATTCTCTCCTAAATTCGATTTGATTGGTTTTAACCTTAGTTTTGTTGTTTATTCTTTTAGGAGGAGGCCAGAGAGATTAGAGTTCTTGTATGATATAGAATTATTAGGAGTGAAAGAGAATGCCAATAGTTCAGGACATGGTGTTTCGTTTCAGAATCAAGATCAGCGAGCCAGAGCTGATGCTAGTAGTGTCAGTAGCAGCAATAAGAAGAAGAAGCAGAAGCAGTCGCTTCCTGGTGCGTTGTTTGATGATGATAAGACAAACTTTGCCAATGATTCTTGGCGCAAATTCAACTCCGACCCTTTGCTTATCATCAGGCAGCAAGAGCAGGAGGAAGCTCGCAAATCTGTAAGTGTTCCCTTTCATTCTTTCGTTACTCCATTCATGTGTCCTGCTTGTGTGTCTGTGAGTGGTTACAGTTTTGGATAGTATTGGATTTCGATTCTGCTGCTGACCTGTTGTGGTTCTTCTTTAACAGGTGAAAAGAAAAGCGAGAGGATAGAGATGGATAGTTGAACGAGCACATGAGAAAACATCGGTGTAGAGTGTAAAGACATCGCAAGTTATCTTCTTCGGGTGTTGAATGTAAAGAAAACAAACACAGCTTTCGTTTGAATATAAACAAAATCTTTAATTGCTCTCTCTACTTCAGAAAATAGTGATGATTTTGAGGAGATGTATAGAAACATTACTCTCTAGTGAAACACACAAGCTTTTAAGATTTTTGGTTTGAAATTGTAAATGCGCCATTTGTCTTATCAATAATCTTTGCCATTGTCCTTAACTTGAGTATTTGGGAGTTTCACAGACAAATTTCAACAAGCAGTAAAAATTTCATTGGACTTAAACCAATCTAAACCGGATCCAATTAGCTTAGATTTGAGGTTTAGCACGATCATTGACAACAAGCCCATGAGGCCCAAATATATCATCGACATCACACGTTTTAAAAACGGACGGCTCCGATTCCTCCTCATTTTTTTCGTTAATACGGCGGCGACGGAGCAAATAATTGACAACCCTCGACGAGTTTTCGATTTGAACGAAACAAAAAGAAGGTGACCAGATTTTGAAGCGAGAGGAGGAGAAACAAAAAGAGAAGCAATCATGGGGATGAAATTTCTGAACAAGAAGGGATGGCATACGGGGAGTCTCCGTAACATCGAGACCGTATGGAAGGCTGAGCAAAAACAAGAAGCCGAGCAGAAAAAGCTCGAGGAGCTTCGTCTCCAGATCTTGCAGGAGAGGGAGCGTTCTGAGTTTCGTGCTCTCCAGGAACAAGCCGGTCTCATCCCGTAAGTTTGTCTTTTTCCTTACCCTCGATCCCAATTGATTTGGGTGATATCTGATTTCGGAATTAGGGTTAGCGATTTGAGTTCTTAGCGTAGAATCTATAAGATGCATCTTCTGGTAGTTTATTGGTTTTGATTAATGATTGGCGATGGAATCGGTGTTCTGAAGTTGTGGGTCGTTCTAAAGTTGTATACTTTGGAGTAATTATAGAGAATCTATAAGATGCATCTGATGGTAGTTTGATTGGGGTTTTAATGGTTGGCGATGTAATCGGTGATTTGAAGTTGTAGGTCGTTCTAAAGTATTATACTTTTTGTTATCTTATTGCAGGAGACAGGAGAGATTGGAGTTTCTGTATGATTCAGGATTAGCTGTAGGGAAGGGAAGTGCGAGTGGTTCAGGTGTTTCGTTTCAGAAAGAAGAGCAGCCTTTAGCCAAAGCTGAAGCCGGTAATAGTGCCAGTGAGAAGCCAGATCAGTCTGCTCCTGGTGCGCTGTTTGAGGAGAAGGCGCAATCTGCTAATGATTCGTGGAGGAAACTTCACTCTGATCCTTTGCTTCTCATCAGGCAGCGTGAGCAGGAAGCTCTTGCCAAAATCAAGAATAATCCTGTCAAAATGGCTCTTATTCGCAAATCGGTACGTTTCTTTTGTTCTTCTACATGGAGGGTTTTGGAATTGGGATTGCAATGGATGTCGTATATGTTTTTGCGTTTCTTTCCTTCTTACATCTGCTGACCCTGTTGGAGTGTTTCTTTTACAGGTAGAAGAAAAAGGAAAGGGTAAAGATGGAGACACAAAGGAGCACAAGAAAAAGCATAAGCGTAAAAGTGGAAAGCATCACAAGCAATCTTCATCCAGGCAGCCATCTGATTCGGAGGAAGATTCTGGTGAAGAGTATAACAGAAGAAAATCTCACCATCAGAAAACGTCAGGGACTCATGACGAAGAGAAAGTCATGATAGGCACTATGAGAGACGAAGGTCAGAACTAGATGATGAGTTCAAAAGAAGAGAAAGTCATGGTACGCACTATGAGAGACGAATGTCAGAATTGGATGATGAGTCAAAAAGAAGAGAAAGTAGGGATAAGCACTATGAGAGACAAAGGTCAGATTTGGATGATGAGTCCAAAAGAAGAGAAAGTCTTGATAAGCACTATGAGAGACGAAGGTCGGATTTGGATGATGAGTCCAAAAGAAGAGAAAGTCAAGATAAGAGACGAAGGTCAGATATTGATGATGAACCAAAAAGAAGAGATAGTCATAGAGAAACTCGGCCGAATGAGAAATATCGGAATCACTCCCCTAAAGGCGGTGTGGAAAGGGAAAATCTTAAGAGTTATGGTCAAGAGGATAAAAAGAGGAAAACAGAAGATTTAGACAATGGAAAGCATCCCTCAAGGGAGAATGAATATCAGAATAGACGCCGGAAAGGTGGCTCTAAGCTATCAGAAGAAGAAAGAGCTGCTAGATTAAAGCAAATGCAAATGGATGCAGAGGTGCATGAGGAGCAAAGATGGAGAAGATTGAAGAAAGCAGATGACACTGATGCAGTGGAAGCAGATAAGAACAAAGTAACCACGGGCAAAAGCTTTTTGGACGATGCTAATAAAAGTGTGTACGGAATTGAGAAAGGCGGGAGCTCAACAATTGAAGAAAGTGTTCGTCGCAGAAGCTATTATTCACAACGTGGAACTGCAGCTGAAGGCAATGCGTTTCGTCGCTGATGATGCAAAATATTGTTGCAGCAAAACACAATGTGTACTAAGGTTTGTGTCTTTTTAAAATTGTAGCAGTGTTTTTGGTCAGAATGTTTTTGTCACTCTTTGACATTGTGCTCCTGATTCCAGGATATCGTTGTGCATCAAGCTCTTAGGTCTTTGGATATGTGAGGACTACGAGGCTTAGGCCCATTGACATAGCCCATTAAGGGGTGGTCCAGTGTTTTATCCCGGAATCGAGCGTGGGATTTGAATTGTTAGTGTGTAATCTTATTCAGTGAGTGGGACGTTGAAATGAGATGTATGAGTCAATCAATGAATACCCGTGACATGTAGTTAAGCCATAACACTCCAAGATTCCCCTTTGTCACCTTTTAAATAAACCACGAGATGAAGCCACTCTCTCTTTTGTCTTTTTGAATATGTTTATTTTCTTTGTTTTTCTTGTCCATCTTTTAAGTATATAATTAAGTTAGTGTCCGGAGAGATTAAATAATTGAAGTTTGACCACTTAAAATTTGACCTAGGGTCGTTGGTGTGTTAAAATTTGGATTCAATTTCGAAGTTCGCATGTTGATAAGAAAAATATAAAAAGTTGGAAAAAATAAAAGAAGAAATAAAAAGGAGATTTGGTTTGTAATGGAAACATTTTGACGTGTAAGATTTTAACCTCACCTATTTTCAAAGATTCGGCAATTTGGGGTTAGAAGCTTGCAAGGAGGGTTCACGTGTAGCGTAAATGTACAATGATGTCACTTCCTACACTTTATCACGTCCTTGTATTTATAGGAGGAATAAAGCAAATGTTCAAATCAATACCAATGTTTTATTTTTGTGATTAATTTTTTAATATAATTTATAGAAGCTTGATTGATTTTATAACGAATTGCGTAATATAGTACTTTTGTGATGCCGCTGTGCCTGAATATTTTGACTTTGCAAGCAAGACTAAACTTAGAACCTAGAACTAAAGAAACAAAAAAAAAACAAATTAATCAACCATTTGAAAATAAAATATGCATTGCATATATTAATCATCTATTAATTCGAAGCATGACTCATTTGGAAAATTCGGAAGACCTTTATAGATACGGAGCCAAAATATTTGAACATCACCTAACATTTTTTGCAAGCTTCTTTGATATTAATTCTTGTTAATAAAATTTTACTTTAGTACGGAAGATAGATGCAACCAAGTTGCATGACCTTCTAAAATATCTATTGTCGTTGTAGCGGTGCACATCAATTCTTAATATTTTAAAAACTATTTTGAAAAAATCGTGTACCAAAAATACATAAATATTGTGATAAAAATGAATACAAATCAAAGAAATATTTGTATTAAAAACTTAAAAATAGAAGATATTGTACGAATTCACTACCAAAATAGACTAGATGTATTTTGGCCAATACAAAATTAATGGTATAGGACATGAGTGAGTCGGCTTAAAGAGAAAAGAAAAAAAAAATGGAAGTGGGAAATGAAGATGGAGGAGATGTAACAGAATGGAAAACGAAAGGTGTGGAAATTGATTTGAGAAGATGTCGCCTAATAATATTAACCGACAATTAGTGGCCTCTTCTCTGACTTTTGACTTATACACTGTTTTTCCACATTTGTGGTGCTCTCTCACTCCCACCCAATCACGGCCCTTCTTTTCTAATCTTACTCTATAAAAATAAATATTTTAAAACTAGTGATCATAGTGTGGAACATTTGCTTCAATAGTTGACCTAGTAATTTAATAGTATCCATATGTATATAATGTTCTTTTTGTTGCCAATATCGATATGTATATGTTTAAGGTTTTAACTTATTCGAAAGAAAAAAAAAGTATATTGTACTAGTATATCGATTTATGGTAGTTTTATATATTAGGAACTAGTATATCGTTTACATGTGATTTGTAAAATTATATAAGATTCTAAAATTTGTGTTTTATGTGGTTACAGATAATAAAAATGATAGTTAGATGACTAAATAGTAATTGCGTTGATACGGATTAGATTCTCTACCATAAGTAATTCGAATTGTTTATGTTGATGAGAAGTGTGATCAGTATTTAATAGGGCATCATTAGGCAATTTAAAAAGAATAATAGAGATTTGCATTTAATCCTTACAATCATATATACATCCTTTTTTTTTTGGTAAGGTACATCCATTTTTTTGTCTATTTAGTTTTGAATCTTTTGGTTTTAACCTTTTGTCACTTTATCAGAAAAGATTTGTAGTCATTTCCCCAAATGAAAAATATTTGAACTTGGGAACAAAAAATTTGAAATCCCAATAAAAACCTTTTAAAGTAACAAAAGAGTAGAATGTTCCAGTTCAGTAAAATTTCCCTTTTTCCATAAAGGTGACAGTAAAATAAGATACTCTTTAAAAAAAACTAACCTTCGAATTATTCCAGAAAAGAATCTGACAAAAATAAATTGAACAGAGAAAAGAAAGCAACCAATCTTATGCAATAGAATCCAAAAATTCACTTGTCTCTATTTAAAAAAACGGGTCCTTTTTTATGAAGGTTTTGCCAAAGTGTCATTAGTGCCCAGAATTTAACGCAATCCACTTCAATCCAAATCCCATACTTAAAAAAAAAAACAACACACAAAGAAAGAAAGAAGAAAAACCTCTCATCTTCTCTCAAAAAAATTCTCTCTTTCTGTTAAAGAAAGCTTAAACCTTTCTGGGTTTCTTTAAACTATGGCTGCTAACTGGACAAGGGTTATTTTCTTCTTAGCTCTGGTAATGACGGTGGTGATTCTTGCTCCTTCTGTCGTCTCCGGCGAAAATGGTTTCTCCGATCTTAAAATCCGTACTCACTTGAAACGACTCAACAAGCCAGCTCTCAAATCGATTAAGGTATAATTCACATAGATATTAGAGAAAACTCCAGAAAGTTTCATTCTTTTGCTGATTTTTTTTTGAGTTTTAAACAGAGCCCAGATGGAGATATAATTGACTGTGTTCCAATCACTGACCAACCAGCTTTTGCTCATCCTCTGCTCATTAATCACACTGTCCAGGTTTGGAATTTGTTCTGTTTACTCTGTTTTTTTTGTTTGGATTCTATTCTCTGTGGTTTGTTGTTTTGACATTGTTTGTTAATGGGTTTATTATAGATGTGGCCAAGTTTTAACCCAGAAAGTGTTTTTAGTGAGAGTAAAGTTTCATCAAAAACCAAGAATCAGCAGTCTAATTCTATAAAGCAGCTTTGGCATGTGAATGGGAAATGTCCAGTGAACACAATTCCCATCAGAAGAACGAGAAGGCAAGATCTTTATCGAGCGAATTCCGTTGAGAATTACGGTATGAAGAATCAGAAAAGTATCCCTAAACCTAAATCTTCTGAGGCACCTAATGTCCTTACACAAAATGGTCATCAGGTAATATTTTTCTTCACATTTGAATTGTTTTTTTTTTTTACCCATTTTTGTTGTGTCCATTAACCTCGTTATCTATCTTATGGTGTTGATTTAGCACGCGATAATGTATGTCGAAGATGGGATTTTCTACGGGGCTAAAGCGAAGATAAATGTATGGAAGCCTGATGTCGAAATGCCTAATGAGTTTAGCTTGGCTCAGATTTGGGTTTTGGGTGGAAATTTTAACTCTGATCTTAATAGTATTGAAGCTGGTTGGCAGGTATGTTTGGTCTTTCGGTTTTCGGTAATTCGTTCCTGAAAAAGAAACTGTTCTTGATTCAAAGATTTGTGTTTCAGGTCAGCCCACAATTGTATGGTGATAACCGGACCAGACTCTTCACTTATTGGACTGTAAGTTTCTGAATATTCAAATTTGATTTTTGTTTTGTGTTTGGCTTTCTTGAAGAATCATTCTTTTGTCTCTCCCTTGTGAAAACAGAGTGATGCATACCAAGGCACAGGCTGCTATAATCTTCTGTGCTCAGGATTTGTTCAAATTAATAGGGAAATCGCAATGGGGGGATCGATCTCTCCTTTATCAAACTACGGAAACTCTCAGTATGACATTACCATACTCATCTGGAAGGTAAACCAACAACAAAAATCCAAATTGTTACCATCTCTGAAAACTATGTGTTACCATCTATTTAGTGATTTAGGTTTGTTTGGCATGAAACTTATGCTACTGATCGGTTTTGGTTTAGCTTTGGTTTGAAAATTTTCAGTTTTGTTTTCCTCAGGACCCAAAAGAAGGACATTGGTGGTTACAATTTGGAGAGAAATACATAATCGGATACTGGCCAGCTTCACTCTTCTCTTACTTATCAGAAAGTGCATCGATGATCGAATGGGGAGGCGAAGTGGTTAACTCGCAGTCTGAGGAAGGACAACACACGACCACTCAGATGGGAAGTGGGAGGTTTGCAGAGGAAGGTTGGGGAAAAGCAAGTTACTTCAAGAACGTTCAAGTAGTCGATGGATCGAATGAACTGAGAAACCCGGAAAATCTTCAAGTCTTTACTGATCAAGAGAACTGTTACAATGTGAAAAGTGGGAATGGAGGTTCTTGGGGAAGTTACTTCTACTATGGTGGTCCTGGTCGAAACCCTAATTGCCCTTAAGATTTGGTCGACTTACTCACATTGCAGATCATTCCAAATCAATTGTATAAAAACATATAATCTATATATACACATTCTTAAGTATATTATTAATTTCAGGTTTGAAGAGTGGTTTATTGTATATTCAAATTCTGCAGAATTTGTTTGTTTGTTTGTTTGAGAGTGTTTTCTCTGTTTCCATGGAGTGAAGAGAAGATAAATTTCTTTAAAGAACATGGTCCCATGTGTATACTGAAATCAAATGATCACATTATTAATGAATATTGTATTTATTGTTGTGTATGAGTGGTACTTTGTTTTCAGTGACCTGTGTTAATAGCTTTGTCTGTATATACCAAAACATGGAGATGGGACTTTTGGTTTTTGGATCTTCATTAATCACTCATGTTTAACAGTATCTATTTGAATTATTGGCCAATCTTCATTAAACTAATATCATGAATAAATCTATTAATTCTTATTGTGATACTTCATATATAAGACTAACATAAACTTTGTTTTTATCAGCAGGCTTCCATTGTATTGGAACTATGATCAACAAAACCAATTTTTATTTTCAAGATTTATCCTTTTTTATGTAGCCCATAAGCAAGTTAAATTTTACAATATAGAAAGTTTTTCTTAAGATAATTTCAAACTAAATCTATGTTGAACTACAGATCTATCTTTCCTGGCCACTGTTAAAGTCAACGAAATTTTTTGGGCCAGAAGCCACAAGAGAGTTGACTTTGATCGCGTTGACGAGTTTTCAATCATAAAAGCATAATCAAGTTAACATAGTAAGAGAATTATAATTAATGTAATATTCAATGGTGCCAAAAGAAAGTTCAATAAAAGAGTGTACCGACCATATTAGAAATTAATCTCGAAATTTAATAATGAACTGATGCAATTTTCAAGTTCGTCACCTCAGACGGAATGGTTCATGACAGACTAACAAATGATATTTTAATTTTATTAGAATGATAATTGATTTATATTCTTCTTGTCACAGATAATTTATTTGTATAGATAACGTCGAAGACGAGGTTACATAATATATAATCTGCAGTTCACTTAGATTAATCATACATCGTTTGGTCAAATGTCATTTTATATTTTCGCAAGAATTATCTGGCCGGTTAATCAAAGCTATGCATGCATGTATACAAGGTTTATTTAGCTAAGACTCGAACCTGAATTTTATGGATTCAAATCTAGATTTTGTGAAATAATAATGTGACTGGTAAAAACTAAAGATATGGAGTTGCATTATAAAACTTCAGTCAACGATTTGGCAAACATTTTATATAAGCACTAACCTACCTAAATATTCACAGTGAAAATTTTGGGTATTAATATATAGGAGTTGAGAAGACCAGTTAAGAAAAAAATAATAATTTATGAAACATAAGCAATCTACTCCTATAAAGTCCAATGAATACTGTCTTAAAGTTTTGCTAAGAACTGTATTACCATGAGAATGACCGGTTTCATAGTAGCTGTGATGGTGACAGCAGTGATATTCGTCATTTGTGTTGATGGAAACGAGTTCTTTGATCACCGCGAAATTAAAGTACTTCGACATTTGAAACGGTTCAACAAGCCTACTGTTAAATCCATTAAGGTATATCTTATATAAATTTCATATGCAAATTTCATGACAAAAAGAAAGTACTTTTTATAGAGATGGTTTCTAAAGGATTCTAATTAATCTTTTCTTATAGAGTGAAGATGGAGATGTAATAGATTGTGTTCCTATCACTAATCAACCGGCTTTTGATCATCCTTTACTTAAAAACCATACCATCCAGGTTTGGTTTCACTCCCAGTCTCTCTATTGTTTGAAAACATGATTTTTGAATCAATTATGACGCAAAGTTTACACATACAGATGAGACCGAGTTTCTACCCGGTAAGTGATTCTACATACACCAAGAAAGAGGCAAAGGCTATAACTCAGGTTTGGCACAAGACTGGAGAGTGTCCCAAAAACACTGTTCCAATCAGAAGAACAAAGAAAGAAGATCTTTTAAGACCAAAATCCATCAGGAGTTTTGGGAGAAAGTCACATCAAAGCATCCCACGAACTACAACCTTTGATCCAACATTAGGTCATCAGGTACAACTACATGCACACACACACACATGTATTATTGTTAATGTCTTGTGGCTTACACTTTTCATTTCTTTTGGAGTGCCTTTAGTACACCTTGATGGGTGTGAGGAATGGAAAATTTATGGGACTTGGGTACATACCTTTTCCCTCAAGTTACCTCTCCATTTAACCCCGGAATGGATAATTTGCAATCATTAGGACCGAAAAACAGGAAACTATTAGGACATAATGTCCCACATCGGAAGTTGGAAGGGATCCTAAGTAATATATAAGGGATATGGGCCACTCCACTCATTGCCAATTGGTTTTGAGTTGGAAGCCCATATTCTAATATGGTAGCAGAGCCAGATCCACACATGTCCAACCCGATCCGACCCAAAGATGGTCCAATCATCGACGAGGCCCAAAATTGATGCCGTCGATCTAAGCCCGAACATTTCGAGATTAATGGCCAAAGAGCCATCATCTCGAGGGGGCGTATTAGGACATAATATCCCACATCGGAAGTTGGAAGGGATCCTAAATAATATATAAGGGATATGGGCCACTCCACTCATTGCCAATTGGTTTTGAGTTGGATCAGCTCGCCGATGCATTGACGAAACCACTTCCACGGCCACGCTTCACCGAACTAAATTGCAAGATTGGAGTGCAAGAACTCCCTCCATCTTGAGGGGGTGTATAAGGAGTTGTAAATATTAAGGATCTTATTGTAATTAGTATAAGTTTAAACCATAGTCTAATTACTATATATGTTGTAAATCATTTCTCCTAATGAATCAATTCACGCTCATCTTACAGAAACTGGTGGCTTAGGGTCAATGAAAAGGACATTATTGGGTACTGGCCAGGCTCGTTGTTCAGTTCTCTAGGAAGAGAAGCTACCAGAGTTGAATGGGGAGGCGAAATCATTAACTCGAAGACCGGTGGGAGACACACAACCACAGATATGGGAAGTGGGCATTTTGCAGACGAAGGTTTTAAGAAAGCAAGCTATGTCAGAATTCAGAAATCTTAAGATAGTTGATGGAACCAATACTCTTAGAGAACCACAAGGACTTTACTTGTTCGCTGATAAACATAACTGTTACAATGTTAAGATAGGAAATGGTGGAACCTCTTCGGGGACTCATTTCTTCTATGGTGGTCCTGGTCGAAACGTTAAATGTCCTTGATTTGATATGTGTGTGTTCAAAGCTTTTGATATTTTCACATAGATGTCTGTATTTGAATAAGAATAGTCATTTAAGAAAAAAATCCACGTCATTAGAGATGATTCTTTAATTTGATTTGTTTTTTTAAAAAAAATCTATCAACAACAGTCTGTCGATAGTGAAACTGAAATAACTCGAGAATAATAAAGACGTATATATTGATTGTTAACTAAATACATCTGTTTTAGATAAAATTCGAAAAATAAATAAATGTAAGAACATTGCACGTTTAATAAATGTAAATTAAACCATGTTCGTTATTCTTTGACCACTTGAGGAATCGTTTGGACGGTAGAATATTATCAATGGCTAATTAATATTATCATTACTCATTAGTCACTATAAATATCTTGGCAAATACCTGGGAATGCCAGTTCTGAAAAAGCGAATTAATAAAGATACGTTTGGGGAGGTGTTAGAGAAGATGACCTCGCGATTATCGGGATGGAAGGGCCGTTTTTTGAGTCTGGCAGGACGAGTTACATTGACCAAAGCAGTCTTGACTTCGATCCCTGTTCATTCTATGAGTACAATCTGTTTGCCAATATCAATTTTGGAGAAATTGGAACAAGTGTCTCGCTCTTTTGTGTGGGGAAGCTCACCGGAACATAAAAAGCAGCACCTGATTTCGTGGAGTAGAGTCACGAAGGCTAAGTCAGAGGGAGGACTGGGTATAAGAACGACGAAGGACACAAATAGGGCACTGATAGCGAAGCTTGGGTGGCGACTAATTCATGATGACAGCAGCCTTTGGGCACGGGTGTTACGAAAGAAGTACAGAGTGGGTGATGTTAGAGACGCGTCCTGGTTGGTGGCGAAGAGCTCTTGGTCGTCAACTTGGCGAAGTATAACGACGGGGCTGAGGGAAGTTGTGATACCAGGCACTAAGTGGGTGTTAGGGGATGGCAGCCAGGTTCGTTTTTGGAAGGATAAATGGCTGGGAAACAAATTTCTGAGTGAAGGTGGCTCTGTTTCCTTGCCACACGGAGCAGACACGGTGCTGGCCAGAGACTTATGGCAGGATGGTAGAGGGTGGAGGATGGATAGAATTGCGCCGCATGTACCGGAGGGTGTGAGGCTTGAGCTATTCTCCGTGGTGCTAGACAAGGTGACTGGGTCTCGGGATCGTCTAGCTTGGGGAGAGAGTGATGACGGAGAGTTCTCTGCTAAGACCGCTTATGCAATGTTGGTAAGAGATGATGCACCACGATCTAACTTGGCTGCGTTTTATGGCCGAGTTTGGAAGCTAGTCGCGCCGGAGAGAGTGAGGATTTTTCTCTGGCTTGTTGGTAACCAGGCCCTGATGACGAACACGGAGAGGTATAGACAGTGCCGGTCCAAACATTTTGAGTGCCCTAAGCGAAAAAAAACATTGTCGACCAAAATTTACTTTTAAAAAATTTCTAGAAAATAATCATTCCATTTTGTCAAATTTAGCTGTATAATTTGGTTGTTAGGAATGATTAAGAGATGCTAACTATATATTATGATTGCTAAAACTGTATATATGTATATGTTTTTATGATTACACGACAAATTTGTAAGTTTCTTTTGTTTAAACCACTTCATACATCTACACGTACTTCAGTAAAGAAACAAATAACATTAAACTCACATGATTTTTTAGAGAATTACATAGTTAAATTCAATACTTAAGAAAAACTTGAGAAATACCATACAAAATACACAAACATTTACTTACAAAAATGTGAGACAATATAATATCAAGTGGAGGCCCTAAGCAGCCGCTTCCCTTGCTTATGCTAAGGGCCGGCACTGGGTATAGACGACACTTAAGTACTTCAGATCTATGCCAGGTTTGCAAGGCAGGAAGTGAATCTATCATACACATTCTTAGAGATTGTCAAGCAATGCGGGGAATCTGGGAGAGGATAGTACCTAGGCGGCGAAGAAATACTTTCTTTGAGCAATCGGTCCTTGAATGGGTTTTTGATAATCTTGGGGATGAGGGTAAAGCTTTTGACAGCACTTGGTCCACGATGTTTGCTATGGCAGTTTGGTGGAGCTGGAAATGGCGATGTGTTAATGTGTTTGGGAATAATGGAAAATGCCGGGATAGAACAAGGTTTATTAAGTATAAAGCACAAGAGGTCACCTTGGCTAGTGTAAAGAAGATGATGGCTAAGCCGCAAGTCAGCAGGATTGAATCTATGGTAGGTTGGGTGGCGCCATCGGAAAGTTGGTTCAAATTGAACACGGATGGTGCATCACGAGGGAATCCGCGACTGGCAACGGCGGGAGGGGTGCTACGAGATGGAGATGGAGTTTGGCGGGGAGGCTTCGCTCTCAATATTGGGCGGTGTACGGCCCCTTTGGCGGAATTGTGGGGAGTATATTATGGTCTTTATATTGCTTGGGAGCGAGGAATAAGACGGTTAGAGGTGGAAGTAGATTCGGAGCTGGTTGTTGGATTCTTACGGACGGGGGTGAGTGAGAGGCATCCGCTGTCGTTCCTGGTACGCTTGTGCCATGGCTTTGTCACGAAGGACTGGATAGTCCGTTTTTCACATGTGTATAGGGAGGCTAACCGTCTTGCGGATGGGTTAGCGAACTATGCGTTTACTTTGCCTATTGGCTTTCATGCTTTTGATACTGTTCCGGTTGTTGTTGATTCTTTGTTTAGCGATGACTTGATTGGGTCTGCGCGCCCGAGACGAATTCGTGTGTAATTTTTTATTTTTTCTTAATAAAATGGGAGACTAGTCTCCCCTCTCTTACCAAAAAAAAAAATATCTATACTAGTATTTTTGCAACACTTTGGTGACGGGTGGGTAAAAATGTTTTCGGATATATCGGATACTCGACCCGTTTTTAAAATTCCTTCACAAAAAATTTGTTGGGTCGGGTTATATTTAACCCAACTCATACACCGGATATTTCATATTTAATAATTTAGATATTTAGAAGATTTGATTAAGATTTATAATTATGATTCTCCTATCATCTTTGTTTGATTTGTTTTTTACTATTTTGAATCATCATATAATACATAAAGTAGAAAAAAAAATCAAGTTTTTTTCAGCATATACTGTGATTCGAAATTTAAAAAACGGACATATATTATCCAATTGACGAAAATGTGTGTTCAACGTTCTACATCGATTAAAATATTTAGACAATGATTTAGAATCATATCATAAATAAGAACAATAATAAAATAAATGAGTTTTTTTACCGGACGGGTTTGGCGGGACGGGTTTTTGAATCAACAATAATAAAAAGATTAAAATATCATTAATCCGCCGCTTCAATACAGATTAAATCCTTTTTTTTAAGACCACAAATATTAGACATATTAAATCAGTCTCATTTAGAAAAGATTGTATAAAACCAAAAATTGTCCCGTTGTATAATGTCCCGTGGTCTTACAGGATGATATGATTTGTAAACTTTTATATATAATAAATAATCATTAAATTTGAAAATAAAAACAAATCACGGACGGATTAAGAAATTACGGAACATGTTATATTTCGGAAATGATTTATATGGCGGACGAATTTGAATCAATATTTATATACCACTTTAATACGGGTTAAATCCTCTGTTTATTAATAATTATCTCGTGGACTCGTGGTATACCGTTACTTAATAACAATTATAAACTATAATATAAATAAATATGTTGTAAGGAGATACAATTTACAAAATATTTTTATACTAACTTTAAAATTAAATCATCCTGCGGTGTACCGCGGGTTAAAATCTAGTTAAAAAATATAACGCATGAATCCGTTAAAAACAAAACTATAAAGAATTAGATGTATTATTTTCAAATTGTATAGATGTGATTTATATAAACAAACGTGGACATATATTTCTGAGAAAAAAACATGGACATATTAAACGTGGAGTATATAATTGTAGAGCTTAAATGTGTATTATGTGACCTATTACCTATATATACACAATGTTTTGCCATGATGATATTATTCATAACAAACAATTCACAGGGGAAAAAAATCCAAAGAGATCTTGGAACAAAAAAAGAAAAACAAACCCAAGAGAAGTAACATACGTAATGGTTAGACGTGCAAAACATGGCTAAAATTCTAGAACAAACTATGATGATCGAATCAAAGGCCACACAACATAACAGTGATTTGCGATGACTTTTCGTTTCACAATAAATACTAGACATGTGCTGAGTTTCTATTTAGATAATACCAAATCTTTGAATTTTTGTGTATGTGGTTGATCTAACTCGACCAATTATATTGATTCTGTCCCCATTTCCCTTTAATTCTGTCTTTACCACACCACAACACTAATCATAAAAAGTCACTATTTGTCTTTGATTTTGAATTCGTGAATATCAAAATGGGTAACAAATCCTCTGCTCAAAGTTCAACACCTTCTTTGCCGATTGATTCTACCTTCAATCTTCCTTCTCCATTACCATCTTGGCCTCCAGGTTCTTGTTTAGATTTTTACTTGTTGTTTTTCCTCTGTTTCAGCTCTGTTTTTTTTTTTTGATGTGTATGAATTTTTGTTTTGATTTTACAGGAGAAGGATTTGGGCAAGGGAGAATCGATTTGGGAGGTCTTGAAGTTTTCCAAGTAGAAATATTTAACAAAGTATGGACTGTATACGAAGGAGGACAAGATAATCTCGGAGCCACTTTCTTTGAGCCGTCTTCAATACCAGAAGGCTTTACGATTCTCGGGTTCTACGCTCAACCTAATAACCGCAAGCTTTTCGGAAGGACACTTGTCGGAAAAGACCTCTCCGGCGACTCTTTGAGACCCCCGGTGGATTTTCTTCTTCTTTGGAGCGGCAAATCTACAAAGGTAGAGAACAACGGGGTTGAAACTGGATTCTTTTGGCAGCCTGTACCTCCTGATGGTTACAATGCAGTGGGTCTAGTCGTTGCAACCTCAGGTGAGAAACCTCCTCTAGATAAGATCCGTTGTGTCCGTTCCGATTTGACAGATCAATCGGAGTCTGACGCTCTGATATGGGAAACTAATGGGTTTAGCATTTCGAGTTCTAAACCTGTTAACAGAGGAACACAAGCCTCTGGAGTCTGCATTGGCACGTTCTTCTCAAACTCTCCAACTCCGACCTTACATTGTCTGAAAAACAACAAATTCGATTTTTCTTGCATGCCAAGCAAGCCCCAGATCGATGCTCTGTTTCAAGCTTACGCCCCTTGGATCTATTTCCACAAAGATGAGAAGTATCTCCCATCATCTGTCAACTGGTTCTTCAGCAACGGTGCCTTGCTTTACAAGAAAGACGATGAATCAAACCCAGTTCCAGTCGAACCAAACGGTTTAAACCTTCCCCAAGGTGAATCCAACGATGGTCTCTACTGGTTAGACCTACCTGTTGCTTCTGACGCAAGGAAACGAGTTCAAGGTGGTGATTTGCAGAGCATGGAAGTGTATCTGCACATAAAACCTGTTTTCGGTGGAACCTTCACAGACATAGCCGTGTGGATATTTTATCCGTTCAACGGCCCGTCACGAGCCAAGCTCAAGGCCGCTACAATCCCGTTGGGGAAAATCGGCGAACACATTGGAGACTGGGAACATTTCACTCTCCGAATAAGTAACTTCAATGGCAAGCTATATAGGATGTATCTGTCGCAACACAGCGGAGGAAGCTGGACAGATGCTTCGGAGATCGAGTTTCAAGGCGGAAGAAACAAACCGGTGGCTTATGCTTCTTTGAATGGACATGCAATGTACTCAAAACCGGGACTTGTGTTGCAAGGCAAAGACAATGTGGGGATCAGGAACGATACTGGAAAGAGTGAAAAAGTAATTGATACGGCGGTTAGGTTCAGGGTTGTTGCAGCAGAGTATATGAGAGGAGAAGTGGAGGAGCCGGCTTGGTTGAATTATATGAGACATTGGGGACCAAAGATTGATTATGGTCATGAAAATGAGATTAGAGGTGTGGAAAAGATTATGGTTGGGGAGAGTCTTAAGAATACGTTTAGGAGTGCGATTAAAGGATTGCCTAATGAAGTTTTTGGAGAGGAAGGGCCTACCGGTCCAAAGCTGAAGCGGAATTGGTTAGGTGATGAAGTTTGAACCTCTCTGTTTTTTTTTTTCTTCTGGTTTTGTGGATCTCCTACTTGTGTTTCGTTTCTCGGTTTATTAGCGCCTTAAGGGACATTTCCGAAGACAGTTGTTTTCCTTTTTCTGATGTTTTGTAGTTTTTGTTCATTGTTAATTTACCATGTTCAAGTTCTTAACGTCTCGCCTTTATTTTACACAGACGTATGTCGCCTGTAAGTTACTTGTAAATTATTTATCATGTTCGTTGTCCGCCTCTAGCCAAGTCACTTGAAATTTTTTTTGCCCAAGTTTAATTAAGATTACAACTTTTACGTTACATATGATTTAAAATCTGTAAACCAAATTTTTTTTTATAAAAATTTCATTACTATAAAAATGTATATTCGATTTAGATAGTCTAGTATTTTAATTGTAGATGATATTTACATGGGTGATCGATCATCTAGTTTCCCCTTCAATATTTTCTGTTTACGAATAAATGCATGTGAACGAATTTAGAAAAACTAATGTAGAAGATTGACCCATGACTTAAACAGCATCTAATCAGTGTGTCATTTGGGCAAGAAAATTGTTCGAGTGACTCGAGTCAAAAGCGGGCATTTTCCATTCTTTTTCCGCCAAAGGCGAGATTTAATATTGGATTTGTTTTGCACCTTTTTTCGTTTTGTGATGTTTCGTAACCTTAGGTTTCCTTTATATCCTTAAAATTTCGTTAAAATGTCTTTTCTTTTGTATTGTCAATTAATGTTTTTCAGAATACTGTTTTGTTATAAACAAAAAAAAATCTTTTATCTCAAATTATGACGTCATATCTTCACATAAAATCTTATTTCCACGATGACGTTAAGTTCCCAAAATTTGAATAGGTCAGAACGTATGTTATACTTTCTTTTGAATTTTCATGATTGGAAACTATGTCCTTGAAAATAACGCGTTTCATCACAAGATGGGGTGATGTTTTAAGGCATGAGTCAATTTGATTGATTTATCATGGTGTAGTTATTGTAACCACTGAAAATCTACCTCAAAATGATAAAGTCTTTTAGCTCTAGTTTCTTAACTTTTAGAATATATGATAAAGTCATGAGTCAACTCTTAATCTACACCTATAAATTACAAAGAGTAGTTGATAAAATTTTATAGAAATCCAAAGAGTGCTATCTAAAAGAGTTCTTAATAACACTGTTAAATAGTTTGTTAACATGATGGGAGTGGCCAGTTTTGCGGTAGCTCTGATGGTAACGTCACTGATAATCGCTACTTGCGCTGATGGAAAAGAGTTCTCTCACCACCGGGAAGTTAAAGTACAAAGATTTTTGAAGCAGCTTAACAAGCCAGCTCTTAAATCCATTAAGGTATCATCTTATACAAATTCCATATGCATGCATATACTTCATGCTTTGAATAAATTCGCGCACAATTTTTTTTTGAGACTAACTGTTTTGCTTTAATCTTTCTTACAGAGTGAAGACGGCGATATAATTGACTGTGTTCCAATAACTAGCCAACCCGCTTTTGATCATCCTTTGCTTAAAAATCACACCATTCAGGTTTGCTATCATTTACAATCTCTGTTTTGTTTACACATACATGACCGTGTTAAAACAGGAAGTCTTCTCACGTAGGTAAAACCAAGTTTTGTCCCAGAAGGGGAAGGTGACTCTACGTACATGAAGAAGAAGACAAAGGCTACTCAAGTGTGGCACAAAGATGGAGAGTGCCCAGAAAAAACAATCCCGATAAGAAGAACAAAAAAAGAAGATATCTTACGAGCAAAATCCCTTGAAAGATTCGGGAAAAAGAATCATCAATACAGTCCTGAAGATACATCCTCTAGTCCAAATTATCACCATGAGGTATGTGTTGCTCTTTTTCAAATACTCTTTTCTAGATTAGTTATACTAAAGGGTGGACGCGAAATATATGTGATTCGCTCTAATTGACATACTTCTGATATGTATTTTACTGACTTAAGTCCGTTTTAAAGCTACCCAGACATTCGAGGTTTAAGTATCTCCAAAATTTGGATATTAGATTGAATATATGATATTTAAAAGTAATACTCTAAGATACCACTTAACTAATTAGTTTTTGTTCCTACCCAAAAAAAACTAATTAGTTTTTGTTCCAAAAGTATAATCACTATTTTTTTTCAAATACCAGTATATATATACTTTTTAGTCCAAAAATACCACACACACTAAAAATAATTTTAAGGGATCATAATTTAAAAGTTTAGATTTACTATTTTGTATTTAGGGTTTAGAGTTGTTTAAGAAAAATATAAAAAAACAAGTAATAATATTTTCGGAACAAAACTCATTCTAGTAGTATTTTTGAGTAACAAATGATTAAAAATGATAATAAAAAAAAAAAATTAGGTACGTTTTTTATATTAATAGAAATTAATTTATGTGTGCAAAAATACCATTCACATTCAAAAATTGCAGATTAATCTTACAAAATTAAAAGTAATATGCAATATAACCCTTTTCGCTATCACATATTTACAATATATATTATGTGTCGAATCCTAATCACACGACTTTCCCTGGTTTAGTACGCGTTCATGGGTGTGAGAAACGGAAAATTTTACGGGACAAAAGCCTCGATAAATATCTGGAAACCAAATGTAGCAGATCCCAGCGAATTCAGCTTGTCACAGACTTGGCTCGTATCTGGAGTAGGCACTAGTCGTAACACTATTGAAGCTGGTTGGCAGGTTTGGACTTCCACCCTTAATATAATGACGTCTTGTTCATATGCAGGACATCATAATTAACACAACCTGAATTTGTTTGTCTTAATTTATAGGTTTATCCAGGAATGTACGGTGATAATAATCCTAGATTATTTGTTTATTGGACCGTAAGTTCCCATTTTTCCACCCTAATTAAACACAGTCACTTCAAAATAGACAAGTTTGTTTCTATTCGACGTGTTGAGAATCCGAAACCACATTTATTTTCACTTCAAAATATGTTTTATCTTGTAAATTAAGATTCCTTCTTTACTAATGAAAGTTCATGCTTATATATATGATATTATGATTAGAGCGATGGATACCAAAAGACAGGATGCTACAATCTCCTGTGCGGCGGTTTTGTTCAGACGAACAACCAGTACTCTGTAGGTGGATCCTACAATACCGTGTCAGAATACGACGGAGCTCAACTAAGTCTCAACCTACTTATATGGAAGGTAATAATACCGTAATTCCTTTATCCACCTTAACAAGTCACCAGTAGGCAGATTCATAAGATTAAAGACCAGTTAAAATTATACCAACGATCTAATCGTATAGTTTACATCTACTTTATGAATCTATTATAATTTCCAAATGTTTCCATCTGTATTTTGCTCACTTAAAACCGTAAATAAAGTCCCTCCACTAAATCCAATTTAAATTAGCAAAACAAAATCTCATATCCTTTACTAAAGGAAAAGTCAAGCCAGTGAAAATAACCTTTGTTAATATATTATTATATATTTATTTTACACGCAAATAACTCATAATTAAAATTTAGTGGAAAAGTCCTTTCTTAACAGTATGTAATATATTAGAGGCAATCTTGTTTTCTAACTCTTCATCAACATGAAATGGATACTTTTGCGATCATCAGGACCAAAAAACAGGAAACTGGTGGCTAAAGATAAATGACAATGACATTATCGGGTACTGGCCCGGCTCGTTGTTCAATTCTCTAGGAGATGGAGCTATAAAAGTTGAATGGGGAGGCGAAATCTTCACGCAAACCAGTAAGACACACACAACCACCGATATGGGAAGTGGGCATTTTGCAGAGGAAGGGTTTAAGAAAGCGAGCAATGTACGAAATATTATGATAGTTGATGGGACAAATGCTCTGAGAGAACCATAAGGACTTTACTCCGTTGCTGATAATCGTAATTGTTACAACGTTGTAGCAGGAAATGGTGGAACTCCCTTTGGTACTCATTTCTTCTATGGTGGTCCTGGTCAGAACGCTATGTGCCCTTGATCTGATCTGTGTGTTCAAAGAAGCTTTTGAGATTTCGAATCTATGTTTGATCCTATCTTTAATTATAGTTAAGTGTCTTTATCTATGTGTAAGGTTTCATATATAGTTTATAATAAAGAACATTTATGTTTGTTCCAGTCCTCTGTTTATAAATCAAGTTTGTAGAAATAAATAAGAAGACGACATCAAGTGGAAACTCTCAACATTATAGAAGAGTTAATTGACACTCAACGGCAAAAGGACCTAAACGGTGATGATGTGGTTTTGTGGAGACGAAAGGACGACAAATTTCAAACCGCTTTTTAGTTCTAAAGATACGTGGCATCATATCCGAGAAGCACATCCCATAAAAGTCTGGTGGAACGGGATTTGGTTCTCATACACAACTCGAAAATTAGCTTGCATATCTTGGCTTGCAATGCATAATCGACTCTAAAAAATTTCTTTGTTTGAATTAATTTAACATTCGATTCAAAAAAGAAAAACAAATGAAAAAAACCAAGGGGATAATGGGATATCCGATGATTATAAATCTAAAAAAATAATCTAATTTTATGGCTTAATTTTCAATGGGAAGCTTCCAAACGGAAAAAAATAAAAGATTGTGTTCGAACCACCAATTAACGGGCTTTCGATCATTCATAGTCAGGCTTCCCATTATTCCCTTGGTTTTGAATTTCATTTCAGTTATTTATTGCTAAAACTTGATTGATGATCACCTTTCACCGAGTGAGAGTCTTAGAGATTTAAAGAAGTTTAGCGCACAAAAAATATTTGTTTAAAAGCTGCTCACATCAGACCAATTTTCTTGCCCAAATTACACGTTCTTGTAAATTGTCATGATACGGATCCGAAAATGATAAATTCTTTCAGCACTAATTTCTTAATTTATACATGATATATGATGCACTTGGATTAATTTTTCTTTCCCTAGTAACGCGTTTCATCACAAGATTGGGTGATGTTTAAGTCATGGGTCAATTTTCACTGATTTCCATTCCATGGTGTTATTACTGCTATAACCACTTACAAAATTTATCACAAGAGGATAAGGTCATTCAAGCACTAATTTCTTAGTTTATAGAATATATGAGCAATCTGCTCCTATAAATTCCAAAGTGTAGTTGATAAAAAATTATACTCCAAATAATACTAACTAAACATCTTTCTAAGGATTATAATTAACCATGGTAGGAATGGCTGGATTCGCAGTGTCGTCTCTGATGGTGATAGTGGTATAATATCTCCTTGCGTCTATGGAAAAGAGCTCCCTGATCACTGGGAAATCGAAGTACAAAATCTTTTGAAGCGGCTCAACAAACCTGCGGTTAAATCCATTAAGGTGTTTTATACAATTCCATATGCATGCATATATAACTCCATGCTTTGGGAATTTGTGGACAAAATATTTGAGAGACTAATTAATTAATTCTTGGATTTAATTCTTACAGAGTGAAGATGGAGACATAATAGATTGTGTCCCAATTACTAGTCAACCAGCTTTGGATCATCCTCTGCTTAAAAACCATACAATCCAAGTCTGCTCTTCGTTTATGGTCTCTCTTTTGTTTATTCATGATCATGTTGAAACGGGAAATTTTTGCACGTAGATGAGACCGAGTTTTATCCCAAAAGGTAATCATTCTACAAACACCAAGAAAAATGCAAAGGCTATAACTCAGGTGTGGCACAAGAATGGAGAGTGTCCTGAAAACACTGTTGCTATCAGAAGAACAAACAAAGAAGAAATCTTACGCTCAAAATCCATTGAGAGTTTCAGCAAAAAGACTCATCAAAGCTCCCCTGGAGACCATGAGGTGTTAATTACTCTCTCTTGTAGCCATGGTCGAACCATCTATATTTTTCATGGTGGAATTACTAGTTGTCATTAAATACAAATTGTATATATGGTAGATACTTTGATCAAATCAAATGTGCATGTGTTTTACTCATCCATTTACTCTTTATTTTTTATTTCATCATGCATCTTACGCCATATATTTTAATTGGAATAATCAAATTATATAATTTTATTCTTATATGTCAAATTTGAATTATACTAAATAGAAAAATATGAATCGTGCAACGTAATCTATAACTGAAAACCTAAAAAAAAAAACATGACATATAACTAAAGCTCATATTCTATACTATAAATATTTTCTGTTAATTTTGTAAATAATTTTTATTTTATCTATGCTTCTTAACTCAATTATAACAGTTGTATAACTTTTTGAAAAAGCTTATCTTGCAGGAATTTGAAAAAAAAGATAGAAATCCGAAAAATCTAGGATCAATATATATAATAAATCTGATCATCTCATTAGACAAAATCAATAAAACATTACAATATCTATTTTATAGAGAGTCACATAACTTTTGAATATTATGTTGCAAGAGAAATCTCGAGATGATACATCTGGGATTAACTTGGGCTTTAAGAAATGTAGAAAACTATAGTTGAACTACCTATATATCCTTGGACCACTGCTTGTGGCTTAATTAACACTTTTCTCATTTTCTTTGAGCCGGTTTAGCATGCAATCATGGATTCCGGGAACGGAAGGTTTTACGGGACATAATTTGTATTGAATATGTGGAGACCAGATGTTGAAGTTCCTTCAAAATTCAGCTTGGCTCAGACTTGGCTGTGGTCTGAATCTGACAATGGTCTTAACACCATTGAAGCTGGTTGGCAGGTTTTCTTCTTTTCTTTTTTTGTCCACACATCACTTACTACATCTCGTTCATCATATGCAAATAACACAAACTTTGTTTGCCTTAATTTATAGATTTATCCAGGAATGTACGGTGCTAATAATCTTAGATTATTTGTTTACTGAACGGTAAGTTCTCATTTTCAATTCCTAGTATCCGAACGAGAACCTATTTGGATAAGTGTGCTTAACATTCCAATTAATTACGTTAAACTGAACCAAGAGTCACGGTACTTTTTCAGTTTTTCCTAGTTTAATTTCTTAATTCTTAATTAATTAATATCCACGAGTTTAGGCGAATGTATATCAAGGGTCAGGGTGCTACAACCACGCCTGCTCAGGTTTTGTTCAGAGGAGCAATCGTATCACGGTAGGAGGATCCTTAGCTCCAATGTCACAATACGACGGAGCTCAGTACAGCCTCCCCATGCTTATTTGGAAGGTAACGTAGTATTTTTGAGGGAACTACCAACAAAATTTCAAATGATTCCTAGGCAGAGAGACCACTCCGGCACGATTTAGTCCAAACCGGCTCGTCCGATTGATTCCCGGTTTAAGCAATTCAGTCAATCAATTTGATATACTCCATTGAATTGGCTGACTGGTCCACAATTTCCTTGGTTCCAACTGCTCTTTTTTTTCATGAGGTGAATGTAATGGTTTTCTTTTGCCAGCTCCATGGTTCTAAAAGCACATGCAATATCCAAAAAAAAAAAATTGGTTGATTGGCCTACTTAGACAAAATAAAAATTGTACGACTAATCGGACAATTCACTCGTTGCTCCGATTTTGAATAAATTGGGTATTGTATATATATATATATATACACTTTTAATAGAACATTTATGTTACCATAATATTTTAGGATACGCAGTTTAGATGAAAACACAAAAATTAAAAGATTAAGATATTATGATTTAATGCATACAAAAATTAAGTGAGCAAATGAAAACAAATACTACACAATTTGAATGGTAATAAACTATTAACTAAATCTAAATTTTGTCTAGAAAGTTGAAATTTTATAAAAAGCAATGGAGGGAATATTATTACTTTCATTTTTTAAATTTCTTTTTGAAAAATAGTTATTAAGATTTTTTATAATACTCCTTTTGTCCTAATATATAAGATGTTTATACTTTTTCTTTTGTTTCATTTTATTAGATGTTTTGTAGATTTCTATGCAACACTTAAATACATTTAGTATTTTCTAATCATTTATGTTAAGCAGTATTTTCTATGCTTGGTTGAATTGTTTCAAAATAAAATATTAAATGATATTTTATAAAGAAAATATTTTTTAATATATGTGTTTTTTAATCAAAACATCTTATAAAATGGGACAGAGGGAGTAATATTTAGTGCATTTAGTTAAAGTTAGGTTTAATATTTAATTTATTTATAAATTAGACCTAAATATGAATATTTTATTTCTAAATATTTATTTCTGTAAAAATAAACCCTAAAAATATATTTATCAAATTTTTTAAGATTTTAAACTTATTTATCATTTGATATTAACGCGATTAATTGAAATATGTTTAGTGACTTCAAATATTTTGGTTTTATTTGAATTATTGCTGTATATTTATGTGATTAATTTAGTAGTCTCTTTAAATAGACAAAAAAAAAATCCTCAGAACTAATATTTTAAATCTACTGACAAAAGTTTTTCTTTATTAATACTAAATATACAGAAACAACTAATATAAGTTATCACTTTTCTTATTTTTAGATTCTTAAAGATATTTTTTATATTTGATAAAAAAGTTGAATGTTCTATTTCTTACAAGTTACAAATATAACACAAGTACACAACACAAAAACCCATATATATATGTACCATGTCCCAATTATCTTCCAACAATTATTTCAAAAGTGTGAGCTTATACTAACAATGATGCTTAATCAGACAGTGATCTTCCTCCTTCTTTGGGTGATCATAGATCTTGTAGTCGGAATTACTTTGGCCGGAAAGATCAAACTTTCTGATTTACATGAGCAGAAAATCGAACAACGGTTGAAACAACTCAACAAACCCACCGTTAAATCTATCCATGTATTCACAATTACTACTTTTAATTACCTCTGGTTTGCTTTTTTGTTGGTCAACTAACTCTGGTTTGCTATTCCCAATATTTTCTTGGCTAAATGGTTTTATGTTTTGCTTTAATTTTTATATTGAATAGAGTCCAGATGGAGATATAATTGATTGTGTATGGATATATCACCAACCAGCTTTTGATCATCCTTTACTCAAAAACCACACCATTCAGGTTTTTTGTAATACTTTTTTTTATTCACTCTTCAAATCATATTACCTCTACGTTTTGCTCAAACGCTTCTGGTTTATTTCGGGGAAGATGTGGCCGAAAAGTGACTCGATAAGGGACAAGACTGGAGGTAACAAGACAGACATTATACATCAATTGTGGCGCACAAAAGGTGAATGTCCTGAGGACACTATTCCTATCAGAAGAAGAACAAGAGATGATCTTTTAAGATCAGATTCCATCGAAACTCATGGAAGAAAGAACCCACCAACCATTTTTCCAACTACTTATCACCTCCCCGATGATCAAAAAGAAGTTCATGAGGTATGTATACATAGCCCCGGCAAGTTTTTTTGAAAAAAGTGCTTCATTTTATAACTAAATATTTTTGACTCTTTAATTTTTATTCTTTATAGTAAAACTATTAAGAGCTACCCTTAACTATTATAACGATTGATTTTATATAATTTTGGATCCCTTCCTTTAATTGTAGCATGCGAGTGTGCACCTGGACTATGGTGAATACCATGGCAGCAAGAGCCGTATAAGTATATGGAAACCAGACGTTTCAAATACGACCGAGTTTAGTTTGGCTCAAACATGGGTCGTCAATGGAGATTGGGACAATGGTTTGAACACTTTGGAGTCTGGTTGGCAGGTACTACTGTTTTTGCTATGGTTAAGACTTCTCTATGTGTGTGGGGCTTTTTTGTACGTAAAAAATTGGCCCTAGGAACTAGGATATAGTGTCGCGTTGTTGCAAAATTAACTGATTTTTTAACTCAATTCTGAATCGATAATAAGTAATACTCATATATACCACCTTATGTATTCGGAAGTACTACTATTTCTAACTTCATTTTATTTACTCTTTATGATAGATTTTTCATTGTATGTACGGTGACAATAATACAAGATTTTTCACCTATTGGACGGCAAGTTTCCCTATTTTATTAATCTTAATTAAAATTGTCATGCATTGATGAAGGGTTACTAATATTTTCTGATAAAACATATATAGAGCAATTCATATGGAAAGAACAGCTGCTACAATCTTGACTGTCCAGGCTTTGTTCAAGTGAATAAAGATGTTGCCCTTGGTGCAGCTTTCAACAGTATCTCGACCTACAATGGTAAACAATATGATTTCCTTCTAACTATTGAGAAGGTATAATTTATCTAGAAAGTACTTAACAAACACAACTTATAACAGTTTCAAAAAGAAGGTCATCACTAAATTAAGCTACAACAAAATTTTAGGAACAAGATACCGGACTTTGGTGGCTTAAGTTTGACACATATCAAGTTGGATACTGGCCAAGCTTTCTAGTCCCGAAGCTAGCAGACTCAGCACGGATGATCGCTTGGGGAGGTGAAATTGCGCATGATGCTAGTGGCCAAAAGGAACACACGAGTACGCAAATGGGGAGTGGCCATTTCGCGGAAGAAGGTTTTAAGAAGGCGGCTTACATCAATAGCATAGAGTACATCGATAAAGCTAATTATCCAATCAAACCCTCTCCTCAAAATCTTGAAGCTATAGTTACTCGGCCTGAATGTTATAACCTCAAGGTTGGCTCTAGCCGAAGGTGGGGAACTTACATTTTCTATGGCGGACCTGGACTTAACCCTCAATGCCTATGAAAAGTGACATGATTTTCCGAAATTTCTTTAGAAAATGTTTGGGACAACCTTTGTGATTGAACGTAATAGCGTTCTTAAGATGTAAACTATTGAAGACTAATAAATGGTTTTGCATTTGTGGTAAAAAAAAGTCATATCAATCAATATTTTATTAAGCAACACGTTTTTCTTGTTGGATAAAAACGTAACGAGTCGTTGTCACTAATTAACTTATCAAGTGCTACCTTGCACGATTTGTAACTTGCAGAAAAAGAAGACAGAAGGATATGATAAAATTTATGTATATTTAGAATAAAACCTTGCACGACACCTTCCGTTAGATCGATCAGCTTTGACTTATACGTTTAAATTTGCGTTTTTTTCATTCACAAAGAAGAATATGCTTTACACTTATCCTCTCTGTGGCTTTTATCTTCTCTTTCTTATTAAGTTCTATATTTCTTTATGAGAACACCAAGATAGTACATTTTATATATAACCCACGACTCCAAGTTTCCTCTGTTTTTAACAAAAACAAGAACAAAAAGTTTCCTCTGTTGAAATATCTGTATTATAAACTCTTCCCTTCCGCTATCTGAAAAATGGGAAACTGCCTTTCAATCTCGGATCCATCTCTTGAAGATGCATCAAAGAAGCTTCTCAAAGCACTTCCCGTCGACACTGCCTTCAAGTTTCCCTCACCAATGCCTACTTTTTCTCAAGGTTTGTATTATCATCAGTTCTTACTGATCTCTCTCGCTCTCTCTCAATTAGTTTGATGATCTTGATTTGACTTGCATCATCATCAGGTGATGATGGTTTTGCGAAACGAACAATTGACTTGGGTGGTGGTCTCGAAGTTAGTCAAGTTTCGACGTTCAACAAAGTTTGGTCCACTTATGAAGGAGGACCAGACAATCTCGGAGCTACATTCTTTGAACCATCCTCAATCCCTTCCGGTTTCTGCATCCTCGGCTACTACGCTCAACCAAACAACCGTAAACTTTTCGGTTGGGTACTCACAGCTAGAGATCTCTCAAGCAACACCTTAAAACCACCAGTAGATTACACCCTCGTAGGAAACACCGAGTCGCTCAAAATCAAACAAGACGGAACCGGGTATTTCTGGCAGCCCGTTCCTCCTGATGGATATCAAGCCGTTGGTCTAATAGTCACAAACTCCTCACAAAAGCCATCTCTAGACAAACTAAGCTGCGTTCGATCCGATTTAACCGAACAATGTGAAGCTGATACATGGATATGGGGCACAAACGGAGTCAACATCTCAAATCTAAGACCAACCACAAGAGGAACACAAGCTACAGGTGTCTCTGTAGGTACATTTACTTGCCAAACCCAAAATTCTTCTCTTCCTCCTCCAGCTTTATCTTGCTTAAAGAACACGAAATTGGACTTCTCTACAATGCCAAATGGGTCCCAAATCGGAGAATTGTTCCAAACTTATTCTCCATGGATCTATTTCCATCCAGACGAAGAATATCTACCTTCCTCTGTCAATTGGTACTTCAACAACGGAGCCTTACTATACAAGAAAGGCGAAGAATCGAAACCAATCCCTATCGAATCAAACGGTTCTAATCTTCCACAAGGCGGATCAAACGATGGATCATACTGGCTAGATCTTCCAATAGACAAAAATGGTAAAGAGAGAGTCAAAAAAGGAGACTTACAAAGCACAAAAGTGTATCTTCACATCAAACCAATGCTTGGAGCAACATTCACAGACATATCAATCTGGATCTTTTACCCTTTCAATGGACCAGCAAGAGCTAAAGTCAAATTCGTGAATCTACCATTGGGGAGAATCGGAGAACACATTGGAGATTGGGAACACACGACGTTACGGATCAGTAATTTCACCGGAGAGCTATGGAGAGTGTTCTTATCGCAGCATAGCGGTGGAGTTTGGGTCGACGCTTGCGATTTAGAGTTCCAAGGAGGAGGAGGAAGTAACAAGTTTGTGGCGTACGCTTCGCTTCATGGACACGCGATGTATCCGAAACCTGGATTGGTGTTGCAAGGAGACGATGGGGTTGGGATTAGGAATGATACGGCGAAGGGTAAAAAGGTAATTGATACGGGATTAGGGTATGAGGTGATTGCGGCGGAGTATGACGGCGGAGGAGTGGTGGAGCCGCCGTGGGTTAATTATTTCAGGAAGTGGGGACCGAAGATTGATTATAATGTTGATGATGAAGTTAAGAGTGTTGAGAGGATATTGCCTGGGCTTTTGAAAAAGGCCTTTGTTAAATTTGTGAAGAAGATTCCTGATGAAGTTTATGGTGAAGATGGGCCTACTGGGCCTAAACTCAAGAGTAATTGGGCTGGTGATGAAAGTTGATGAATTTGTTTGTTTTTCTTTTAGATTGTTTGCCTTGATTCTTTGTTTATAAAATTCTCTTTTTATGTAAAAAGTTTATGTTTTTATATAAACACTATGTTTGGCTAATTGGCAAACTCAAAAAAAAATTGAAATTTATGAACATATTTGTATCATAATAAAATACTTTAGAATTTAGATACAATAACCCAAAAGGAAAAACCAAAAGTACAACAAGATCTACAAGGAGTTTATGAAAGGAATTATAAGAAGTTTCTTTTTGTCTATATAATCAATCATTCACTATGACTTATGTGAGTTTCATAGCTTTTTTTCCCAAAATTTCAGAAATCCAGAGATCCACATTGTTTGCTCTCTATAGATTTTGCAACAGATCCAGGCTTCTTTGTTTCCATCTTATGATCACCATTTACGCCTCGCGGTCTTCCAATACCCATCTTAGGCAAACCACGGTTCAGTCCTTCCAACAAAACACAAGCTTTGCACCATTTCTGCATATCATTTGTAAAATCCAAAACAAGCAAACACTATATTAACTCTAATTCTCTTCAGCATAACAATTGACTTGATGTGATAAGATAAGAGAAGGTCTCACCTGGCTAGAAATATACCCGCATCGCTCACACGTCCCTTGCTCAGGCATCTTTGTGGTTGTCGCAATTCTAAAATCTTCACCCGATTTTATGATGTCCAGAATCGCCCTTGGCCTGCACTTTGTGTAGTTAGAGATCTCTACTTTGCTTATGTGATTGTAGCGGATACTAACACAAAAAAAAAAAAAGTAAAGAAAGAACCTTATTCTTTCCAAATCTTTGATGAACTCACGGGCAAACCCACGATATGCATTAGGAGAGTATATGCCTGCAAACTCAAAAGAACCAAGAGTTGTCTTAAGCCATAAAATAACTAGAGATCAGAAACTATAACTTAAGAACAGAGAAAACCCTACAAAAAGTTGATAATTGCACACTTACATTCGGTGGAGAAGTAATCGAGCTTCTTGAAATAAGCATACGTATAGCTACGTTAAGGTATCACAATATCTTTTCTTCACAAGTTTTAGTGATATATAATCATCATTTATTCAAAACAAAAGGATTACTTAGTGAAGGATATATGACAATCTCCTTTTCGTACGTATACTTGAAAGGTTTACATCTTGGAATGGGACCATCTTCACCAGTAGTAATCGATGTGCACCGACTTAATCTACAGTTGCCAATGTTACAAATATCAACTAGCTGAAGAACGAGAGAGATTTTCATTTTCCATCAAAATCATCAACAAATACTTACCTGGCAATATCCCCTCGCAATATGTTCAAGAGAACGGTTTCTGCTATATCATCAGCATTATGTCCAGTGACTAGCTTATCTACTTTCAATAAGGCAGCTCCTCGATCAAGTGCCTTCAGATGAATTAAACAAAAGCAGTTAAACACAAGATTGTTGGTGGTATGCATAGTTATTGACAAACTGTAAGTTGAACAACAAAAAGAAAACTGCACTGCTCCCTACCTGTCGACGGAATACACCACAAAAAGTGCAATTGTTCTTCAAACCGATCATTTTCACAATCTCGTCCATTGTCCATCCATACAGATCTTTGTATGAAACAATCTGGAGAGGCAAACCATACTGGAACAAAAAAAATAAAGAACCCATCAAATGAAAAAGGCCATAAAACAATCACCTAACACACATGAAATTCAAAAAGACGCTTACTTGGACTTCGTTCCGTTTAACAGTCTCAAGAGAATCATCACGATAACCCGTAATCCCTTCATCTATAGACAAGAGAAAGAGGTCCAGCCCATAATTGTGGCGTCTGTTTAGTTCTGATAACACATATGCCAGAACGGTAGAATCTGCAAAAACAATCTAAAGGTGTTACAGTATGTTAAAGAAAAAGATGGTAACCAAAAAGATCAATCAGAATCCAAGGAATTCGGAAATAGTTTAGAAATTTTGAAAGGGAAACAATAACCTTTTCCACCAGAGGCACCTATAGCAACACGTTCACCGGATTTGAATAAACGATTCTGAACAATGACTTGATGAATCTCCTCCTCAAAAACCTCATAGAAGCACTCTCTGCATATCTTTAAACACACATACTCAATCACTTCTCATAAATAACAACACCGAAAGAGGAAGCTCTAGCAACTAGCAATAGACTGGGAAACTAAAAAATTTCACTTTCGATATTGATCCAATTCCAACGAACCAGTTCGATAATTTTGATTCGATTCCACATAAAGATCATATCCAAAACAATGCAATTCATAGAAGAGCCAAATCTTACAGTATACAAGTTTGTTCCAAGCTTCTTTTCAAAATCTTAGCTAAAACCCCAAAAACAAGATTCTAAGCGAAAAGAGAAGAAAGAGGAATTGAAAAGTTACCTGTTGAAGGGTTTTAGGTCTTTTGAGAACGGGACGTCGCAGGTTGCATAAGCAGCAGAGACGAGAGGCTACTGCTTTCTTGCTCTTGGCCTCCATTTTTCACCGGAGCTCATGCGGATGAGAGAATTTCCCGGGATTACTAGTGGGAGGTGAAAAACGACCTAAACTAGTGTCGGAGTGAAACGGCATCGTTTACGTATGTGGGGCCATAAATGGGCTTCGACGGAATTCGCAGTCAGATTTAAATGGCATCGGGTTTTACGTGGGCCGTAAATGGGCTTTGACGAGAACTCGCAGTTAGACGACACGGTATCGTTTTAGCGAAGGTGTCGTCAGTGTTGCAGAGTTTGACTTTGTCCCATCGATTAAAACACTGACTGACGCAATTATTTTTTCATAAACTTGGCTTCCATGTATTCGTGCACATCTTCCATGTCCATCGCTTGATCACAAGTTTCAGCGATGGTAGTCATTCCAACAAGAATCTGAGATCTTTAGCAAGATACTTTTTGATGTTTACTCAGCTGGTTTTTTTGTAAGGATGAAATGAATCAGCCCAAGATTTCTTGGTGAGGTTCATATACTTGCTCAGTTTCTTCCTCATCCTCTGTTTTTCGTGTCCTGTTTCTTTACTTGCTCTGTTTCGCGTGTTCTGTTTTCTTTTCTTTGCTAGCTCTGTTTTCTGTGCTCTGCTATCTTTTTGCTCTGTTTCTCTACTTGTTATGTGCTCTGCTTGAGACCCCTAACAAATGGAGCAGATGTTTCTCCCTGAGAGCATCAACATGGCTAGATCTAGTCAGCTTCGCCAAGAAATAAAAAACTGAATCATTTCCTCCGTTTATCAACCAGTATAACATTCAATATATCTATCAACCAGTATAAGCTGGAAGACCACAAACAGGTTTGCATGAGTAACTGCTTAAAAAGACAAAATTTTGATGGTTCTCCATTGTATTTTCCTATCTTTACGTGAAAGCAAAAGAAATATGAAAATCAGCTTATGGGCTCATTACTCATACTTCATCAGTATTTATCTTCCCGGTCTCAAAAGGCCAGAGAATAACCAAATGAAAGAACTTAACATTACACCACACCAAATAAAAAGAAGATAGTTGTGCAGTATGACCAAAAAATAACTTAACATTGATCTATATCCAAAACATGGTGCAGTATGATCAATTGCTTTGTGAATCAATCTTTTTTTCCTCAGAATCTGTAGAATAGAGAGACTATGTTCTGAGAATAGAGAGACTATGTAATGGATTAAGTTTTAACTCTTACCTTTATGTGTTCATCAATTATCTATGTTCTGATTTTCTAATGAAAACCAAAACAAAGAGTACTAATTAGAAAGACTTTTAAAGACTCATTCTTTATTCATCTTCAGGGTATCAGACAAGGAAGATTCAGTGAAGAAAGCGATTAAAGGACAGATAACATGAAGAAAAAAATCAACTTGCATTAATTTTTAGTGACTTGAAGTAATTCTTGTACAAATGTTTTGCCTGTCGCAGTGTGATATAAACCTATACTTATGACCAAAACTAGCAGACTGAAACATATTACTGTCAAACAGTAACCAAGTTTTGAGCTATATGTGTTTACCAGACCAGAAGCGTTGCGTATCTTCCTTCTTTTCATTCTAGTAGTAGCGGTTGACACAAAGGCTTTAGAATTGTGCTATCGAGTTCCATAAAATATGTTACAACAACTCCAACAAGCGAGCAAACAGCTGGAACAAGTCCTAACCCATATCTTGTCACCGAGAAGTAAAAATATTCTTTGATGTTTACATCGACCTTTGGTGAAGTGCCTGCACCATTTTCCACATCACACTTCCACCAACAATTTCTCGATAATAAGATATTATTAGAAAGAAAAACAAAAATTACCTTGATGTGACTGAAGAACATATAAGGCAAGCCCACATGACATTTTGTCTAAGAAGCTTAATGACCCACAAACAAAAGCACATCCACCGAGTTCTGAACCAATCAACACACTCTGCATACTAATTGCTGTCACCTGTAAAAGTTGTGATAATCAAAAGACGGATCTTTTAGTACCATGTAAACACATGAAGACTTCAGATATAACAAAGGAGTGTCTTACCAGCATTAATGCATTTGCGATGCCGATAAAGACAGAGATCGCATACATGTAAGAGTTAATGCTTCTGGGCAATAAGAGGATTGATATACCGCAGAATATCCAAATAATACCACCCGCACAATAATATGCCTTGAGGCGTTTTCCATTCCAAGGAATCTCCTACATTGAATGGAATATGTAGTTACATAACAGACAGAAAACAAAACAAAAAAGTTTAGAAACGAAGAAGATAAATGCGTTTAAACTTGTTGCAACCTGAAGCATAACCGATACAACGAAGCTGCAGATGTAGATTATTGCGGGAATCTAAAAATTAAGCATTGATCAGAATAGTTTGATGATCATAGAGATGAAAGCTAAGTGCAGTGCTTCTCTTTCTTTTACCAGAGCTTTAGCAGATTGAGCCATTTGCAAATCATCAATAACAAAGAAAGCAAGATATGCCTGCAAATATTAAAGTCATCCTCAATTGTAAGTATTGATCGAGTACAAAAGAAGCAAAGCATGAAAGATACATAAACTAACTAACCTGTGAAACATTCAATACTAGTCGAGTGAGGAGATAAACCATAGCAACTTGATAGTATAGAATTTTACGGAACCAATAAGACCATGGTATTCTTGATCGGCTAGTCTCTCTTAAATTTATCTTCATCCTTTGAAAATAAAATAAAAGCAACTCATTTTCAATAGAAATATCATCTATCATGCATGAAACGTTGGTAAAAACTAAAAACTGATATAAGCATTTCAGAGAAAAGTGTGCATTACCTTGGTTCCTTTGTCCCCATAAGAAATATGACCACAAAGCAGCAGCCAACGGTGATGGATGAATAAGCAATCCAACGATACTGTAGACTTAGGCAGACTTAGAATCATATCAAAAGGCATTAACATAAACAAGTCAATAGAAGCACAAACCTGAGTTTCGGTATTTTCCTTTGTCACGGCCTTGCTAACACCAAATACAACTAAAGCAATCGCGTATAACCCTAAGTTAGCAACCTGAATAAACAGTTGATGGAAATGATAAAACATAAGCCTAAAAAGACATTTTAAAGAGCCTAAATAAGACCAAAGGGAAAGAGCTAACCATGCTAAACGCATTACGGGAGCTTGTTAGTGCTACTCTGCTTGTTGAATTCAATGTAATGCAATTAACCATAGCCCTAAAGAACATAAAGATTATGAAAAATGAACATCACACTGCGTAAACTTGAGATCAACCTAAAGAGAAGTTCTAAAGAAAAAAGAAAGATTGTTTACATGTGAGAAACCTGAGTAGCAGCCCATCCTACGTTGAAGATAGCTGCAAACATGCAATACGATAATGTTTCGACAGTTGAAGAGTTACTATGGAGGAGTGAACAAGGGAAACAACCGCCAAAAACAGAGGAAAATGAGATAGCAACTAATAGAGATCCTGCAGCATGCCAAATTTTGAAATGCCCAAATCTATCAATCTGTCATATGAAGTAGACAAAGTTGTAAGATAAAAAGATCATTTTATCTCAGTTCAGACTACAATGAAAAATTTAAGTTCCAAAGAAGTTACCAATTCACCAATGAAGATAGTAGCAAAACCATCAGCAACTTGACCAGAGAGCATGACAATTGCAGCATCCCTTCAGAAAAAAAAAAGATCGATTCATCTCACTGATTCACAGATTAAGGTGAAGAACTTTTGACAAAAAAAAAAACTCAGGAGAAGATTTTACCTTGGGGAGAGACCGATTTGGGTTAAAAACAAGAGGAGGTAAGTGAACCAACAAGAAGCAGTAATGTCATTAAGCATATGTCCAACTCCATAATAGAACACAGACAATCTTCCAAGTGGTTTTGTCGATGGATCTTCTTCTTCTTCCATTCCGACAGTAACCGATGACGTCATCAACCAATTGTTTGCAAAAGAGACAAAATCTTTTTTTTTCCTTCAACGATTCGAACCTGCAAAGACGTGCATGCAAAACCCATCAAGAATTTGGAAAACCCAAAACCTGGAATAGATTAAATTGCATCTAAAAATACAAACTTTCGGATTGAAGAAATTGAGGAAGAGTCGAAGAGAAGAGAGATTTCGAAACGAGCAATGAACAAACTTTCGTACCTGTAGGGTCAAAAGGAAGAAACTTTCGATCCCAAAATCGAATTTGAGTCAACAAAGCCTTTGTTTAGAATTGATTCAATAGAGATTGTCCCAAAGAAACGGGAATAAGAATAAGAAAGGAAAAGAAAAAACAACGGTGAATGAGAAAGTTTGTGTGAGCTTAACGAGAAACTTGCATCATTGTACAGTATTAAATATTAATACGTGTTACATGACACTAATTTTATTATTTTTTGCGTGTAAATACGTCATTCTTTTTCGAATTTATTATTATTGACCAGTATTAAAAAACAGAACAAAAGGAAAAGAAAAATCAATTCACTTCATGGAGAGAGAGAGGCAGAGAAGATAATATAGGAAACTGTGCGGTCATGTGATTGCTCTACGGATTTGCCGATTTGGTTATGGGAAATTTTTGGATAGTATAAGAAAAAAAGGTAGCATCAAGATTCTTCGAAATCTATTTATAGTTGAATATGTTTTGGTTCTGTGTGCTGTTACCTGTCTCTGCCAGAAACGAATATTTTTTTCTATTTTTTTTTTGTATAGAATTACTTTTGTAATAAGAGAATCATTTAGCAATTTCTTGTTTATATAAATTAGTTAGCCTAAATTCGGGTTGTCGAAATGTTCAACTAACTTTTGTTGAGTTCCTGTAATCCTTACTCTTTCTTGGATGAATCATAAAATTGAAGTCCTTGATCAGTAGTCCGGTTTGATTGATTACATAGAAACTGATTTTTGAACTATTAGAAATTAATATCAAATTTATGGTTACACTTATACATACCCCAAAAAATAAGGACTTGTCAAGTGCACCAATATTAATATCAATTGATATGTAACTAAAGGTATTGCAACTTGGATATCTATCTACGATTTTGTTTGTGCCTTCAATTCAATGATCATGTTCCATTTTTGCCTTGTCGTTCTCCTTTTTTTTTTTTGTGGATCCTATCCCCCTCTGATCTGTTTTCTTTGTTCTGTTTTTTTCTGATTTCTTTATTGGTGCATATTGTTTTGATGTTTATTTAGAGTATCAAATAGATACCATAATTTTTTTTTTTTTTTTAAATAGATACCATAATAGTTCCAGTTAATCTGTCGTCGAGAAGAGGCTAACAACGTAAATGAAATTACGTATGCGTGTGTGTGTTAAAAAAAATTAACAATTACGTGTGAATGCATGCAATGAAGACAAACCAAACAATTAGACTCAACGAACTCACGTAAAAGATTTTAAATAAAATTGATAAAAGCAAACGAGACAAAGAATAATAATAACTATAGCTCGTGTCTTATGCTGCGCCATACAAAAAAAAAGCTGAGAAGAGTTGTCACGAAGTGAAACTACGTTCATCAGTCAAAACAGTAATTGCCCAAAATCAACGTCACCGCAAATGTCGCAATTCCGCAAAAGCGACGTGACATCCTTTTCACTTTTCATTGTTATTATCTAAATGAGGATGAAAATATAAAAAATTACGAAGAAATGGGCAACAACTTCGATCCCTAGCCATTGTTTAGAGAAGCTTTGAGCGTGGTTCCTGCCTGGCGCAGAGGTCGTCCGACCACTGTTGTTACCATCACCGGATGCTGGGGTCGAAGACATGCTGGTGGGCTCAGGGGCCGAGCCAGTGGGAGCAGAGGCTGGGCCCGTTTCGTTCAGACCTTTAGCTAGCTGATAGAACACGTGGGCCTCCGGAGACTTCGGGTCCAAGTGAAGCAAAGCTGAAACACCCATCCCAAACAAATTTATGAGTCTGCAACTGATCAATTTCAAACTTGTTTTTTTTCAATACATACTCTGTTTTTATTCTTAAGAAAAGATATAAATGACTAATTACTTCACAACTTTACTCATGTTTTACTCTTGGTTTACATGGTAACACAAATGACTTTTAAGTAACTAAACCAATAAGATAACTTTATGGTATTTTTTTTTGCAAAATTCCACCAAATCAGCTAATTTAATCCAAATATATATATAGATAGATAACTAACCGATAGATTCAGAAGAAATATTTTACCAATACTCACACCACGTAGCAAAGATTATATCGTGAAATTGTAGAGAGGTAAAGCTACGAACCAGGGCATTTAGTGATGTCAGCAGTGGCGTGGCAAACAGAAGGAAGACCGAGAGCGAGAGAAACGTTGACCTGAAGACCCAAATCAGGATCGTTCCTGTCTTGGATGATCACACAAAGACACTTCATGTCGGAATTAAGAACCTGTTTGAGGCCGGAGCAACAGTCTGGCGTCGGAGATTTTGCCTGTCCTTGCACGTAAGGAAGACACGTGGCCATACCCACCAGCTTCTCCGTACACCCTTCCTTGTCTTTCTCCTTATCATCTCCGGCATCCACCACCATAGCCACCACCATTATCAAAGCTATTGCTGTCGCCATTAGATTAATCCTCCATGATCCCATTTTGTTTGTTCTGATTTAAGTTTTCAGCGTGGTTGTGGTTGTGATTTTCCACTACTATTTGTTTCCTAACACTCTTAAGATTTATATAGCATTATTTCTCTTATTTAGTGAAATATTGGTTTATTGTATGTGTAAGTTTCTGTGAAATTGCATCCATTGCCGTGTTGAGAAGTTCATGGACTTATTTTTATTTGGTGATGAAAATTGTGAGAACATGTGATTCTCGAATGTCAACATCATTTATCTTCATTCGCTCAATTGGTCCATTAATAATAAGAGTAAATTTTATCAAGACTGTTAATTCTTTTCTTGATAAGTCATTTTTTGTATATAAAATTTTTCACTTTCCAACTTCTTAAAAGGATTTTCAATTTTTTTTGAAAAAGGGATCATTTTGTTTTACTAAAAATAACTCAATAATTCCAAAAAAAAATCGATGTTCTGATTTGATTTTTCTGTTAGTAAAAAAAATGTACAATAATAGATCTCGAATATAGACAAAAGTTTATCAACTTTATAAAGACTTTAGTAAGTCATTTTTCCACCCTCTTTATTTTGTATGACCGACCATTTTTTTTCTGTTAAATTTATTTTTCAAATATTTTTAAAAAAATTCAATTTCGTAAATCAAAAATGAGAATCATTTTTTCATATTGATTATTGAACTCGACTTGTTTTTTGTTAAGACTTTTTGCTTTTAGAATTAAAATATAGTAAATAAAAATGAAAATGAAAAACATTCTTGCTTACAATTCATCCCAATTTTTTTTTAATTATTATAGTGATGTTTTATTGTGTACAGAATTTAAAGGAAAAACATTTTGCTTTCGGTGATGAGTTGACTGTTGACACCAAAAGATATTTCTCAAAATCACTACAACTCTACAAGATATTTTTTACTAGAAGATATTTCTTTTTGAACTTCAATTCCTAAACCAACGCTAAAACCCAAAGAAAAAATGTAACTTGGATTTTGTGTGTGTTTAATGGTAGGCTCTTAACATATGGTTCTTAGAAAAAAAAATAGTAATATAAAAATAAAATAAAATTAACAATTTTATGTTTAGAAAACTTAATAATTGTTGCAAATTAAAAATTTTAAATCATACATGATATGGTTTTGGTTTTGTGGAGAAAAGGAAGATATGGTTTTGGTTTTTGTGTGTTTGGTTTTGTGCAGAAAAAGAAGACATGTGACAAAATAATTGGTGTTTGGTGTATTGGCACAAAGATATACAAGAGATTCATAATTACTGTTTTGTGTATTGGGACAAAGAAATAAAAGAAACAAAGTACTTAAGATTTTGAGAGATTGATTTTAAGATTTTGAGAAACTGGAAAGTGAATTGTGAAGAAGAAGAGGTCAATCGCAAAATCTCCTCCAAGCCAGAGAGGAGAAACCTGAAAGAGAGAAAGAGAGAGGAGGAGAAGAGAGAGAATCTTGAGCTTCTTTATTTTTTTCCGTTTCATCTTGACACGTGGCCGTTTTTTAGCATGTGTTTTGACTATTATATAAGAAATGTTCCTTAACTTAAATCAATATCTATCATTTAATTTAAATCAAATTAAACTTAAGAATCATCTAAGAATTGCTTAAGAGTTCTGCGTTAAAAATGCTCTTACCAGCAATTTTAAGCTATACAGTATTAATTTGTTAAAATAATTAAGACAATAGGTTTGCTAGTAGACACTAGACACTCATTAAATTCGAAATTGAAGGACTGGACTCGTTCATCGGTTTACAAGTCTTCGAGTCAAATGTAACTTGGCGTCCTTTAACATCTGAGACTCTAAGCTAAGTCTAATTAGAGTCTATTTTAAATCCACATGAGACACTTGTTTTTATTGTTTTCTACATGAAACACTTGAGTGAGAAATTCATCACTGCACATGCTCTTAGCAACCAATTCAATGTGTTTTGAGTCATTTAGAAAACCAACGTCAAACCTAGTTAATAGTGATATACTGATTTTGTAATCGTATCAAGAAGAGTTGTCACGAACTAGAATTAAATATACTAATCGAAACAGTAACTGCAAAACTCAGCGTCACCGCAATTTCACAAAATCAACGTTACATACTTTTCACTCTTCGTTATTATTCTCTATCTATACGAGGATGAAAATATAACAAATTACGAAGAAATGGACAACAACTTCGAGCCCTAGCCATTGTTTATAGAAGCTTTGAGCGTTGTTCCTGCCTGGCACAGAGGTTGTTCGACCACTGTTGTTACCATCATCGGATCCTGCTGTCGGAGACATGCTGGTGGGCCCAGAGGCCAAGCCAGTGGGAGCAGAGGCTGGGCTGGTTTTGTTTGAACCTTTAGCTAGCTGATAGAAGACTTGGGCATCTGGAGAATTCGGGTCCAAGTGAAGCAAAGCTGAAAACAACCATTCCCAAACAATTATGAGTTTGCTAATTTTAATCTATAATCAATTTTAAAAGCTTGTTTACTAGGAAAATATATATATGCATACTTTGTTTTTTTTTCCTCTTAAATATGCTCTATATACCTATGTACATAACTACATATGACTAATTACTTCACAACTTTTCTCACAGAATGTTATATTATAGGTAGATTTTTGCATTTTTTAGTCACTTTGAGTTACCTATTAAATTAGAAATATAACGCCTTTTAATCAAAGGATGATAGCTCAGAACTCACAAGCAATGCTCACAACTCACACTCACGTACAACTAAGAAGTCATCTAAAAATGCAAAACATTAACACATGCATGTAAAAAGTCTTACACTACAATCAACAATTTTTTATTTTTTTAGATTATATATCCTAAAAGTTAGATTAAGAAAAAAAAAAAAAAGAGTTACATTTAGTGAGCAAAAAAATCTAAATATCTAAAATAATTCAGTAATCCAACGACAAATAACAAATATATCTTTTATCGTGAAATTGCAGAGAGATGGTTAATGGACGCAAATATACGAACCAGGACATTTAGTGACGTCGGCAGTGGCGTGACAAACAGAAGGAAGAGCAAGAGCTAGAGAGACGTTGATCTGGAGACCCAAATCAGGATCATTCCTATCTTGGATGATCACACAAAGACACTTCTTGTTGGAATTAAGAACTTGTTTGAGGCCAGAGCAACAGTCCGGCGTTGGAGATTTTGCCTGTCCTTGCACGTAAGGAAGACACGTGGCCATACCAACCAGTTGCTCCGTACACTCCTCCTTGTCTTTCGCCTTATCATCTCCGGCATCCACCACCATAGCCACCACCATGATTAAAACTATTGATGTCGCCATTAGATTAATCCTCCATGATCCCATTTTGTTTGTTCTGATTTAAGTTTTCAGCGTTGTTGTGATTGTGATTTCCACTACCATTTGTTTCCTAACTCTCTTAAGATTTATATAGCATTATTTCTCTTTTTTAGAAAGATTTCTTTTTTAAATAAAAACTTTGGTTTTTGTTTATGTAAGTTTATGTGATGATTGCATGCGCGTTGTCGTGTCGAGAAGTTCGTGGATTTAGTTTTAACTGGTGATGAAATATGTGAGAGGAATAGATCGTTTTATACTTCTACAGTTCAATGTGATTATGTCATATTATATGGCTCATATATATGGGAACGAACAGGTTATGACATACGATACGAGTTGCTCCATTTGGTTTTGTTCTAAATTTTATTTTTTTATATATTAGAGATTGTAATACTGCGACATACTAATTACCATCCTACATGCCGTGGTTGGTGAAACTTCAAATCTATTTTTTTCAATATTTATTCCCTAAAAGAATATAGTTATGGGCGAAGCAAAAAATAAATTTGTGGGAGTGCGAAAAGAGAAAAGGGGTCGGAGTCTGACCACACTACACCAACCCACCGAGAGGAAGTGTCGGCTCAATGATTGACTTTAAATTTGCGTGCGTTGACACTTGGCGCAGTCTATGAATCTCTTTGTAAAGCTACGAGACCAGGGCGTCATCTATGGCGTCACTTGGCTTGCCTAACATAACATGAGTTCAATTATTATTTTTAAATCAAGAATGTAAAATCTACAAAACCAAATTTTCTACAATGAAAGATTCAAAGTCTAGTGCCACAAGTCTTATGCAATGAACCCAATAATATTTTGTTACTCAATCAATGGACCACTAGTATCGGCCCAATATAAACAAAAACTTGGTTTGTAACTGGCCCACTTATATTAATATAGTACGGTTATTCTTATCTTCACCGACTGAAACTTATTTTTATCAATGCGGCAATCTTTATTTATTTTTCTAAATAAACGGAAAACGAAAACTGAAGACTGAAGAAAATGGGAGTAGTAGTGATCGATGGATCAACGGTACGATCTTTTGTAGACGACGAAGAGCAATTTAAAAAAAGCGTCGACGAGAGGTTCACGGCTCTGGATCTGAACAAAGACGGCGTTTTATCGCGATCAGAGCTACGAAAGGCGTTTGAATCGATGAGGCTGCTTGAATCACACTTTGGCGTCGATGTGGTGACTCCTCCGGATGAGCTTACGAAGCTCTACGACTCGATCTTCGAGAAATTTGATACGGACCAGAGCGGTTCTGTGGATCTGGAGGAGTTTAGATCGGAGATGAAGAAGATCGTGCTTGCGATTGCTGATGGGCTTGGGTCTTGTCCGATTACGATGGTGTTAGATGATGATGAGAATAATTTTCTGAAAAAAGCTGCGGATTTGGAAGCTTCCAAGCTTGAGAAAGCTTCTTCGTGATGGTGATGGATGCTTTTGGGATCTTTTTAATTGTCTTTGTTTTGTGGTTGTTCATGTAAGCGAGGATATGAATAAATAAAACTTTGTGAATTTTAGTGCTTTAATTGTTTATGAATAAATCGGAAGATTTTTTTATAAATAAGACTTGGGATTGAAGAAATCAGAAGATGATGATGATTGATTCATACCGGAGAAAAAGAAAAAAAGAATCGGCAGATGATAATTATGTTTAAGGACGAAATTGGAAGTAATTTGGGAAAAAATTATTCGTCGCCTGAGAGATTCGAACTCTCGCGGGCAGAGCCCATGTACTTAGCAGGCACACGCCTTAACCACTCGGCCAAAGCGACTTTTTGCTATTTGATTGGCATTTTACTTTTACAAACCAAGACAGATGACACAATGAGATGGCGCCACAATTTTTGGTTACATCAATTCTACCAATTAATTATTAATATCTCTAATCTTTACTTTTAAGAAATGTAAGATTGAAAATTCTAATTATATATATATATATATATAGATCAATAATATTTTTATAAATCTCTATTAACATTTTTAACTGAAAAAAATATTTGTCAACAAGTAACTACAAGTACCAACATTGTTTTTAACCAAAAAACAAAAGGTACTACCAACACTGTTACTCTTTAGTGTATAAAAAGGTAATAATATTTTTTGGGAATTTTGCCAAATGTACCACATTTTGGGAAAATCCTAGCAAATGTACCACATTTGAAATAGATTTAGCATTCATACCACATTTGGTGTTTGTGTGGCAACTCTTGGACGATTTTGCCCTTCTCTGTGCGTCAGGTATGTGTCAGGGGAAGGAGCTACAGTAGACGCCGGTTGGGAAACGGGGACAACTTTGTGTCAGAGAAGGACAACTTTGTCTGAAAGACAACTTTGTGTCAGAGAAGAAGGACAAAACATTGCATTAAATGCAGTTTACATTTACCATGGACAATAATTATGAAATAAAGTGAATGATGTCCCCCAAGAATAAGTCCAGATCTCTTGATTGTCCATCACCAGATGATGTGGTTTTACCAGCCAGAGATCTGGATTTACTCGGGGACAACTTCTCTTGATTGTCTATCGCCAGATGATGTGGTTTTACCAGCCAGAGATCTGAATTTACTTGGAGACAACTTGATCTTTATTTTATTCCGCCAAAGAGCCGAAGACGAAGATCTGGATTTACTCGGGGACAACTTTGTTTTACCAGAGGGACGAAAATGGTTACCAATGCGTTAGGAGAGAGACTGTGGACGGCAGAAAATTCGGAGACTACGAAGATCTGGATTTATTCGGGGACAACTTTGTTTTACCAACCAGAGGGACGAAAACGGTTACCAATGCGCCAGGAGAGAGAAAAAGGACGGCAGACTGTAGCTCCTTCCCCTGACACATTCCTGACGCAGCCAGAAGGGTAGTTTCGTCTTTCCAGATGACGAATGTGGTATGGATGCTAAGTGGACTCAGAAAGTGGTACTGGGCCTAAACTTTTTGAAAAAAGTGGTACTGAGGCTAATTTTCCCATATTTTTTTGTAATTACAGAAAAATAATAATTTATCCAATATTACGTAGTTTTAATTTATCCAATATTACGTAGTTTTTGTAGAAAAAAGTGCTTGCTAATGCTTTATTTTGTAGTCTACATTTTACGTATGAATCCGGATTTGACATGGCGGCAACATTAGTAGAAACCACTAGAGTTCAAGTTTAAACTATGCACTCATTCAATATCAGTTTACCAATATGTTTAGATTATGTTTATATTACTGGTAAATTCATGTGTTTGGAATTTTAAATTTTAAACATTTAATCAATTTTGACAGCTGCTTACAGCAAATAATTTGGTCCTAGTATCAAGATATAAAGGGAAATAAGATAGATTTTGGTAAAAAAAAATCAATACAATTTGACCAATACCATATGATCAAATTAACGCTCATAAATTTTTTAATCTTTGAATAGAAAAAAATACCAAAACTTAAAGATACGCACCTCTCTTTCCTATTACAAACATTTCCATTAGATTATAAGAATCTAAAGAGATCCCATTTTCTTCTTCTAAATTTCCTCAACCACCAACTTCTCAATGTCGTCCTCCTCTACCCAATACCAACTGGAGATGCGGAATTACACGTGTCCAGAATGTAACATAATGCTTAGGGTTCTCTCATCGCCTTCTGCTTCTCCTCCATACTGTCCTCTATGCAATATCGTTTCTTCTTTCACTTATTCGACCCCTTTTGAAGTTGGTCCTAGTGACTTCGAAGACGACGAGGAATCTCTATTTCTCGATTCCATGGAATCTCTTCCGACCGTTGAGATCTCATCTTCAATGTTGTCTTGCGCTTCCTCAGACGATTCTAATTTACCATGCGCCATTTGTAGAGAAGATTTCGTGGTTGGAGAATCTGCTAGGAAATTGCCATGCAACCATTTATACCATAATGATTTGCATTATTCCTTGGCTCACAAGTCATAACTCGTGCCCTCTCTGTCGATTTGAGCTCCCAGTTGCATTTAGTGGAGACGACAGTGGTCTGACCATGTGGTTTGATGCATTGACCCTAGAGGACGACTTGCGTCTTGCGGGAAGATACGGTAGTCACTCTCGCTTTGTACCAAAGTTTAGACGGCTAAAATTGTAGGTAGGTTTCGATGGATGGACGTTTTATAACGTTTTCACATCTATATAGATCTACTTTGATACTAATATATATTTTCAAATCTATATGGATTTATCTTATCATCAACAAATTCAGCAAATGATATCCTAAGATTTCAAATAAAATTATTTTCAGAAGGTACCGTACCATTCCATTTAATGAATTCGTTCAATAATATTAGAGCAAGTTAGCTCACAATTAGTTTACTTTCAATGTGTCGTCTTTTCGTGTCCATGTATGTAGTAGAGGTATCGAAAACAGATTAATACAACGTAGTAGTACTTCGGTGAAGTAGTGGTAAGCTATAATGTATTGCGGATTAGATCTATATAGTTCACGTTTTAAATCTTAAAGGATTCTCCGAAACTGATGTCGAGAGGAATCGGTAGCACCTAATGGTTGATGCAGGATATTTGGAAATACAGGAATAAGTACTTAATTTTTCAAGGAAAAAAAGAGGTGATATATAAGATAGATGATATTAAAAGCTAAACAAGACTCATCTCAATGGAAAGATGTACAGATCTTAAGATCGAGTATGGAATCCACATGGCAACAACAGAGTTATACTTTGTAGGATAAATGGCGTAAACCGCTGCCAGGTATTATAATATGTAACATTGAGATGGGAGACTTCAATCATATTTGGCGCTTGGAGAGCTTTCTTGGCTTCACGATCAAGTGCTTTCTTGACTTCACGATCACTGATCTTTTACCATAAGTATGTCAATTGGATTAAGCTAAGGTAGTAATGGTTTTTACTATGTTCATGTGGGGTTTCCTCTTCCTCTCTGTTTACTTCATTCCGAGATGACTTAAGATTTTTTCCAAGTATAGTTCTTGGGTCAAGCTTACCTAGTAGTCACTTTATATTACATCCCTTAGTTTATCAGAAAACTTCTCCAGTTATACGATCTTCATGGATTGATCAAACTGTTTCCACTAGTTAAGATCTTTTCCTGCTTCCCCCATCTCTACTTTTGACTTTTCTCTCTGATGCCGTGTGTATTTACTTGTCTAGTCAATTTCAAGTTGAGTTTAGGCTCTAGTCTTTGGTTTGGGGGTATGGCAGAGTTTGAATCCAAGCTTCCTGTTTCCGGAGAGAAAAATCATGTCTTTGAGGCATGTCACCATGTTGTTAAGGCACTGAGGGCATCTGATAATAACCTGGATGCCAATTTGAGAAAGCTCCTAAGTGACCTAGAGTCGCATTTGTCAACATTTGGGATTGCTGATACGAAAGTGGAAGATGCAGGATTCTCTGAGATCAAGGAGAGATTCAAAGAAGCTATGAAGAGAATCCGGAGTTGGGAGACAAACCAGTCCACGGTGTCGGAAGCTGGTCTGTCTGAAGCAAATCAATTCTTTCAAGCCCCTCCTGTATGAAGTTCAATCAGTTCTTGTGGGTTTCAAAGCTTGACCCATCAAAACCAACCAGAAGGAGAAAGATGTTTACAACCAAGCTACGGTTGCTCTTGACATCGCGATGCTGAGGCTAGAGAAAGAGCTCCGTGATGTTCTGCATCAGCACAAACAGCATGTACAGCCTGAATAACAGTAGCCCCTTTCTGGAAAAGAGATTTGTTTTGCATACTTATGTGATTTACATAAAGGCAGATCAACAGAAGAACAGAACCAAACATAAACACTTTTCCTCTTTGCTTCTTCTCTGCATAATTGCTATAATCCTCAAAACAAAACAAATACCACAAAAAAACATCCCCGGTAGGCGGTAAGTGCCAATCTTCCCTCCGACTGTTAATGGCTCTTTCCGGAACTGAACATACATAGCCATGGAGTTGTAGACGTAGTGGTCAGAATCAAGATTGAAGATATGATAGCGTTGCGCTGGTGGTTCTAACAACCAAAACATTCATGGCTCCTGCTTTACTTTTGTGATCTCAGAGAAAAAAAAAGGAAACAACCAAAACTAAATTTCCTTTTTGTGGGAATGATCAACCTTACAAAAAAAAAGGAAATTTCCTTTTTGTGATACTCAACATTATTAGATATATACAGTATACCACATTACCGGTTTCCTTTATCCGGTTATGTTAGATTAATTATACGGTTTAGTCTCATTATGATTTGTATATAATCTCACTTTGTACAACATTCATTGATTAATGAGAAAGCCTTTATTTAGTTTGTCTTTCTAATATGGTATCAGAGCAATTCCGCGTAACAAACTTTTTCCGGTGAACGTAACAAACTCTCCGGTGGCTTTTTCCGATCGATTTCTTCATCGATTGTTCTCATTCTTCTTCTCTTCTCTCTTCTCTCTCGGTTTCTTAGCTTCGTCTTTTCTCTAATGGCGAAGAAAGGTGTCAAAACCAGAAATCGAGCTTCTTCTCCGGATCCAGACACTCCGATTGCTTCCCGATCAGCTCCTTCTCCACATCGCGATGAAATTCGAGCTATTCCGGTCAATCAGCAAAGTTCTGGAACTTACATGGCTCGTGATTCAGCTGTGAAGATTTCTTCAGGATCTGAATCCTTCGACAGCTCTCACAGTTCATTCTATCTTCATGCTTCGGATCATCCAGGTTTAACTCTCGTTACTCATAAACTAGATGGATCCAATTACAACAGTTGGTGTGTTGCGATGACTATAGCTTTGGAATCTAAGAACAAGTGGAGTTTTATAGACGGATCTCTCCCTAGACCTGATGAATCTGAATCGATTTACAAACTCTGGAATCGTTGCAACAATATGGTTAAATCTTGGCTTCTTAATGTGGTTAACCAAGAAATCTATGACAGTATTCTCTACTTCAACGATGCTGCAGAAATCTGGACTGATTTGTTGAAGCGTTTTCACATCAGTAATTTACCTCGCAAGTATCAATTGGAACAGGATATTCTCACATTACGTCAAGGTTCAATGGATTTATCCACCTATTATACCAAGATGAAGACTTTGTGGCAACGCTTAGCAAGTACTAAATCTCAGAAAATCTGCAAATGCAACTGTGGAAAAGTTGAAGAGTTACTGGAAGATGCAGAAACAAGCCGTATCATACAATTTCTCATGGGTTTGAATGACTCTTATGCCAACATTCGAGGTCAAATCATCAACAAGAAGAATAGACCGAGTTTGAGTGATATATACAACATGTTGGATCAAGATCAGAGTCAGAGAACTGTGGGATCTTCTACAAAAGGCTATGTTGCACCTTTTGCATTTCAAGTTGCAGTTAATGATTCTTCTATGGTCACAGATGGAAGTATTAATGCCATGAATCATCAACAGAGACCTCGACATGTATGCACTTATTGTGGAGCTGTAGGACACCTTAAGGATCGCTGTTATAAATTTAATGGATATCCACCAGGCTGGACAGGAAAGAAGAAATTCACTCCACCTAATGCTTCTGCTCCTGCTTCTGGTTCTACACCTACTACTGTTTTACAGAAGTTGAATCCATCTACAACTCCTAGTGCAAACATGACTTCTCTACATGGCATTACTAATTCAAATCTCAAAGGTTCAGAGAATTTGGGGGAGAACCTTACAACAGATCAAATCCAAGAGATCATTTCCTACTTTAGTTCAAAGATTCACACCTCTAGTATCACACCTACACTTGCAGTTTCTCAAGCTTCTACTTCAACTTCCGTACCAAGTATTTCACAGATATCTGGTACATTTCTGACACTTTATCCAAATACTTATTATGACATGCTTACTTCAAAACACTCTGAAACTGATATCTCTCCAAGTTCATGGGTAATAGATTCTGGGGCTACTCATCATGTGTCTAATTCTAGGACTATGTTTCTAGTTTTCCAGGATCTAGTTAATACCTATGTGAATTTGCCAAATGGAACTACTGTGAGTATTGTCGGAATAGGATCTATTCAATTGTCTGAAAACATTCTTTTGCATGATGTTTTGTTTATTCCTATTTTCCGATTTAATCTCTTGAGTGTTAGCATGTTAACTAAACATTTGAATTCTATAGTCAGTTTTACTGCAACTTCCTGTTTCATTCAGGATCTTACTCGGGAATTGATGCTTGGAAAGGGTAGTCAAGTCTCAAATCTTTATATTCTGGAGTCTAGTCAACAGCATTCTACTTTTGAAGTTTCAGGTAGTCTTATTCCTACTTGTTCTGCTGTTTCAGTAGATTCTCATATATGGCATACTCGTTTAGGGCATCCATCTCAATCTAGAATTGATGTGCTCACTGATGTACTGTCTTTAACAAAACCTATAAATAAGAATAAGATTCATCATTGCTCAGTTTGTCCTTTAGCAAAACAAAAACATTTACCTTTTAATGCAAATCAAAACATATGTTCTTCTTCATTTGATCTTTTGCATATAGACACATGGGGTCCTTTTTCAAAAGAAACTCATGATGGATTTAAATACTTTTTAACTATAGTGGATGATCATAGTAGAGCAACTTGGATATATCTTTTAAAAGCAAAGTCTGATGTCTTGTTTGTTTTTCCTGATTTCTTGAAAATGATTGAAACTCAATATGCTACTAAAGTAAAATCTGTTAGATCCGACAATGCTCCTGAACTAAAATTCACAGATCTTTATCTAGAAAAGGGCATAGTTGCTTACCATTCCTGTCCAGAAACTCCTCAACAGAATTCTGTAGTAGAAAGGAAACACCAACACATCTTAAATGTTGCTAGAGCCTTAATGTTTCAATCTCAGGTTCCTTTAGAGTATTGGGGGGATTGTATACTTACATCAGTATTTCTTATTAATAGATTACCTACCCCAGTCTTATCCAATGCTACTCCTTATGAGATTCTCACTAGTCAAAAGCCTGATTACAGCCAACTTAGAGCTTTTGGTTGCTTATGTTATGTGTCCACCTCTCCTAAGCAAAGGCATAAGTTTCAACCTAGAGCCAAAGCATGTGTTTTCTTAGGGTATCCATCAGGTTTCAAAGGTTACAAGGTATTGGACTTGGAGAGCAATGTCATTTCTATTTCCAGGCATGTTATTTTTCATGAGGAAATTTTCCCGTTTCTATCTTCTACATTGACAGAAGATACACGGACCTTCTTTCCTCATATTTCTTTCCCTGCACACCCCGATGAATCTTTGCCTTCTGCACATTCATCTTCTGATGCACCTCCACATTCTGATGTGTTATCTTCTGAGAATCCTTTGCCTTTGGCACTAGATTCTCGCAGACCTACCAAACTCCCAGCACATTTGCAGGACTACTATATGAATAATACTTCTTTCACTACTCCTTATCCTATATCTAACTTTCTCTCTTATAATAAACTAAGCGTTTCTTTCTGCTCTTTCATTCAAAATATTACTCTTACTACTGAACCCCGTACTTATTCTGAGGCTAAGAAAATGCAAGAGTGGTGTGATGCCATTGGTGCGGAGCTTGGGGCTATTGAAAGAACTGGTACTTGGTTGATTTGTCCATTACCATCAGGTAAGAAGGCTATTGGTTGCAAATATGTCTTCAAAATCAAACATAATTCTGATGGTACTGTGGAGAGATACAAAGCTAGATTGGTAGCTAAAGGATATACACAGGAGGCAGGACTTGATTTCAAAGACACTTTTTCCCCAGTTGCGAAGCTTACCACTGTGAAGATCTTGTTAGGTATTGCTGCAAAACTTAACTGGTTTCTTACTCAGTTAGATGTGTCAAATGCATTTTTAAATGGGGATTTAGATGAGGAGATCTACATGGAGTTGCCTCCTGGTTATGAAGTTCCTGCAAGTTTGCAAACTGAAGATAAGATGGTCTGTCGTTTACAGAAATCCATTTATGGCCTAAAGCAGGCGTCTAGACAATGGTTTCTGAAATTTTCATCCACTGTTATTGCTTTGGGTTTTCAGACAACACACAGTGATCACACTCTTTTTACCAGATTCATTGATGGTGTTTTCATTGTCATTCTGGTGTACGTTGATGATATAATCATTGCAAGCAATAGTGGAGATGTTGTTCCTATACTGGTATCTCAGCTTGAAGCTGCTTTTCAACTCAGAAATATTGGTGAACCACAATATTTTCTTGGCCTGGAGATTGCTAGATCTTCTGCAGGAATCTCTATTTGTCAAAGGAAATATGTGTTAGAATTACTTTCAGATACAGGATTTCTTGGAAGCAAGCCGTCTTCAATACCAATGGAGCCTAATCATTCTCTACACAAAGAAGATACTCCATTGCTACCTGATGCAGAAATTTATAGGAGACTCATTGGAAAATTGTTATACCTCTGCACTACCAGACCTGATATAACCTTTGCAGTAGGTAAACTTTGCCAATTTTCCTCTGCTCCTAGACAAGTTCACTTGTTGGCTGCTCACAAAGTTCTCAGATATCTGAAAGGCACTATTGGGAAGGGTTTGTTTTATTCAACAGATCCTGATTTAACTCTTAAAGGTTTCACTGATTCTGATTGGAACACTGATCCTGATTCAAGAAGATCAGTTTCTGGTTATTGCATGTTTATTGGTGATGCTCTTGTTTCTTGGAAGTCTAAAAAGCAACGGGTCTGTTCTCAAAGCTCTGCAGAAGCAGAATACAGGGCCATGTCTTATGGTACTAAGGAACTCGTTTGGATAGCCAAGATTATGAAGGATTTACTTATTCCTTCTCCTATTACTGCATTGCTTTATTGTGACAACACAGCAGCTCTTCACATCGCAAAGAATGCAGTCTTCCATGAGCGCACCAAACATGTGGAAAATGACTGTCACTTAGTCAGAGAAAAGGTGCAATCTGGTTTCTTGAAGACGATGCACGTTCACACTGAACATCAACTGGCAGATCCTCTTACTAAACCTATGTACCCTACTCAGTTCTCCTATTTGATATCCAAGATGGGACTCCTAAACCTTTATGAGGCTCCATCTTGAGGAGGGCTATTAGATATATACAGTATACCACATTACCGGTTTCCTTTATCCGGTTATGTTAGATTAATTATACGGTTTAATCTCATTATGATTTGTATATAATCTCACTTTGTACAACATTCGTTGATTAATGAGAAAGCCTTTATTTAGTTTGTCTTTCTAATAAACATTAAAAAATAAAAGAAATTGTTGTGGTTTTATAAAAACAGAACCTTCGCTTTTAAATACTCTCATTCTCTTCTTCTTTCTTAAGAAATCAAAATTCGCTATTCACCTTCTTTTTCTTATTCGAGAAACGAGAAAAACCCAAAACCCAAAATCTATCATCTATTTCTCTTTTCAATACCTGATCGCAGATGATGATTCGTGATTGATTGAATAACTTCTCTCACATACTCTCTATCTAGGATGATTTCAGAACACCGGCAGAGAAGGAAGAGATCAGGAGCAGTGAAACTGGATATGTCGGAGAGTTTCTTTATCACTTCTTTGGTTGGTGGAGAAGTCTTTTGGTTTGAAACTGAGAATCTCTCCGGCGAGTTGTATTAGTGAGTCGACGAGAGTGATTATGGATGATCTCAGTTTCGTCTTGAAACTGAAGTAAGCCGTGAGTTCAATCGAGTCCATCATCTCAGTTTCGTCTCCCACATCCGCCAATCGAGGATGATTTATTTCAGAACCAAATTTCACCGGCGGGGAAGGAAGAGATCGGGGCAATGAAAGCGAGGAGCACCTAAGAAGGTTTTTCATTAGACTCTAACATCAGGAAGAAGGAAGACTGCTCTTTCTGAGAATAAAACACAGTCAAAGAAGACGTACAAAGAGATGCGAGTGAAGAAGACGATCAATGTTTTCTCAGATTTTTCCAAGTACCAGACAATTACACGGTGGGCTTCGAATGGGCTTTTTTGTATGGGGCCTTCTTTGCTACCAAATCCATTAAGGTATTTCTTATTTTCTTTAAAAATTATTTTAAGTAAAAGTAAAACTAATTAGTTTAAAACATTCACTAAAACATTTAACTAAATAAAAATTTTTAAAACCTTTAAAAAATTAAAACAAATTTAACACTTAAATTTACAGAAAATAATGTTCTTAAAACTAAAACCATGTCAATTTCACTAAATTTTTTTAAAAATTAGTGTAAGTGTTAAATTTTAAACACGTCAAAAACTAACCGCGCCTAGGCATCCTGTCCTTAGTTGGTCCGTAAGCTTTGGTGTTCGAAGTTCGGCATGTTTTCACGTTATATAGATTTAACACTTAAACTCATTTTAAAAAATAATAGTGATTTTGACCAAAATTTAAAACAAATTTAACACTTAAATTTTAAGAAAATAATGTTTTTAAAACTAAAACCATGTCAATTTTAATTTACTAAAAATTTTTAAAAATTAGTTTAAGTGTTAAATTTTAAACACGTCGAAAACTAACCGCGCCTATGCATCCTGTCCTTAGTTGGTCCGTAAGCTTTGGTGTTCGAAGTTCGGCATGTTTTCACGTTATATAGATTTAACACTTAAACTCATTTTAAAAAATAATAGTGATTTTGACCAAAATTTAAAACAAATTTAACACTTAAATTTTAAGAAAATAATGTTTTTAAAACTAAAACCATGTCAATTTTAATTTACTAAAATTTTTTAAAAATTAGTTTAAGTGTTAAATTTTAAACACGTCGAAAACTAACCGCGCCTATGCATCCTGTCCTTAGTTGGTTTGTAAGTTTTGGTGTTCGAAGTTCCGCATGCTTTCACGTGATATAGATTAAACACTTAAACTCATTTAAACAAATAATAGTGATTTTCACTAAAAATTCTTTTAATTTCACTAAAAATTTAACACTTAAACTTTTAGAAATTAATGCTTTTAACTAAAAAAAATTTAACACTTAAACTTTTAAAAATTAATGCTTTTAACTAAAACCATTTTAATTTCACTAAATTTTATTAAAAATTAGTTTAAGTGTTAAATTTTGAACACGTCAAAAACTAACCGAAGCTAGGCATCCTGTCTTTTGTTGGTTCATAATCTTTGGTGTTCGAAATTTAACATGTTTTCATTTAATATAGATTTAACACTTAAACTAATTTTTAAAATATAATAATAATTTTTACTAAAATTCTTTTAATTTCACTAAAGAATTTTACACTTAAACTTTTAGAAATTAATGCTTTTAACTAAAATAAATTCAACACTTAAAGTTTTTTTGAAAAAATAATTTTCACTAAAATCAATTGAACACTTAAACTTTTAGAAATTAATGCTTTTAAACTAAAACCATGTTAATTTACTAAAAAAAAATTAAATTCAGTTTAAGTGTTAAATTTTAAACACATCGAAAACTAACGGAGCCTAGGCTTCATGTCCTTAGTTGGTCTGTAAGCTTTGGTGTTCCAAGTTCAACATATTTTAACGTAGTATAGATTTAACACTTAAACTAATTTTTAAAAACTAATAATTGTTTTCGCTAGAATTCTTTTACTTTCACTAAATTTTGAAATAAATTTAACACTTAAACTTTTAGAAATTAATTCTTTTTAACTAGAACCATGTTAATTTCACTAAAACTTTTTAAAAATTAGTTTAAGTGTTAAATTTTAAAAACGTCGAAAACTAACCAAGCTTAAATATCCTGTTCTTAGTTGGTCCGTAAGCTTTGGTGTTCAAAATTCAACATATTTTCACGTAATATAAATTTAATATTTAAACTAATTTTTATAATTGGATTTGGGCTTGCTTCCAATTAGATGGAATAATTAGAGTAAACAAAAACTAGTGTTATAGTGGAGGAAGGCAGAATTCTTTTTTTTTTTTTTTTCGACTGAATGATTCAATATATTGATAACTTGAGGAAACCAGATTACAATCCGATCAAAAGGATGAGGATCCAAGACAATCACCTACACCGAAGAGAATACAAAAGGAACCACAACTAAGTAGTAGACATCTCTTCATTGAACAAATCATGTAACCAAAAAGGGTAGCCCGAAGCTACGTATGATTGTCGACGATCCTCTCTTGTCACACTTTGAGCAATAAGGAAGGCTCCTTTGTTAGCACTTCTCTCTTCAAACTGAATTTTCCAAAAAGGAATGTGACTGAGTGCAAATGCAAGGGACTCTGACTGAGACTTAAAAGAGGGCCATGCGTCGGGACGGAGAGCCACGTCCATAAGGTATTTATCTTCAACAGCCAGCACAAATCTTCTAATCCTTAGGTTCCTCATACTCTCCAAAGCCCACAGCCAGCATTCCAATTCAATATCTTGCTTTGACTCCATCCCACCGAAAGATCGTCTACTATGGAGCAAAACCTCACCTCTTGAATTTCTAAGAACCCATGCGCCTCCACCAATTCTGTTATGTTTATCCCAGGACGAAGCAATGTTGCATTTAAGCCATGAGTGATCAGGAGGCTTCCAAGGTTTGCGGCCACCAGCCCCCACTCTAGCAGATTTAAACTCTTCTTCTTTCTCAATTTGTTGGGCTAAAAACCACTTCTCAGAGTCATCCAATACCTTAGTAACAATGTCCAAAGGATGGAAAGTCCTACCTTCAAAGAGAATACTGTTCTTGTTCTTCCAAAGGATCCAAATAATCCAGGGGACAGATCTTCTCGATGCAATAGGTAGCTTTAAGTCTTTAGCCATCAGAAGAACATAATGCACATTATGGAACAAAGAATGATCCTCAAAACCATTAATCGGAGAAGAAATGTTGGAGAGAGCCCAAATCTGTCTTGCAAGAGGACAAAGAAACAACAAGTGGTTGATTGATTCTCCTTCAAAGCCACAAGAACTGCATCGAGGATTAATCCTGACTCCTCTTGTCATCAAACGCTCAGCCACAGGTAAAGCTCCACTAACAGCTTTCCATAGAAACATTTTAATCTTAGAAGGAGCAAGGACTTCCCAGATTTTATCCTTAATGGGATTGATGGAAGGTAAAGCAGCAGCCTCTAAAAGAAGATCAACATTATGATTCTGAGAGGCTAACCAATAGCCAGAACGCACCGAGTAAGTCCCACTTCTGTTGTGTAACCACACCATAAAATCCGGAGAAGAAGTAGCTGGCTTGATTCTCCTAATAATGGACTGGTCTCTTGGGAAAAAGTGCTCCTGGAGACAGTTCTCGTCCCATCTCTTGGTAATAGGATCAATTAGGTCCTGCACCTTTAAATCACAATTCACAATGATGTTTTTCATGAAAGGAGGTCTTAAGACATCATCTTGAATCCACCTAGTTGTCCACACATTAACAGAGGCACCATCTCCTATGCCTTGTCTCAAGCCTTTAATCAATAATTCTCTCCCATGCAGGATGCTTCTCCAAGCGAAAGAAGGCCTGTCTCCCAGCCTAGCCTCCAGAACTGAGGAATCCTCATAATATCTGCTTTTTAGGAACCTAGAGAGCAGGCAGGCCGGGTCATGTAATAGTCTCCAGGACTGTTTAGCTAACAAAGCTTGATTAAACAGTTCTATGTCCTTAAATCCCAGGCCACCTTTATCTTTAGAAAGGCAGAGCTTACCCCAAGAAACCCAGTGAATCTTATTGTGGTGTTCCATATTGCTCCACCAAAAAGCAGACATCGCACTAGACAGGGATTCACAGGTGGATTTTGGTAGCTTAAAGCAGGACATTGCATAAACTGGCATTGCCATAGCTACAGATTTGATTAGAACTTCCTTACCACCTTGAGATAAGGTTCTTGCAAACCAACCTGAGAGCCTGTTTTTCAACCTGCCATGAATATAATCAAGCATCTCCACCTTAGACCCACTAAAACATTCAGGGAGACCCAAATAAGTGCCTGCACCACCCTCATTAAAGATACCCAACTTGGCTTGGATTAGAGCTTTGTCAAGATCTGGAATCTTAGACCCAAAAGTGATAGAGGATTTATCCAAATTGATGATCTGTCCCGTGGCTCTACCATACAAATCCAGTATCTCTTTAAAAGCTGCACATTCATCTTCAAGAGCTTTGCAAATGAAGAGGGAATCATCTGCAAACAGGAGGTGGTGAATTGAAGGTCCTTGATGAGAAAACTGCAGTCCACTAATCAAACCATTATTCTCGGCCTTGTTGAGTAGGTGAGTGAGTCCTTCTGTACATAGAATAAACAGGAAAGGAGATAAAGGATCTCCCTGTCTCAAACCTCTCTGAGGAATCACTAAACCATGAGGCTGTCCATTGATGAGCACTGTGAAAGAGACAGTGGTGACGCACTTCATTATCCATTCCACCCAAATGTCATGAAACCCCAAAGCAGTGAGAAGATTCCTTAAGTAGCTCCATTCCACTCTGTCAAAAGCTTTAGACATATCAGTCTTTATGGCCATAAACTCTTTTGAAGAAGCAGAATGAGTCCGTAGACTGTGAACCACTTCATGGGCGATTAATATGTTATCAGATATGAGTCTCTCTTCCACAAAGGCTGACTGGTTAGGTGAAACAATCTTGGACAACAATGGCTTTAATCTTGATACCAGAATCTTGGAAATCACCTTATACATGACCGAGCATAAGCTAATGGGTCTAAGATCCTTCATAGCAGAGGCACCTACCTTCTTGGGGATAAGGCAAAGTTGGGTGAAATTCCATTCTTTTTCAAAGCAGCCCTCAGAGAAAAACCTCAAAACTTCCACAGTAAGCTGACTTCCAACAATCTCCCAATACTGTTGAAAGAAGAAACCAGTCATACCATCATAACCAGGGGCACTAGAAGCTTTGATTGAGAAAACTGCGTCTTTCACTTCCTCTTTGGTAACCTCTCTCAAAAGCGACTCATTCATATCGCTAGTGATTCTAGGGATAAAATCATGAAAAATCTGCTCACAATTATCCGGATACGAAGACGAGTAGAGGTCATGAAAATACTTGGCTGCCACATCTCCTTTGGAAGCTTCTGATTTATGCGTGTCCCATCGTCATCCACCAGCATTTCCAGCCCATTGCTTGATCTTTCAGACTTAACCGAAGCATGGAAGTACTTCGTGTTCTTGTCTCCAGAAAGCATCCATTTCTGTCTTGTCTTTTGCTGCCAATAGCTCTCTTCTTCTCTGTGAGCAAGGACAAGATCTCTCTTTAGAACACGCATCCTGTCAAAGGAAGGGAAAACTGAAGCATGAACCACTTCAATTTCTCGCTGAATCAAATCAATCTTAACTTTAGCATTTGTCCCATTCTCTTTCTTCCAATTACTGAGAGATTTTCTACATCTTCTAAGCCTTTCAGAAATGCTTTGCCCAAAGACAGAAGTAGAAGCATTCCAAGCCTGGGAGACCGCTTCTTTTACCATCGGTTTATGAAGCATTCTTTTATCGAATCTGAAAGAGCCTCTATAAGAGTCTTGGGAAGAAACAAGCTTTACCAGAACCGGCCTGTGATCGGAACCTTTTTTATCCAAGAAAGCTTGGTTAGAAGCCGGAAAACATCTAAACCAATCTTTGTTCCCAAAGCACCTGTCCAATTTGCATTGAATCCACAAATCATTTCTTTTACCTCCCCAAGTAAAACCATTCCCGGTGCTTTTCAACTCAACCATCCCACCTACATTCAACATATCAGCAAAATCTGAAAAAGAGGCTTCACTTCTTCTTGGACCTCCTAGTTTTTCACCATTGTGAAGGATCTCGTTGAAGTCCCCAACCATAGCCCAGCAATCAGTTCTATTAATAGCCAATCTTGATAATCTTTCCCATACTTGGTTCCTCAGACTACTGTTAGGGTTCCCATAGACACAAGATAAGAAGAAACTTGAATTACCCATATTTACAAACAAATCCAAGATGTTTTTATCCGCAGACAGAATCTCCATATCTACACTTTTCTTCCAAAACAAAGCTAGACCGCCACACCTTCCAACTGGTTCCACAGTATATACACGATCATAACCAAGCCAAACTTGAATATCAACTAACACATTCCTTATGTTCATAGTCTCCATTAGAAACAGGATCTCCGGGAAATGTTTTTTACGCATCTCCATGAGACGTTGAACTGTCAATTCTTGAGGCCGCCCCAAACCCTGACAGTTCCAGCTCATTATGCTCATTAAACATTGGACAGTCCCTCATTTGGGACCGCCAATTTGTGATTACGCTTTGCAGCTTTTTGTTCCTCTGGTTCTACCATCACACCTTTCCTTTTTTCCATAGCACCAACTTGGAGCCCTGCACTTTTGGGCACCTCATCAATACCTGCACCATATCCAGGAGCTCCTACTGCAGTTTTAGGCTTCCTTTTACTGATGTAAGGTCTCTTTCTCCTCGTTGTTTTTCTTTGCTTAGTCCCGGATGGGCTAGCTTCAGAGAAGCCAACCTCATATCCCGTAGAACTAGGCTGAGAAAAAGAGGAGTAAGAATAATCGACCAGCGCCTCCCCACCATCCAAAGAACTGGGAATCAGAGAACTTCCAGCAAGATAATCAATAGAACCCAAGCCAGAGATCTTAGGAGAAGGAGCTGCAGACAAAGGATCAACTTTAGGAGAAGTGCTTGAAGATTCATAACCGAAGACTATCCCTTTTCCTTTGTCGAAATCATTAGAAACAATCGGGGCAGGCTCCAATCTCAACACAGTCTTCTGCGAAATCGGATATTTTTCTGCTTCAGCAACAGACTTCTTCACTCTTTCTTCACGGATTAAACGCTCTTCTCCATTAGCCACCATAAGATACTGTCTCATCCCTTCTAAGACATCTGGAGCTATCCGAGGCCGTCCTAATAGAGGATGAATACCAACCTGCTCCTCTTTGAGAACACCAAAGAGGACGTCACCTTGCTTTAAAACCAGAGGAGCTTTTGATTTTTCCACTTTCCTCCCCATTTTCCTATCAATGATTTGATCTTGAATCTGTTTGAGCTGAATGGGACAAGCTTCTTGTTCATGAGTGAGTCGCTGGCACCTGTAACAACGTTTTTGGACTCTCTCATAGAAATAGCTGACAGTAGTGGATAAACCTTTTGGTAGATTGATGAGCTTTGTCCTCCTTAATGGCCTAGAGACGTCGAAATTTATCTTTACCCTGACAAATTCTTTATTTTGAGGCTTTGCAGGATCAAAAACAACCTCCGTAACTTGACCTACCAAGTCACTCAAGCAAGTAATCGCTTGCTCCGTGTAATAGTTGAGCGGAATGTTTCTTATTTGGACCCAAAGAGGGGTGAATTGCAGCGAATCCGGAGGAGGTGTTTCAGACCACCGCTCCATTAAGATCCCCTATTCGTTGAAAGTCTGAAAACCTTTCTCTAAAACCTCTGTCAAGTCATGCTCGTTATTGAAAATGAACTGGAATTTTTCCAAGGAGAGAGCCACTCCGCGCACTCGACCAACCTTTTGCCATTTCCTTGGCATGTTGAGAATGAGGTTGGACATACTTTGGCTCTGCGGGTTGAGGAGCCGACCAACTAAACTGAGAACATTCTTCTCACACGAGCTGTACTGTGGAAGATCCGGCATCTCAAAAGGAAGATCTTCCTCGTCAAGAGACATGGCCATCATGGCCTTATCCATGGCTGAAGACATCGTGGAACAGTAACACCCGAAGACAAACAAGCAACAACACCGAAACCCGCAACTGAAGATCTACTCTTTGAAACCCGCAGCTGAAGATCCAGAAACTGAAGAAACAACCGAAAGAACCCGCAACTGAGGATGAAAACAAACCACAGCGACAAAACCCAGAATCAGAAATGTAAGCCTTTGACCCTCTCAGCTGAAGACGAACCCTTAAGCCGATCGACAAAGCCAGAGATTTGAGAAAACCGAAAGAGTAACACGAACCCAGACTTTAATCAGCTTCCAATCGAGAAATTAGAGACTGAATGATAATCGAGAGCTGATATCAGAAGAACAGAAGTAGCCGCCAAGAGAGGAGCAATCAATTTAGGTTAAAAACAGAGATAAACATGATGGAAAAACCAAAGGGAAAGTGTGTTTCCGGTTCTGTAGCTCTATTTTCGTTAGTGTGAAATACTCTAACCGAAAAAGAGAGTTCTAAGCCCAAAAGAGGGATTCTTGTTTTGCTTAGGAAGGCAGAATTCGTAATGGAATAATTTGTTTTTCATAAAAATCATAATTTTACTTATATATCACATTGGACATGTACATTGAATAGAAAAAAAAAAGAAAAAAAAAAATCAATGAACTCCAGTCGACGATTTTTTTTTTTTTAATGAACTCCACTCTCTCTCTAAATATCTAAATTAATGGATGATATGATTTCTAATTTATGGCCTTTGCATATATTTGTTTTAAGCAGTTCGCGTATGTAGAACAAGTCTCCCAGTCCGCATAATGGCATTTAACAATGTCTACATAGATTTGTTGCCCCCAAATTTATGTTATTCACCTGATTAAAAAAAAAACATACAGCTATTTATGTAACCATACAGCTATTTATATCGAATCTCTAAGATTTATGTAACCAACGCGCCAATATCAAATAGTATGGTTTACATTTATAGATTTAAATAAGTTTGACTTCTAAATGGATTGACGTTAATATAAATAGAATGATTATCAATACTGAAAGTCTGAAACTAATGTGACCTCTCCCTATGACCATAGGCTATTGTTTACAAGAATTAATTAATCAAGGTCAAAACCACCAAATAGTGGTATTGTATACATTTGTACAAGAATTCACCAAAAAGAGTGGTGCTCTAAAAGTAAAAACCAAAATTATCAGACTTAGGCCAAAGCTACATTGAAAGGTACGGTGGACTACATAGGTGGTAGACTTCAAGAGATATTATATATATTCTGTTGATTTCATGTAATTTTGTACAAATATTCATTATTGCAAATATGTTGTAATTTGTTGTAACGACTAGAAAAATAAAATACAATCCCGTGTGTAACTTTTCTTAACCTATCGATAGATCTCGAGTTCTAGTTCGACTCTCAATGATATAAATATTTTTTTTGAAAATATAAATAAACCACAACTTACGTAAAGTCAACGGAGGTGAAATCCATCCTGTCGCTCTTGTTTGCTTCTTTGGCAAAACGAAAGTCAACTATTATTTTATGTGTTTGCAACTTTTAAATTCTTTATTGTAGGTTTGTATGTCATTTTTGTATAAAATAATTCTTTCGTATCATAATTACTTAACAAAAACCAACGAGTAAATATTTGCTTCTTTGTTTTTAAGCATACAAAGGCATATATATGCGTGTCGTGTCGACACCTCAAACATTTGTAGATGAATGATCTCATGCATATGTAAGTGTCTAAACACATAGAGATGAAAATTGATGAGATGGACATTACAAAACTATTTAAGTGGGGTTAGTTTAAAAGGTAATTTTTGGTTTTATCAAATCTAAACTCAATCTAAATAAGATTATATGAAAATTAATGAGCTGCATCAAGTGGAATCTTCATGTTTAGTTATAGATCTATAATTTGTTCTAAAGAAATATGACATAAAGAGCATCATCAAACCGAAGTAAGTTAACTAAAACTTAGGATTTGAATTAGGTCGATTTTCAAGTGACAGTTTCCTGAGTCAGATTTTGACCCCACATATCGATATAAAATTGCATAAGATTTTAGTTTCCATTTACTAATATTGTTATAAGTTATCTATACTAGTATTTTTGCAATACTTTGGTGACGGATGGGTAAAAATGCTTCTGAGTTAATCGGATATCCGACACGTTTTTTAAATTTCTTCACAAAAAAATACTTGGATTGGGTTAAATAAAACCCAACTCATACACCGGATATTCTATATTTAATAATTTAGATATTTAGAAGATTTGATTAAGATTTAGAATTATGATTCTCCTATCATTTTTGTTTGAATTGTTTTTAACTGTTTTAAATCATCATATAATACATAAGTAAAAAAAAATCAATTTCTTTTTTTGCATATATTGTGATTCGAAATTTTAAAAACGGACATATATTATCCAATTGACGAAAATGTGTGTTCAACGTTCTACATCGATTAAAATATTTAACAATGATTCAGAATCATATCATAAATAAGATCAACACTAATAAAATAAATGAGTTTTCTGGCGGGATGGGTTTTTGAATCAACAATAATAAAAATATTAAAATATCATTAATCCGCCGCTTCAATACGGATTAAATCCTTAATTTTTTTTTAATACCACCAATATTAGACATATTAAATCAGTCTCATTTAGAAAAGATTGTATAAAATTAAAAATTGTTCTGTAGTATAATGTTACTTAATAACAATTGTAAACTATAAAATATAAATATCTTAAAAAATTATAAAATTTGCATACTTTTATATATAATAAATAATCGTTAAATTTTAAAAATTACTACTTTTAGAAAACAAATCACGGGACGGATTAAGAAGTTACAGGACGGGTTATATTTCGGAACTAAGTTATATGGTGGACGAGTTTGAATCAATATTTATAAAATTTTAAAATATCATTAACATGCCGCTTTAATACAAATTAAATCTTCAGTTTATTAAAATATAAATGTCTTAGAGAATGATATGATTTGTAAGCTTTTATATATAATAAATAATCACTAAATTTTAAAATAAAAATAAATCACGGGACGGGTTAAGAAATTACGGAACGAGTTATATTTTGGAACGGGTTTATATGGCGGACAAATTTGAATCAATATTTATAAATATCATTAACATGCCGCTTTAATACGGGTTAAATCCTCAGTTTATTAACAATTGTCTCGTGAACTCGTGGTATACCGTTACTTAATAACAATTGTAAACTATAATATAAATAAATATTTTATAAGGAGATACAATTTACAAAATATTCTTATACTAACTTTAAAAATAAATCATCTACACCGCGGGTTAAAATCTAGTGATAAAGTAAAATTCCACAAACGACGTCATTAGCCAGAAGAATATAACGAGACTATCAATCATTTGATAATGTAGAGACGCCCAATATCATAGATTCATTGCGGTTAAGACAAAAAAAAAATGAAACTTGTAAAAGAAGTGTATTACAATGGAATTGGCATATTTAATTAGTTTTCTACAGAAACTATAGGAGAGCCAAAACCAGAACAGAGCAGACATGCCGACAATTAAAACTTTCACACACACACAAATTTGCGTCCAAAGACATATTTATGGCTTACGCTATCTAAGTTTAGATATTTTAACTATATGATATTGTATAATATTATATATAGTTTAGATTTATCGTCAGTTGATTAATCACAAATCATAATACCACATTATTTTATTCCGACTGTATAAAAATAAAAACTACTAGTGTAAAATAATATTGATATACACACATACAACTTTATTTAAATCAAGTTGTTGTTGTGTGTCATGGAGGCAGGTCCATAGCTGTTTCGTTCTACACCTTCTTTGTCATTTCAATATTCAAGTTTTTGTTAATTTAATGTTATTGACTAATTAACCAACAATCCGATATATTAAAATTTATATAGCTATCTATCTATATATATAAATAACCCAACCGCCGCAGTATTATTCCACGGCATACAAATTATTTTTGTCCAAATTACACATATCTCAAAAAGGATCAAATATTTCCTCAATCGTTTCTAATTTCTTCTTTATTTTGGTTTCTATTTTGAATGGTGAGAGATTCAATGGAGATTACTCAATATCAAAGTTTTAATGAAGGTTCGAGTTCTAGGGTTTCCATGAACAAGAATTCACAAGTAATATCCAAGATCAAACCCAAGATTCGCATAATCCATATATTCGCACCGGAGGTCATCAAGACCGACGTCAAGAACTTCCGTTCACTCGTCCAGAGTCTAACCGGGAAACCGGCACCGGGAGAGGCCAAAACCGGTAAAAAGAGAGCCAAATCGAGAATTCCGACGTCCCAAGAACCGGTTGGCGAAAATCATCAGCCGGTCAACAGGCTTTCGGGTTTCACCGGTTTACTAGCAAACGGAGGAAACCATCAGGTGAAAGAAGAATGGGGATCAGGTGATCAGAGTACTTCAAACACAAGCACTTACTTTGATCTAGAAGGTTTGATTCAAGATGTCGGAGAAGATTACTTCACCTCCTTTCCCATGAGATCCTCTTCTTCTTCACAAGTCGAAGGTTTCATCTTCAACAACAACACCAACACCAACACCAACTTCGATACAAAAGCTCACAATTCGTCCTAATTAATAACAGTTTAATTTCTAGGGTTTTCAGGCTTTTTGATTCTGCAAATCGCATTGTTTTTGGTGAGATCTCATCGCAATGATAAGGTCATATTTTGTGGGGGAAAAGGCATAGAAGTATGAGAAACTTAAACTTTTGGTGGACTGACTTTGCCAAGGTTGAGAGTTGTGATGAAGAGTTTAATCTACTTGCAGCCCTTCTAGGACAAGTGGCTGTATCTAATTAAGATGTCGTCGGTAAAAAAGCCCTAGCTGTTTTTAATATGTAACTTCATTGATATGCTATTATTGGATGTGTATTAATTCTTTGGTGTGCATATACATGTGATTGCTGTACTTTTGGGGAAAAAAGTTTGTATGGTAAGTAGAACAAAGATTGACTTGTTTTCGATCGATTGTTATAGATACTGTGATTGATTGTATATTGAATATTGATATTACATACGTCAACGGTTAAAAAAAGTACATGAGTTACACTAACTAAATTAAACTGTAAGTTTACAAGAATATTCTGGCCTAGCTAAATTATTTTAGATATTGTACTACGCTTGTGCTGTCTTTAAGTGACTTATTATTTTGGCACCAGTATTTATGTCTTGCTCTTGGTAAAATATAGTTATAACTTGCTTTTTTTGTTTGTTTACAAATGTTGAATACGATATACAGTATTACACATGTACATCAAATCTGAAAACACGATATTTATTTGTCTTACTTTTTAGTTACCATATGTTTAGTTTTGGTTGCATAAAACCGGATGAAAAAGGACAAATTTCAAACCTGACTTTTCTAGGTTTGGAGGAAACATTCGGGCTGCTTCAAAGGCTCAAAGCTCATACAGTCTCATACTCATTGACAAGTTTAGTCTTTTTTTTTTTTTTCTTCGATTGACAAGTTTAGTCAAAACACAAAAATGGGGCTTTTATTTATACCATATCAAAAAAATACACAAAATTAAAATGAGACTTTTATTTTCTCTTTTACAAATTAAGTAGCTTAAATTTTTTTGGGTCTTTTGTCTTAAACACTTTTTTATAATGGACTCTTTTTCCTCCATTTTTTTTTTCATATCTTACAACAAAAAAGAAACAGTTATCTGAAGCTCATTTATATATATGAGTAATGATTATTTTCGAAAAACAAGAGTAGTATGATATAACCCATTTATCAAAAAGTAAAAAATGATATAACCTATCAACAAAATGCAAAGGAAATTGATCTGAATCGAATATAACCGTAACGGTACACCGAAATTGTTTTGAGATTTTAACTCTCCGTTGACTATTTCATCTAAAGCCCAATTATTCGGTTTGGTTCCCCAAATAAGGAAAGGGCATATGATTCCGGTTTACTCCCATGCTTCCGTGTTCGGTTTGGTTTACCTTCTCAAGTTCTCGAACGTCAACATTCTTTTATTTTATTTTGTAAGGTTCTGCACATGTTATAATTAAATTAGTCTACTTTTTCAGGCATTAGGATTAATTTTTTAGTCTAAACAGGTTTTTGGTTGCATAATATAGGATGAAAACATTGTAAAGGACAATTTCAAATATGACTTTTCTAGATTTGGAAACGTTCCGGCTGCTTGAAAAGCTCATATAAATATTACGATTTTTAAAACCAAAAATAAAATGATAACTTATGAACAATATAATGCAAATGAAATTGATCTGAACCAAAAATAACGACACCGGTAAACCCAAATCGTTGTTGAGATTGCAGAAAACCGGAATAATACGCATTAAGGTCATTTTTCTGCAATCCCGGTTTACTTTGGTTTGGCTTCTCAAAGTTCTGGAAGGTCAAAATTGGAATTTCAGTATAAACCTCCTCCAGCTATATACAAATGTCATTTGCTCGCCTTTCGCCGTTTTACATCACACGCTGACACGCAGACGCAGCTTTTTGTTTTTTTTTTCAACAATCGCTTTTTTTCTCGATCTCCGTCAAGCTCCCGAATCTCTGGTAAGTTTCTTTGATTCTTCATAGCGTTTCTCATTTTCCTTTTGCTCTTCCATAATTTTCGGAGAAACTAGTCCACGTTTTTATCTTCTTCTGGAAATCTGAATTCGCCGGTGAATTCCGCTGATCGAATCTTTGAGTTTCGTCGAATTGTTTGATTTGGCCATAAACCTCGCTTTTTTTTTGATTTTTGTGAGTGTTGATTGCTTAGTTTTCACGGATCGACTTTGTTCTGAGAATTTGGTGGTTACTGTCTGTGTCACAGGTTTTGAGTTTTGGAGAATGGTGTTTTTCCGCAGCGTATCGGCCTTTACTAGGCTGAGGTCTCGCGTCGTGAGTATTTGAAATTTTTGCTTTCAGTTTTGTGTTTGTTTCCGTTTGATCGCGCTGTTTCATGCTAATCGATTGGTGATCGAATCTATGTAACCAGGGGCAACAATCTTCGCTAAGCAATTCGGTCAGATGGATTCAGATGCAGAGCTCTACCGACCTGGTAATTATCTCATTTGTTTCGTATATTCGCGTGTGGTCATGATCATGTAGTTTCAGCTTTTATTTATGTCTCAAGCTAGTCAAATGCTTATTAACCTTCATATGTAAGTTTGGTTTGGGATCTGCTGCTTGTGGGGTCTTTGTTCATTTTGTTTAAATGGTGGCAATGCAGGACCTGAAGTCGCAGCTGCAAGAGTTAATTCCGGAACAGCAGGTTAGCTTAAACTCCGTTTGCTTTAAATGAAAATTCGTGTTGTTGACTTTTTTTTCATTGAATGTGTTTATTATTGTTATGTTAGCTGAGATTGTTTCTAAGTTAAGAAGGCAGGCTAGCTGTAGTGAATCTCTTTGCTTTTCTAGTTTCCTTTTTCCTCATAAAATTTTTCCAATTTCAGGACCGTCTGAAGAAACTGAAGTCAGAACATGGGAAGGTCCAACTGGGAAACATCACTGTTGATATGGTAGAAACAATGATGATTTTCACTTTTTTGGTTACTTTTTATGATTTTCCTCTTTCCTTACATAACTCATCATAATCCCCTTTGAAATAAAGGTTATCGGTGGGATGAGAGGGATGACTGGATTGCTTTGGGAAACCTCATTGCTTGACCCGGAAGAGGTACTGATACTCTTTTGTATATAGTTACAATCGCTTGGTTAGATCCTAGATGTAAAATATGTGAAAAGCTCCTCCTTCCTGTCCTAAGGCAGTTGATGCAATTATCTTATCATTATTTCAGGGTATCCGCTTTAGGGGCTTGTCAATTCCGGAGTGCCAGAAAGTATTACCTACTGCCCAGTCTGGAGCAGAACCATTACCCGAGGGTCTTTTGTGGCTTCTCTTAACTGGAAAGGTTTGGCTCTTCTGTACATAATTATAAGTTGGTTTTGGGTATGTCCAGTCGATTAGTTTTCCTCAGTGTATTATCTTATGGTATCCTTTTTTACCCCTTTTCTATTAGGTACCTAGCAAAGAGCAAGTTGAAGCACTGTCGAAAGACTTGGCAAGCCGTGCTGCTGTACCAGGTTTGGATATTAACTTTTTTTGGCTCTGGGTGGTTGCAAATAAGGGAGTCTGTTTAGTGGCTCATTCAAACTTGTTTGACATCAATGTTTAGAAGAACTTGCTTAACAGAAATGAAATACATTTGTTGTTTTTATGTTATACTTCCATTCATTCTTAACTTGTATCCAATTATTATGCAGATTATGTGTACAATGCCATCGATGCTCTGCCTTCCACAGCTCATCCAATGACTCAATTTGCTAGCGGTGTTATGGCCCTCCAGGTGTGGTTCTCTAAACTCGTATTGTTGTTTCTGTTCTTGTTGTGATATGGGTTGGAAACTCTTTTTCTTTTTTTCTTTTTCTTGCTATAAGTAAACAGTTTTCAGCAGAATGATAATTTTCTTTACTTAATTTCCAGGTGCAAAGTGAGTTCCAAAAGGCATATGAGAATGGAATTCATAAGTCAAAGTATGCTTTTGGAGTTCTGGTTTAATTCATGATAGCGTTTGTTAGTAGCTGGCATTATAACAAAGATCTTTTCGTCCAGGTTCTGGGAGCCAACATATGAGGATTGCCTCAACCTGATTGCTCGTGTTCCTGTTGTAGCTGCATATGTTTATCGAAGGTTAGTAAAGACTAGATATTTTTGTACTCTTTTCATGTTTCATGTAGCTTCTGAATTTTCGGCACGGGTGCCCTTTATTGGAAAATTTGTCATCCCTTGTTTTTGCTTTATATTGACGATTGACCTTTTCCAATCAATCATTGCAGAATGTATAAGAATGGTGATTCCATTCCCTCAGATAAATCTTTGGATTATGGTGCAAATTTTTCCCACATGTTGGGATTTGATGATGAAAAGATGAAAGAGCTCATGAGGCTTTACATCACTATCCACAGGTCTGTATTAATTTTTTTCAGCCATGCGTGTCTCCTAAAACAAGCTTAACTATCTTGTAATTTTGTTTGTTCTTTTAAGACTTTAAAATAGGCCTTAGTATAACATTTTGCTTTTCTACTATTTTTTTGTTATAGTGATCATGAAGGTGGAAATGTTAGTGCTCACACTGGTCACCTGGTATGTATGCTTACAGTCTCTCCCTGTGTCAACTTTGAAGGATTGACCTACCGGAAGTTTCTAATGGTTCTTTTGCTAAAATACTTGTGCATGTAGGTCGGTAGTGCACTTTCAGATCCATATCTGTCATTCGCAGCTGCATTAAATGGTTTAGCTGGGCCACTCCATGGTTTGGCTAATCAGGTATTCTCCCTTGTCTATATCTTGAATAAGTCTTAATTCTTCAATCTACAATAGAGCTTCATAAGTTGTCTCTCTTGTATATTATCTAGGTAGGTTGTGATAGTTTGACTTCGATGGTACAACCATAAGTTGGAGGGAACAAATCATTAGTCTTTTTTACTGTCGTGTTTCAACAGGAAGTTTTGCTTTGGATCAAACAAGTTGTCGAGGAATGTGGAGAAGACATATCGAAAGAACAGTTGAAAGAATATGTTTGGAAGACATTAAACAGTGGCAAGGTAAAAACACGGAATTCCTCTGCCTTGACATTCTTCACTTTCTGGTCTTGTACATGTAGGCTGTATCCCACTTTTGAAGCCAGCCAACAAGACTGATGAAAGTTTCACCCTGATTGAGCATGCGAAAATGAATTAATATCTTGTCTGCTAGTCATAATAGGCTAATATTTCAAAGTTTGGTCAGTCAGTCTAATAGCTCCTAGTAACTAATACCGCCATAAGAGCTTTGGATCCTGTTTTTCCCTCGCCTAGTTTACCTTGTGGATGTAATGTTACAAGGATAGTCTACTGATTGATCTATTGACGAGTCTTGTTTTGTCTCTAGGTTGTTCCGGGATATGGACACGGTGTTCTGCGCAATACTGATCCAAGATATGTATGCCAAAGAGAATTTGCCTTGAAGCATCTACCTGATGACCCTCTTTTCCAGCTGGTACGTTTTTTCTTTCTCTTTTCTCTTTTCTGTTCGGCTCTCAAAATTCTATCAATGTCCAGTAGCTAACAAATCCTTCCAACTCTGTAGGTGTCAAAGCTTTATGAAGTCGTGCCTCCTGTTCTCACTCAGCTTGGAAAGGTAGTATCTCTTATCCTTTGTCTCGTTTACAATGGTGATCCTTTCATGTAAGGAATTGCATAAAAAATCTCTGAGAAAATAAAACCTTCAATATTCCACCAAAAATTCTATAGCACCTACCTAAATACAGTGCTTATGAGTCTCCTGCGAATCAATTTTATATTTACTTGCGAATCCGATGATGGCTTGTTACAGGTGAAGAACCCGTGGCCAAATGTTGATGCTCACAGTGGGGTCTTGCTGAACCACTATGGTCTAACCGAAGCAAGGTAAGAAGTAGACACCTCATTCAAGTATCATTGAGGCTTAGGATAACACTCATATATAAAATATTTGTGCGTTTTATAGGTACTACACCGTGCTCTTTGGTGTATCAAGGAGTCTTGGCATCTGCTCTCAGGTAACATATATTTACACAGTACGCCTTTGTTACTACATACCATTTAAAACAGAACTTATATACTCAACTTCTCATTTGTGTATAATTCACAGCTAATATGGGACCGAGCTCTTGGACTTGCACTTGAGAGGCCAAAGAGTGTTACAATGGACTGGCTTGAAGCCCATTGTAAGAAAGCTTCATCTGCTTAAGCCACCACCTGAGTCACGAGTCTGGCTCGCTTTCTCGTGTTTAAACAAAAGCCATTCTCTTCCACACTGAATAGCCTTTTTTTACCTTCTATTTGACAGAAGAAACATTTGTTCATGTAGAAATTGTTCTTGAGAGACACATGCTTGGTGCAAATTTGCATTCCGGGAAAACTCGTGATAATGAATAAACAGTTGTATTCAATTTGCATAAACATCCAACATCAATACCACTCATGAATTTAAGCTTTTCTTAGTTTTGATATACATAAAAGAAACAAGACTGCAAAAGTGAAAACTGCGACATGAGCTCATCAAAAGCAAATGGGATTAAGAGCTGGTATTGTTGGTAGTATCCTTCTTAGAAAGCTCATCATCATCAGCAAGAGAGGCTGTGAAGTTAAGCCTCTCCTCGGCCCCGGCAGTAATAACCGGCATCCAAACATCTGCTGTGCCGCTGAGCAGCGTCTGAACTTGTGGATCAGAAGCTATAGCAGATGAAATCATCTCATCTACATCATCCAACTTTGCTGATAACTTGTTTAATTCCTTAGCAATCTCCACCTGAAAAAACACAAAACCTCAGATTTACAATACAGTGTGTATCAGATTATGAATGAACACAGGACACATACCTCATTGAGGTGTTGAGCAGATTTTGAAGGCACTTTGGTGACTTCTAAACCAAGAGCTTCAATCTTAGAACGTAGCTCAACCTCTTCTGTATTTGTCAATGATTCCACCTGAGAAAAATCATCCAAAACATTGGTAAATGATTCAAAGTAAGTCCAATGTAGTAACAATTACTGTCCAACAAGAATAATATCAAAAAGAATCAAAAGCTCTTCCTTTTTTTTGTTGACGAATTAGACAGAAATTGGGAAATTCGACGAACAGAACAGAAACTCGAAATTGAAATTAAAATCAAAATAAAGAAGAAACGAATTTCACAGATCATAAAGAAATCGAGAGCGAAATAAAAACAAAATCAAAAAGACCCGATAGAAGCTGAAAGAGCTGCTCGTCGGGTTTACCATCAGTCATATCTCTCTTCTCTTTTTTTTATTTTCTAATCAAAAAAATCAAATTTAATTACTGCTTCTGATGATGATGATGATGATTCGTGTGATCGATCGTGGCCTTTTAAATCTGATACTAGTTTGGGTAAACAGATAAAAAGGACGACGGATCAATCAAGGAACCGGCGCGCGTGAATCTCACGCGATAATGGTTGTCTTGTTTTTGTAATTTCTTTTAATTGTTTTTGTATCTCTGACGTGGACTTTGACTTTTTGGCCTTTCGAACCAAAACAATTAAATAAAATTTGATTATGTTTTAGGGGATTTAAAATAAAGAGACAAAACCTTTGTGAAGGTCAATGCTTATCATCGAATATCCACAACGACCTTTGATCATTTGTTTTTTCTTTTTACTTAATATTTGAGATGGTGATGAATATAAATTATAACGATTAAAACAAATAAAGTCAAAACTCAAAAGGCTTTTTATTCAAGAGGAAAAAAAACAAACATGAACATGAAAGCTTGCAAATTCAATGAAAAACAAAGAACGTCCAAATCACAAGAAACAATAAACGAGTTTCCAAAGCATCAAGAATCCCAGATAGCTCCAGAGCAACGATGATTTTTTTTTTTGATAAAACATTTTTAGATCAACTTGAGACAAGCCTTTCTCGCTTTCTTAGCAATCTTAGCTCTTTGCATCTCCATATGTAACTCAATCTGCATCTTCTCCATCTCCCTTTGAGCTTCCAACATTGCAGCTAACTCCGAAGCCGCTGACCCTCTTCCTCCTTTATTCCCACCACTGTTTGTACTTCCTCTTCCGCTTCCTCCTCCTCCTCTTTTTGGCTCTTCTTCTTCTTCTTCTTCCTCTACCGCGCAAGAATGTAAATGCGTGCCATAATCACATTCCTTGCAATAATACGACCAGAGGTTATCCGGTACAGTTTCTTGACAAACATCACAGTTAAAGATCAAACCGTTCTGATAAGGGGAACGGTAGAGCAATGTGAGCGGATGCGCGTGTCTTTCACGCTCCACAGACTCAGGCATGGACACACATCCGACATGAACATCGTACTGGCAGATAGAGCAGTTGTAAGTGAACCCGGATCCATACTCACCGCACGCATCACAAGTGTAAGTTGACTCGTATGGTGGGGAATAAAGCAGCGTCAAAGGATGATCCGGGTGAGCCTTGTGACGCGTCTCACGTGGAAGCTCGAAACATGACTTGTGCAAGAAGTAATCACATTCTGACTTTGTGCATTTGAAAGCTGCGCCTATCAGGTCAAGGTCGCAACCAGAGCAGATGATCTCTTCTTCAACTTGGGCCTTGTGACTGCGCAATGGATGGCCGTGGCTCGGATGCCTCACCGACGGTTTTCTTGCAGCCATGATAGCTAATATCTTCTTCTTCTTTTTAAAGTGTGTTTGAGGTTTTTGTTCTTGTTTTGATTCTTGTTAAGCTAAGGGATTTCAAACTATTTATAGTGTTAATAGTAAGACGACTTGTGATTATGAGTCTTCTTTAGGGTTGAGTAGTGATGTGTTTTGGTTTGACTATTTATCAAGTTGTGTAGTTTATATATTAAACTATATTGGGACAAGAATGTCACTACGCGCTTAGATGTGATACGATATATACAAGATTGATTCTCATTTTGAATTCAAAGTCATGTGGTGGAATTCTTCTTCTTGATCCCATCCATGCCATCTAGTTTTTTTGTACTATACTTTATAATTGATTAAATAGTTAATTGTAATTAAAATATTATAAACTTGCATTATCAAGTTGGAAATGCATGTATACAATAGAGTTGACATAGTGAAGGATGTGAGGTCAATTAACTACGCTGGATCTCTAGCTAATGCACATGATTGTCTTCAAGTAATCTGAATATAGGAGACTATGACTTGGGAAAAGAAACAAACTAGAAATTGCGATTTTATTATGTGGAAAATGTATATAAAGTCATCTATAACTTCTATCTATCAGGTTACAGAGATTGACTTGGATGGCTTTGGTATCTGCTGGTGCACCAAATAGTTTGAAACTGAAACAGTGATCCTAAAAGTGTAATTTTAAATGTTTTAGTCACAATAAAACATTCCCTTGAATGTGTCACATATAGTCACACACTCACATACAAAATCCAGAAGATACAAGGATAATGACTGCAACACTAGTAACAACTGTGACCACCTGGTGGTTACATCAGTTCTGCTCCAGATTTAAGAGTGGCTGCATTGGTCAATAGAGTGAATTTTACGGGTTTTCTGTTGTTCAACAACATTGCAATGAGCAGTTCTATGGTAACTTGTAATGGTTCTTATTTGGGGACAAATAGGTGATGCTCTTCCGACAAAGAAAGCTTTTCAATTAACTTTACCACTTCTATTAACGGATCTTGTAAGTTGTAACCATGACGATGGCATATGTGGCTGGAATTGAGGGATCTCCAATGGCTTTCTTATCTTGTATTAGCCACTGATTCAGCCTTCTTTGTAGTCCTGATGCTACTTATCATTCCTTAAGCTTTCTCGTCTACTGTCTACCAGACATTGCTTTCTTCGACACATCTTCTACTTTCCTTATTTATTGATACTTTTGGTTGATCGGTACGGATCAGGATGTTGTCGTTCACGAAAATCTCACATGATCCTGACATCTCATCTTCGATCAACGACCCACTCTCAGTTTTAAGAATGCTCTGTTTCAAGAGTTTTGTATAATGGATGGTTTAATCACTCAAATAAATAATTTTACCTTGATAAATTGTTACGCAGTAAGAAAAATATGGCCGTTGTAACGGTAAAGTAACTTTTTCTTACCGTTGTGATCAATTTCCATTTTTTTGCAGCGCAAATATAGAGAGAAGGAAATAACCAAACCTCGTCGGAAAGAAAAAAAAGGAAATAACAAAAAAGAAAAGGAAACAATAAAAAGCCTTTCCTTATAAATACTCATCTCTTCTTCGCTTCTTGAGTAATCAAATTTCTCCAATTCTCCTGCTTCGATAGATTAAACAAAAATCTCTTCTTTTTTCTTTCTAATACATGTTTCTTCTTCTCGAGAAAGCTCTACGAATGCCTAACGAGAATATCGCCGATCTCGAGACCGTGAAGCCGATGATCCATGTTCTAGACATTGAAGCCACTTTTTTTCCCTTACCTAGTGAAGCCTATCCGTAAGATTGAACAAAGGAAAGCATCTCTGTTCGTGACACAGTTTGAGAACGATTTCAGAACGGCGAAGAAAACAAAGAGATTTCGGGTCAGTGAAAGGTTTGGGATTTCGATGGCTCAGACCACTACGAGTCCCGGGTAAAGAAGAATTTTGAGTTTCGTCGTCCATCGATGATCGATCTCTTCCTCAACAAACTACAGTCTCGGCCCAAGTAAAAGAAGAAGACATGGGCTTCGGAAACTAATTATTGGGCTTTTCCATCAGCAAGTCTGTCAGATACACGAGATCCAGGTTAGTTTCTTCCTTTCTTATTTTCTTTTTAATTAAACCATTTTTTATTTTGGGATGATTGGTGTGATGCTGTAAAGACTTTTCCTACATTTAAAAGTTCTCACAGTTAATTATTTACCAATCAGACTTTTCACTCCTTTTTTTTCTCTACAGCCTTAACAGTCCATTCTTTTTTTCTCTCTTTTTAATTGCACTAGTTTTTTTAAAGTCCTAATAATGAGAGGCTCTAACATTTTTTCAATTAATTAAGTATTTCTTTTAAGATTATTTATCTTCTATTTATATATCACTTTTACGATTCATTGATTGTTCAATATATAATATATATTTATATTTCACTTAATAGAAACAACAATTCAACAAAAATAAAAACATTCAAAAATATATATGTTTTACTTCTTTCTTTTCTTTTTTTTTCCTTTTCTTTTTTCAATATGTTTTACTACTAATTGTGAAATTCAATATAAAACAATAATAGTAAATAAAGAAAATTCTACACAAAACAAATTAGCACATAATAGTGAATCATTAATCATTCAAAAATTAGAGAAAATCATAAATTTTAAAGCATGCCAATACAAAAAAATATTTCAACAAATTTTAAATTAAAATTAATACAACAAACTATTTTTAGAAGATCACTAACATTATAAATACAATGACCAATAGAGTTTTAACTTGCAAATCGAACCAATACTATGATTTCCAAGTTTTGTTAGTTTATCACACTTCTTATTTATGCTTTTGGGTACTAAATTTCGACATAAAATAAATAAATATAAATAAATTTATTTGTTTCAAATATTTATCTATTAGTTTATTTTTAAAATTTTTAATTTTTTTTAATAAATCTTTTTGTTATGATATTAAAATAATATTCACAACTTTTACAGCCATAACTTCTACAGTAGTGTTTACCAATTAGACTTTTAAAAATATTTTAAAGTTACAGCCACAGTTTTTACAGTCAAATTCTCTGCAGCCAAAAATTTACAGTAAAAGTCTATAGTAAAAGTCTTTACCAATCGGCCCCTTTAACTACAAAAATGTTTTTCTCTTTCTCTTTTAAAACTTATTTTTAATAAATAATAATGATTTTCACTAACAATTTTTAAAAAATTTAACACTTATATTTTAAGAAAATAATTAATAATTTTTAACTAAAACAATGTAATTTTCACTATTACTTTTTAAAAATTGGTTTAAGTGTTAAATTTTTAAAACGTCGAAAACTAACCGCGCCTAGGCATCCAGTCCTTAGTTGGTCCGTAAGCTTTGGTGTTCGAAGTTCGGCAATGTTTTCACGTGATATAGATTTAACACTTAAACACATTTTTAAAAAATAATAGTAAAAAAAATAATAATAATAAAATAAAATAATAGTGATTTTTAACCGGGTGCTTGTCTCCTGGTGGTAAAGGAACCTCGGCTGAGGCACCCGCCACCCGGCTTCGAGTTCAGGCTACTGCGCAATTTATCTGCGGGGCGCAGCGTCCCAGACCACCAGTTCCAGGGGGCCCTTAAGTGGAGGCTTAAAAATCTCAGACACGCGGGCTTAGGTCCAGTGGGCTAGTCGGATCACAGTGTGGTCTGGACACTGGGTTATCAAAAAAAAAAAAAATAATTGTGATTTTGACTAAAATTTTTTAAAAAATTAACACTTAAACTTTAAGAAAATAATGTTTTTTAAACTAAAATCATGTTAATTTCACTAAAAAAAACTTTAAAATTAGTTTAAGTGTTAATTTTAAACACGTCGAAAACTAACCGCGCCTAGGTATCCTGTCCTTAGTTGGTCCGTAAGCTTTGGTGTTCGAAGTTCGGCATGTTTTCACATGATATATATTTAAAACTTAAACTCATTTTTAAAAAATAATAGTGATTTTGACTAAAATTTTTAAAAAATTTAACTTAAACTTTAAGAAAATAATGTTTTTAAAACTAAAATCATGTTAATTTCACTAAAAAAAACTTTAAAATTAGTTTAAATGTTAAATTTTAAACACGTCGAAAACTAACCGAGCCTAGCATCCTGTCTTTAGTTGGTCCGTAATTTTTGATGTTCGAAGTTCGGCATGTTTTTACGTAATATAAGATTTAACACTTAAAATCATTTTTTAGAAATAATATTGATTTTTCACTTAACATCAAAGCTCCAAAAGGTAGATGTTTAAAATAATAATGATTTTCACTTAAGTTTTGGTGTTATAAGTTCAACATGTTTTTATGTAATATAAATTAATACTTAAAATTATTTTTAATGTTTTGTTTTTGTAAACATAATCTAAACATAAATAAATTACACTTAAAATTATTTTGGACATAATCACACTCAATACCAATATGTACATTTCCAAACATTAAAACACATAATTAATTCAATTCAAAGAGGCGACTTTAAAACATTTGAATGACGTTATTAACGCATTGGACCTGTACGTGTCTGGTTTGGTTTATAAACCAACCGGTTTATCCGGTCATTTTCTTTTTTATTTTTTTGAGTGGGAAAATTAATTCACTATTAATTTCGAATTTCGAACAGCGGCGTTTTAGGTCTTCGTCGTCGGAGAATGGAGAGAATCCATGTCTCAGTCAGAGCACGGCCGGTTTCGCCGGAGGAAGCAAAGACGAGTCCCTGGAAAATCTCTTCCAATTCAATCTTCATCTCAAACCAGCCCGCGTTTAAATTTGGTACTCCGATCTCAATACTCTTTCCAATTTCTTCTTCTCTTCTTCTTCTTCTTCTTGTTTGCAATTCTCATTCTCTCTCTTTTCTTACAATAAAAGATAGGATTTATAGACAAGATTGCAAAACTATTGACGTGTATGAAGCTAGAACTAAGGAGATTGTGTCTGCTACTGTTCGTGGATTCAACGGTAATAGCTGTCCGACTTTTAGCTGAGATTTTCGAATTTCGGTGCTGAGATTTACGAAATTTGGCTAATGTATTTGAAGGAACTGTGCTTGCTTATGGACAAACAAATAGTGGCAAGACACATACAATGAGAGGCTCAACTATTGAACCTGGAATCATCTCTCTTGCTGTTCATGATTTGTTTGATATTATCTCTCAGGTTCCAATTTCAAACAACTTGGGATCTTACCAATTTTATGTTTCTATGTTCTGTAAAAGTGGATTTACTTCAGGTTTGGTGTGTTTTCAGGATACAAGCAGGGAATATTTGTTGCGCATGTCGTATCTTGAGATTTACAATGAAAATATAAACGATTTGTTGGATCCTCTAAACAGGAAACTACAGATTCATGAAAATCTAGAGGTACTTACTTATACATCTTGTTAGATTTTACAAATTTTGCTAGCTATTCTGATTGTTTTTTCATAATCTTGATTTCTTTAGAAAGGAGTATTTGTTGCTGGACTACGAGAAGATATTGTTGATTCCCCTCAACAAGTTCTTGAATTGATGGAATCTGGAGAATGTACTTTCTATTTTCTTCACATTGTTCTGTCTCCATCTTGGTTTTGCCAGGATTGATTTAGTGGATGGATTTTCATTTGTGTCTTTTGGAATAAAATTTTCAGCTCATAGACATATTGGGGAGACAAATATGAATCATTACAGTAGCAGATCTCACACTATTTTCCGCATGGTAAAAACATATGTACACTAAACCTTAGTGCTCTATTAAATGTAAGTTGAACTTTTAACTTACCAGATTTTCGTCAAACAGATTATAGAAAGTAGAGAAAAGACGCGAGATGAAGGTGTTGGAAATGTCTGTGATGCTGTTAGTGTCTCTGTTCTGGTATTATCTGTTTGAACTAGTGCTTTTATTCCCCTTACTTGCAACATATTATTATATGTGTCATCTTTCTCTTCACTTGTAGAATGTGGTGGATCTTGCTGGTTCAGAACGGGCTGCAAAAACCGGCGCAGAAGGTGTTAGGCTGAAGGAGGGCACACATATAAATAAAAGCTTGATGACACTTGGGACTGTAATTAAAAAGTTGAGTGAGGGAGTTGAAAATCAAGGGTAAGCTTTTGTTTTTGGTTTGTTTTTTTTTTTTGGTTTCGTTTCGTTTTGTTAGTGTCTAACCTTATTGGTACTTTCTGTGATTGGATCAGTGGTCATATCCCATATCGAGACAGCAAGCTTACCAGGATTTTGCAGCCAGCTTTAGGTGGAAATGCAAATACAGCAATCATATGCAATATAACACTTGCACTGGTAAAACTAACAATGTCATTTTGCTCTTTGTTTGGTTTCTGTAAAACTAACAATCTTAATTTTTGTTTTGATGTTAGATTCATGTAAATGAAACCAAGAGCAGTCTTCAATTCGCTAGCCGAGCACTGCGTGTCACTAACTGTGCGCATGTCAATGAGGTAGGGTCCAAATCATTTTGCGCTTGCGCTTATTATCTCTGTCTTTGTAACATACTTTCTGATTAAGTCTGTAATCCATTCTTGTGTTTTCCAGATATTGACTGATACTGCTTTATTAAAGCGCCAAAGTAAGGAGATAAAGGAGCTCAGATCCAAACTTAAGGTATCTTTTCTAAATTATTTTATCTGCAGAACTGCTAGAAAATAAAAGTTTATATAACATTAGTGAGCAAGATGAAGATAGTATCATTGGAACGCTTGAAGATTCTTCATTTTCAGACCCATCTGCTTTAGTGTTCCTCTTTTGTATGTATCTTGTGCTTTTCTTGTTGTAAAGCTGGCATTTTACGAACGTTTCATAGATTGAAAACGAGTTAGACAGAGTTCAAAGGGAATATGAGGATCTTCTCGTGCAATATGAAACCGAGGTAATAGTTTTTCCTTCTCAACATCATCAGTAGTTCATGATTTTTGTTTCTAATTTCTCCACACCTTTCAATAGAGAACCATCAATGAAATACAAATTGAGTATCTTAAGGCAAAGTTGGGTGAAGATGGTTTACCTGATGAAGCAAAAAGCAACTATTTAGTATATGGAGTCGTCGGAAATGCTCATTGGAATGAGAACGTTATAATCAGAGAACCAGAAGCTAATATTGTCGTGAAGCAACTCACAGATAAGGTGCATTTCTTCTTTTCCTTACTTACAACTGGAACCACTATTAAAGTAGCTTCTCTTTCTTCCATTCGGCTGTTTTACTTAACCTTCGATATGTTCCGTCCAAAAGATAAACAAGCTGGAAATAGAAAAGTCTTCACTGGAGCAAAAAGTTATTGATACTGAGAATGAGAAGTCTTCATTGAAGCAAAAAGCTGTAGATACTGAGAATGAGAAGGTTCAACACTTTTGTTCTCTTCTCACCTTGTACTTGATGGTAAATTTTATGGGTATATTTAGATAAAGTCTCTTGATGTTTTTCGTTTTAGCTTCTTTGGCAAGAGCAGTGTGCTGATCTGCAGAACCAAATAGAAAAACTTAATCAGGAAGCCCAAAAAGAGCAAGCATATGGTTTCACACCATGTACAGATTCAGTTAGTACCACTCTAGTTTTACTTTTTTAACAACACCTAATAAATTATAAATTATCATGTCTCTCTCCAAATGGCAATGTTCTAACATTAACTGTATGATGTATACAGATCGAAGTCAGGGCCTGTGATGAAGCAACATCAGAAACAACGGAAATCATCGATGAAACAACAGAAGCTTCATCTTCAGCAGAAATCTTCGATGTTGATAAAATTATCGATGTCGATGAAATCATCGATCTTGATGACGAATGATGGAACTCCAGTAAAAATCATTAATCAGTGACTATGATGATCTAACCTTTGTATATATATATATCTAATGATATCCGTTAATATATAGCGGAATAGAAAAAAAAGTAATTCCTTTTTTGTAAACAAGTAAAAAGCATATTCTCTGTCACATAATGTTAATATAATCGTACAGTAATTGACTTTTTGATAGCATTGGCCAATCTCATCTCTCAAGAATTTCCAGGTTATCGAAATGGTTAATTAAGCCAATGTATATCAATCAGTTTCTTTTTCTTTTATTTTGCATAACAATTAAAGATAAAATTACATGAAAAAAGAACTTACAATAATCCAAAAGAGAAAAAATAGAACTTCCCAAAAGAAAGAAACAATCAAAAGCTTCTTCATGATCATCATATCAAATTGATTATATCAATCATAAACCCATTTATATCTTGGTTCATCCCCAAAATGGATCACGGAATTTTGGATCTTATTCCTAATACGCATCGCCGCAAGCTCATCTTGAGCTACCATCAACGACTGCATCCTTAAAGCTTCTGAACTCTCTTCTCCTTCTCTTTTCTTTGGCTTATGAACTTCATAAACCGGACAAGAATGCACATGTGTTCCATAATCACATTCTTTGCAATAATAAACCCAAAGATTCTCCGACATAGTTTCTTCACAAAGGTCACACATGAACGTTGTACCGTCCTCACGACCTTTACACGGTGTGTTGTAAATCAGAGTGAGTGAATGTTCGTGATCTTCACGCTTCACGGTCTCAGGGATAAAGGCACATCCGACATGAACATCGTATTGACATTCAGAACAGTTGTAAGCGAATCCGGATCCGTACTCACCGCATGCGTCGCACGTGTAAGGCTGACCATACGGTGAGGAATGAAGCAAGGTTAAAGGGTGGTCAGGGTGAGACTTGTGATTGATTTCACGGGGTAGGTCGAAACATGACTTGTGCAAGAAGTAATCGCATTCTGACTTTGTACACTTGAAAGCTAGTCCGGTTAGCTCAAGCTCGCATCCTGAGCAGATGATCTCATCTTCCCCTCGGGCTTTGAAGACACAAAGCGGATGGTTGTGACTCGGGTGCCTCACCGATGGGCGATTAACAGGTTTTTCTGAAGCCATTGTTCCTCACTGTCAAGATTTGGTTATTTAAGTGGAAAAAGAGTTTAAAGACAACAAATACCGAACTATGTAGAGGACTTGTGGTTTTGGTTATTCACCTAGTTACAGTTTAATATATAGAATAGAAGAAGTCCACGGTCGACATTAAAGTAGCAAAATTTAGACACGGAACTTTTGTTAGATTGATGTGATTTGGAATCTCCGATATAGGCAATCGTTAGGAAGTAGTGACAAAACACTAGTCTTCATCAATAATTGAGCGTCCCATATTGATCCAAGTGGGTAACGACTTGTTTAAACAATCTGACCGTTGACTTAGGATCCACTGTACACATTCACACGGTAGAAAAAATGACTACCACAAAAAAAAAAGTCTTCCAACAAATCAAATCCATTCGTTTGTATTCAAAAAAGGATTTGAACATAGGAAAGTGTTATTTTTTCTTGTGAAAGAAACAAAAGTTATATTATCATTTCTCACATAACCTCTACATTGTTTGGGAGGGATAAGTTTTCATGTCAATCCACCTCATACATGTTATCTAAAACTGATGATGTATAGACCAAATATTAAGAATTTTCTAATTAGAAAAAAAATATATTCTTAAAATTCAGCAGAATACAATTACGTGGTCAACAAATGAACCTCCATATAATACAAATATATAGATCATAATAATTTGACATACAATATAATCGTCGTCGACTGGAAAGTGTTTGATGGACAACTCTCAATAATTTTCAAGATCATCACTCTTCTTCATGTATATATATATAACTTGTTTATTAAGCCAATATATAATATATCAGCTTGTTATTCTACGATTTCTTGTAACAATTTAAAGATAAACTTACATGAAAAAAATTACTTACTTAACATATCACACCGAAAAACGAAATTTCCAAAGGAAAGAACAATCACAAGCTTCATCATTGTATCAAATTGATCACTCGTTTATTCGATCACCAATAATATCTCCGCTTTGGACTATCCCATAAATCGAGTATAGCATTATTAGTGTCGTTTCTAATACGTGCCTCGAGCTGCAACGCCGCCATCTCATCTTGAGCCTTCATCAGCGACTTCATCCTTGTAACCGCAGAGCTCGCTTCTCCTTCTTCCCCACCTCCTACTCTTTTCTTTGGCTCATCATCTTCATACACCGCGCAAGAATGTACATGTGTCCCATAATCACACTCTTTGCAGTAATAAACCCAAAGATTCTCTGACATATCTTCTTCACAAACATCACATATGAACTTAGCACCGTCCTCACGACCTTTGCATGGTGTGTTGTAGAGAAGTGTGAGTGGGTGTTCGTGATCTTCCCGCTCCACGGTCTCAGGGATAAAAGCACATCCGACATGAACATCATATTGACATTCAGAACAATTGTAAGTGAATCCAGATCCGTACTCACCGCATGCGTCGCACGTGTAAGACTGACCATATGGTGGGGAATGAAGCAGGGTCAAAGAGTGGTTTGGGTGTGACTTGTGATTGGTTTCACGAGGTAGGTCGAAACATGACTTGTGCAAGAAGTAATCACAATCTGACTTCATGCACTTGAATGCTTGTCCGGTTAACTCTAGCTCGCAGCCAGAGCAGACGACCTCATCTTTGTCTCGAGCTTTAAAGACACGCAGCGGATGGTTGTGACTCGGGTGCCTTACGGATGGGCGATTAACAGGTTTTCTTGAAGCCATTGTGTCTGAATTTGGTTAAGAAAGCATTTAGTTACTATAAATAGCAAAAAATATAGATGACTTGTGATTCCATTTTCGGCTAAATAATTGTCAGGTTGGTTTTCATTATTCACCAAGTTGTTAGTTAAATATATAGAAAACGGTTGACATTAGAGTTGCATAATTTTAGACACGAAACTATCACCAGAGATAAGATTTAAAAATCTCCATTTTTGGTGATTGTTAGGAAATAGTGACAAATAATATAATTCATCAATAATTGAGCTTCCCATATATAATTCAAATGGGTTACGACTTGATCATCAAAGAATATAACCATTGACTTTCGAAGTCGTCGCCTAAAGAGTCCTCGACTCAAAGCGTAGGATCCACATCACATGGTAACAAATGAGTACCACACAAAAAAGTCTTCCAAACAAATCAATCCCAAGCCATTGATTTATATATTCATACCAAATTACAAATAGCAATTTAAAACTTGCAAAATCTCATTAAACCAGTAGAGTAAGAATATATTTTGTGCAGCAAACAAAAACAAAACAATGGGAAGGCCAAAACCAGAGGACTCAATTCGACATTTCAGTCATCCACATCCATTGTTCCACTCATCTCTCAATCCTCCAGACCAATCTTCTTCTTCTTTTTGTTGCGTGGTTTGCAAGCTAAAACTCCTAAATCTTCCTTCATACTCATGCAAACCTTGTAATTTCCGCATCCACCGAAAATGTTCCGAGTTACCTCAAAAAATCAGACACCCTTTCGACAAAAACCATCTCCTCTCTCTAATCCCCTCTCCCAAATACCAAGAAGGGCTATTCCGCTGCGACGCGTGTGGAAAAGACGGTGATGGATTCGCTTACCACTGCGGAGATTGTGGAATCGATCTTCACACGGTTTGTGCCAACATGCCTTCTCGAGTCACCCACCAATCTCACCCTCACCACCAACTTTCTTTAACTTTTTCCATGCCATCGGGAGGACCGGGATCCGCTGCGGCATCTAGCTTCAGCTGTTGCGTGTGCCGTGGTCTAGGGTCTAACTCGTGGCTCTATAGCTGCAGAGAGTGTGGTGGATTCGATGCTCATTTGTTGTGTGCTAGAAGAAAATTTGCTACTCCAACAAATTTGGTCCAACATGTTCATCAAAACCGGATGCAACCGCAGTTTATTGGCACGACGCCGTTTGTTAATGTTCCTAGTCCGGTTATTAATAATCCGTATCCTTTGGTGTTGCCGACGATTACGAGTCCTATGATTAGACCGATGATTAATGAGATGATTAATAATCTTGTAACCAATACGCCACAAAATCCAAGCCAAGTCTCTCAGCTTCATGAATTGCTCGGACCATTGGGAATGGGCAGTGGTGGACCGGTTGATGGATCCGGTTCATCTTCGTCTTCTGGTTTTCTCGGGTTTGATCCGTCGGTCTTCTCATCAGTTGACCCGTCGGTGTTTGCTGGATTTGACCCTTCTTTGCTTTCCACTTTGTTCTCCGGACTTGATTTCTTCTCCTAAAGTTTTTGAGTAAATATATGCACTTTGCTTTTGATCGACTTTTATTTATTGCGTTTGTAGTAATTAGTAAACCATAATTACTCAATGTTGTGTGGTTACTTAATGGGACTTATAGACTTCAGATAATTTAAATTTTCTCCCTGTTAGGTTTATCCATATGGTCGGAGACATTTTTATAATAATATCAGCAGCAATTAGTTTAAAACAAAAAAAAATGATAAAAGAGATGCGACGGAATAATGCCTAAAAGCAATGAAAGTATGGTAAAGAGAAACAATGAAGCGTAAGGACAACATTATATGTAAACATTACTGATTATTATTCGGTGATATTTTTTTTAATAAAGAAGATCGTATTAACTTAGATTGTTAAAAAAAAAAAAACTTAAATTGTAGACCCAAATAATCTTTATAGATCAAAGATATAAAAATTGATGATGTTATTAATTTTTTTTTTAATGTTTTAAATTTTCATCATCCATTTTCATACTTTTGACGAGTCCAATTAATAACATACGACAATACTAAATTAGTGATTTTTAATAATTTTATCATCAAAGGTGTAAAAAAATTGATGATACTACTAAATTAGCGATGTAAAAACAAATTAATAATACTTTTAAACTAGTGATAAACTGATAATAAGGGCCGGGATTTGATTGTTTTTATGAATTTGTGTTTGCGTTAGCGTTTAATAGTCAAGATATGTTAATTAATCATGTTTAATTTAAATAAATATATAATGGTTGGTCAAGCTCATGCCAAGAAAAATATATTTTCTAATTACTATTTTTTTATAATTTGTTTCCTTACACCATAAATCAAACATTTAACTGACGCAACCACAAACCTTAAACATTTGGAAGACAATCATGTCCTAAGTCAGAGATTAAAAGTTTTTAGTTTAAACCTACTTCGTCTATCGGTGTCTCTCTCTTTCTCTCTCTCTCGCCACCGATCATCATGGTCACCACCGCCCTCGAAATCTACGTCATCCGCTGCTTCTTTTGATCTCTAGCTCTCTCCAAAGGTCTCTTCTTTCTCTTCAAACTTCATATATGTCTCTGTTTTCTTCGATTGTCCGATCAATTATCTGTTTCGTGAAATCATTTTGTTTGAATTTCGATAGGAAATTAGTTCAAAGTTGATTCCTTTTTTGATTTTTGTTGTTGAGTCTATTACAGATGCATGCGTTGCTTGATTTCGGGATTTGGGGAAGTTCCAATTCATTCGATTGAAAAAGGCTCAGCCTTTTTTGATTTTGGAAGAATTGGTGGTGGGATCTATCATCTATGGATCGGAAACGTTGAGATTGATTTGCAGAGAGACGTTTCTGGGTTTGATTGATCTGTGCCTATATTGTCAAGTTTGGTGTTCTTTGAGCTCTGATGACGAGTAGTGTTCAAGGAGAGACAATGGATCTTGATTTGAATCAAGAGCCATCTTCTGATTCCGAGTCTCCGGGTGGTTTGATGACGGAGCTTTCTCCATGGTTAAATGAGCTTGAATCTGCTCAAGAGCGGATTCAAGAACGCATAAGACAGCTTGAAGCAATAGTTTCAAGAATCAGGGAACGAGAAATAACTACAACTACGACACCGGCTTTGGTGTCGCTTAACGAACATAGAGATTCAACTGCAGGAGTTATACATGAGCGTTCTCGTGAGAGATTGGTCGAAAACGGCGAAAACAAGACTTATTTGATAGCAAAGGCATTGAACATGGAGAAAACAAGTTCTGTTCCTGGTGGGTTCTTTGACTGCAACATATGTTTAGAGAAAGCTGAAGATCCGATTTTGACTTGTTGTGGTCATTTGTTCTGCTGGGGTTGCTTCTATCAGTTGCCTTTGATTTATTTAAACATAAAGGAATGTCCTGTTTGCGATGGGGAAGTGACTGACACCGAGGTGATCCCGATATATGGTAATGGAGATGATTGTGATGGTACTAAACCCAAGTTAGAAACTTGTGGTATTAGTCTACCTCCAAGGCCTAATGCTAAAAGAGTGGAAAGTGTTCGTCAAAAGATCATAAACCGGGCGATTCCGTTCCCTGGGCACGACGAAACAATCGAACATATTAGAAGAACTATTGATTCCATAGGACTACAAGCATTAGCTCAAGGCGATGAGTTTGGTTTGACAAACATAATAAACAATGGTGGGCAACAACAACAACATCATCATCATCATCATCATCCGCCTTTTGGACCTTTGAGGTTAATGACACCATATGCTGCTTTCCCAGGTCTTGTAGTTGATACCTCAGACATACCGCCTTTTGATGATGATGCTTTCGATGTTGATAGTTTTGGTGACACAACTAGTTTGAGAAGAAACCGTCGAAGACCTTCACCAGCCGTACGAGCTTCTTATCAGAGAAACCGAACTAACAATGCTTCTCAGACGATTTCGTTCAGGCTCGGTTCTTCAGCTTCATCAGCACCTAGAGAGTTTGCTGTTCCGAGCTCCTCCATTACGACGAGAAGCCAAACTGTAAATCCTACTGAAGTGGTTACTTTGGGTACATCCGCTTCATCGTCTAGGAGAAGAACAGAAGATGTAAACAATGGACCTCGGACCAGGTCTAGAAGGAGGCTGAGGTAACTGTAAAATCGTCGCCGGAATCTTGACACTTCGTCTGATTTTCGATTATTGCTGAATCTCCATCATTACTAAAACCTCATTAGACTCTGTCTTCTCTGAATATGGCTGGATGTATGTATGCACATTATATGTGTCCTTGTAATCTCTGCTAGTCTCTTAAACTTTGGATATAATAGCTTTGTTTTTTTGGGAAAATAATTTATTTAACTTAATTTCTTGAAGTGTTTGATTTCAAGTTCAAAAATTCAAGATTCAGATTAAATTTATGGGGTAGATTATTAGCACTTCAGCAGGAAAAAAAAAACATTATAAGGGTAAATTCGCAATTTAGCATCAAATCCCGTAGCTTCGATTGAGACATGACGCTTTTTACCCCAAAAACTGAAAAACGGCAAGTAGTTATTTTTGTCACGCTTTTCTCGTTAAAAGTCATCGGCGATTGCTAATTCTCAGTTGTTATCGCCGCCATTGAGTTCTCTCGCCGGCGATAATGATCTACGTTGGTGGAGTGCCATTTGAAGATGAGAATCGCTCATCTTCTTTTTCTTCTTCATCGCAGGTAAATTTCTTTTTCTTCGTCTCTCACGAATCTCTATTTAATGGTTTAACTAGGATTTTGCTTGTATGTTTGTAATGTGTTCTAGATCGTTTAGTGTTAAACTAGAGTTGTTTGAATAATACTTTGTGTTATTGAACTATGAACAAGTTACATTGTATTTATACACACGATCTAGACCTAATTGATAATGTAAATATAACATATCGATCGTCTTAGATAAATGGAAATATAACTAAATCCTTGTTTTACTAGGATTTCCTAATACTCCCCCTCAAGTTGGAGTGTGTACATCCAAAACTCCCAACTTGGACAAAAGATATTCAAACTGTGGTCGAGGAAGAGCTTTAGTGAGAATGTCAGCAGGCTGTTCCTTCGTACCAATATGAACTGTAGTAATAAGGCCATCACGAACAGCATCTCGAACACTATGACAATCCGACTCAATGTGTTTAGTACGTTCGTGAAATACCGGATTAGAAGAAATGTGTATGGCTATCACAATATAAACGAATCGGCCGAGAAAATGGTGAACCGAGCTCGTCAAATAACTGAACCATCCATTTAATTTCTCGTAGAGCTGCGGCCATAGATCGATACTCTGATTCAGCGGAAGAGTGTGAGACTGTGTCTTGTTTCTTGGTCTTCCAAGATATCGGAGAACCACCAAGAAGTACTACATAAGCACTTAAAGACCGTCGTGTGAGAGGACACGATTGCCAATCAGCATCACAATATACAGACAATTGTAAATCATTTTCTGCTTGCATAAGTATTCCTTGACCCGGTGACCCTTTTAGAAATCGAACAACACGTAAGGCAGCCTCCCAATGAGCAACATGAGGAGCTTTCATAAACTGTGACAAAAGATGAATTGCGTAACACAAATCAGGACGTGTGTTAGACAAATAAACCAAGCGACCTACCAAACGTCGATATTGAGTTGGATCATCATACAAGAGGCCATCATCGGATGCTAAGTTGTGGTTTCGTTCAATCGGAGTAAGTGCAGGCTTGCAGCCAAGAAGTCCTGTCTCTTTGATTATATCCAAAGCATATTTTCTTTGGGAAATAAAAATTCCTTCTTCAGAGCGAGCTACTTCAATGCCCAAAAAATACTTCAGCTTGCCCATATCTTTCATGTGAAAACGTTCACTCAACTTGGCCTTGAACTTAGTCAACATTGACAAACAATTGCTTGCAATCACTAAATCATCAACATAAATAAGGATCCGAATTTCTATTCCATCACGTGAGTAAGTGAACAAAGAATAGTCGGAATAAGATTGTTCATATGATGTTAAAAGCTTGGGGATTCGTTATTGATCCATTTGTTTCCATTTAACATCGCCTATATTGTCGTTTTGAACCATAAAATTTATCTGTTTGAACTATCAAGGTTCCTCCTGAGATGCGTCCACCTACAATGGAGAAACAGCCTCATCAAGATATATCTGCATATGGGAGAGAGCCTCCTATGAATGTGCATGTATCATCAGCCCCACCGATGGTCGCTCAGGTATTGCTCCAGTATCTGCAACATATTGTGTAGTCAATTTTTAGAAATGAACTTTTCAATCTATTGGAATGTATGTAAGTAAATCACATGAAAATCTTACTGGTGTGGGGATTTGTTTGTTTTTGCAACAAATGCAGATTCCACTCCCTCACACAGATACTGTAATTGGGACATCAGGTTCTAACAAAAGCTACACTAGACTTCTTAGTGGAGCAACAGTAACTAGTCAGGAAACTAGGGGATTACCTTGTGAAATGACTGTTGAGGTTAGCAGAACTGGCTCACAAGTCCAAACTGCTATGGCTGAAGCTGGAGCGCTGGCACCAGCACATGGCTCTGCAATGTCTACCACTATTTCACTAAGCAAGAGGTACATAAAAAATCCCAGACTCGGAATAGATTTCACAAAATTTTACAAGATCAAGGGGAACAAAAAGCTGCGGTTGATAGGTAGAAATGGTTTTATTGAAGAGGTCACAACTAAAGTAGAAAAAAGACATGGAGTTGTTGACATGATTAGCCTTGGATTGGAATAGAAGAATTTTGTGGAAGCTGAGAATTTAGAAATAGGTGATACTATCACGTTTGGCAGTGGTGGGGATTATGTTTTGATTCTTTTGGAAGTTGAGAAGAACCAACAAGTTTGGGAGGATCATGATACGCAGGCTGAAGCCAAGTACCAACAAGTTTGGGAGGATCATGATACGCAGGCTGAAGCCAAGAACCAACAAGTTTGGGAGGATCATGATACGCAGGCTGATCAGGAGAATTTGGGCATTTGGATAGCAAAATCAAGATCTTTGGAGGTTAGTTATATTTGTATTCTTCCCTGATTTAGTGTCTTAGTCCCTGTCTCTAGTCTCTGTATTAATTTCGTATCAGTAACTGTCTTTGTCTCTAACAGGAAACATGTTCCTCACAAAGTGATTCTTAGGATCTAAGTTTCTAACAAACTAACATGGTTGATTCAAAGACAGACACTTTGTGAGGAACATGTTTCCTGTCTAAGCGGAAGCCAAACTGTAAATCCTACTGAAGTGGTTACTTCGAGTACTTCCGCTTCATCTTCTAGGAGAAGAACAGAAGATGTAAACAATGGACCTCGCACGAGGTCTAGAAGGAGGCTGAGGTAAAGGAAAAACCTCGCCGGAATCTTGACTATTGCTCCATCATTACTAAAACCTCATATAACTCTGCTCTCGTCTGAATATGGCTGAATGTATATGTACATTCTATGTGTACTTGTAATTTCTGCTAGCCTCTGAAACTTTGATATCGTAGTTTTGTTTTTTTGGGAAAATAATTTAACTTAATATCTTGAAGTGTTTGATTTTAAGTTCAAAAATTCAAGATTCAGATTTCGAATATTTAGCCAATGTTTCTTAAACTTATGGGGTAGATTATTAGAAGGTAAAAAACATCAAGGGTAGATTCGCAATTTAGCAAGTTCTTGTCTTATGGAAAAACCAAAAACGTCACGCTGTTTTGTCCCACAAACTGAAAACGGAAAGTAATTATTTACTTAGGGTATATATACGCGACTTGTTAATTTAGTAGAAATTTCAAGGCTGTTCTCGTTAAAAGTCATCGGCGATTGCTTCTCATTTGTCATCGCCGCCGTTGAACTCTCTCGCCGGCGATAATGATCTACGTTGGTGGAGTGCCAGTTCGAGATGAGAATAGCTCATCTTCCTTGTCTTCTTCATCTCAGGTAGATTTTATTTCTTCGCCTCTCACAAATCTCCATTTAATTGTTTAACTAGGATTTGCTAATAAGTAACCAAAAGTAATCATTGTTCTGTTTCACAATCTGTTTGAATTTGAAGTAAGCCAAAACTCTAATCACAAAATGGCTAACATATACATCATTTGGTGAACAGAGAAGTAGCTTGCTTCTTGATGTAATGAGTCATCCTGTGATAACGTTAGCTTCTGATTCTTTTAAGAATCTTGAGGAAAAGAATGTTTCTTTTGATGAAAGTGATTCAGAGAGCTCAACAAAAGACAGATATGTTTACATATTCCAAAGAGAATTTGCTGTTGTGAATCCAGCTCTCGTTGATGTATGTTGTTGTTGACTCACAAGTCCCATCTTAAAAGTATCCACTCTAGTATTGTTGGTTCTCTAATGATTTTGCCCATTTGTTTTATTGAATGAGAATTAGTTTGTTGGCACCGATGAAGCAACAACTTGCGTAGGGCTTGTTATCCGCAACAGAAAATCTGGAATGTAAGGATTGATCTTTTATATGCTTATTAAGAGGATGAGGTGCAAAATTTTTATGATCATCTGAAATTGCAGGACGTCTGTTGCGCATATGGATTCGCCAGAGATTGTGGATTTGGGGATAAGCCAGATGTTATCATTGGTTTTAGAGGATGACGTAGATGCCGAGTTAGATGTATTATCACTTCCCTATTTAGATTACCAAGTGTCTTTGAGCTTATGTTAATCATTCAGTATTTTATTCTGAGTACTTTTGAATATGTCCACGGCTTTGTATGCAGGTACATATGGTTGGTGGTTATGAAGATGTAGACATAAAAGTGTGCTCTCTATATTTCTCAGTCTAGTTAGTACTAAGCTGTAGAGTGGTCTTTAGCTGAATGTATTGACTGTTGTGGTCTTTAGCTGAATGTATTGACTGTTATATGCAGAATGCTGATGGTAGTGGTGGTGACTATGCCAAACCAGAGGGTTACTCATTTCCTTTGTGTTGCAAATTAGTAGAAACCTTGCAGAAGAGAAGAGAAAACTTTCACATTCAAACCCTCTTTATTCTTGGGCACAATACCAAGTTGGATGCACAAGCGAACACGTGCCCCATTTTTAATGGATGCCTGGTTAGCCTACTCTCTCACTATTTACCCTTTTTATTGTTTTAGGATGTTAATTAGAAGATGTAGTAGTTGGTTCTTTCCTCCTCACGGATAAGAAAGAACTAGGAGGTCTTTAACTAGACAATAGGATTGCTTGAAAACATTTCATAAATAATCATCGTTACCCTGTTTTGTTGGAAACATTTTATTAGGTGAATACCTCCACCGGTGCAATTTTCCCAGCCAGTTTCGACAGAACATCTAGATGTCCGGATGAGATTGTTAGAAGAATTCGAGTTTCATCATCATTTTTAGATTCTAGCTGGAAGGGAAAGTTACTCGACACATATGACACAAAAACTGATAGATTCATCATTGCACCATGCCGCTGGTAAAAAAACAAAACGCTACTTCTGTGACATTACATATAATCGCATGATCTACCATTATATATTTGTCTTTCTCACGAGATTTAGAAGTAATTACTCTATCCAATACTCCCCATTGCAGTTGCAGTTTCGTAAATCGTGTTTTTGTTTGTAATACACAGGACAATGCGCTTGGTTGAATATGTTTGGGAACTTAATCAGCTTACTGATGAAGAAATCCTCATAAATTGTTCTACGTCACCTTCTGCTGAAGGTCCAGACTTCGTAGACAATTCAAGAAGGTTAGTCATTTTGGAAGCTTCCATTGGATCATAATCTAGGCCACAAACGCAACATGGAAAATTTACATTCTCTTTCTTCTTTTTGTGTTTCAGGATTTGGGAGTATTTACTAAAACATCCAGATTGGAGCAAAACCTTCCCAAAAAGACAACCACGCGTGTTTGAAAGGACTGTCGATGGACACTGGAAAAGATGCTGACTTTCTCTCCCTACCCATCATGACCATTATCCAGAAATCTGGCTAAACGCAACGGTTATTGTATGTATCTACATTTTGAGTAAATTACTCGGACTTGTTTGCACTTGGATCGATTGTATGAAAATATGAAGATACCTATTGGGCCCAATCGGGTCCGGTAGGCCTATATGTTGCGGCCCATGGTTTAGACATTCCAATTTCAAAGCTTAGTCAAATCCAAACCAGACATTCCAATTGATAAAATAATAATACTACACTTAGGCCTTAGCATGATTCGTAAACGAAGTCCGACCTACCTTTCACCAACAACACGACGGAAATAAGGCATTCTGTTTCTAGAAAGTAGAAGAAACCAAAGAGGGCCATTCTTGTAAATATTTTCAAACCTTCTTCCCGAAAGATGTTGAACGAATCCTAACCGGGACAATTTAACATGACATTGAATCTAGCAGCGGATGCGGAGGAGGGATCGCTGTTCCCTGGCCATCACCATTATTTGGCCTAATGGTTGAAAAAGGGGAAGGGTCAAAGGATAAAAAGCAGCGGTTAAAAACTAGGGTTACTTAATCCCTTTGAATTGGTGTAGTCGTATGCTAGTATTAGTAATTTAGTATAGATCTCATTACTTATAGGAAACAAATCTAAACTCGATAGATTGATTTGATTTGAATTTATACGGATTTTATTATACCTTAATCAAAACACACAAGTATTTAAATAAGATGAGAGAAAAAAAGCACGAAAAAATATTAAGCGAGCGAGTTAGACAAGAAAGCAACTATACAAATTTTTAAAAATATTATAAGAGAAAAAAAGAATAAAAATCCCTAAAACTGCGAGCGTTTTTGTTTGTGTGAGAGAAAGGGAGAGACGAGTCTGTATGGAAAAAGGATGAGCAAGGAAGAAGAAGAAGAAGCACGATCTTATAACATGAACGTCGACGATACTAACACCAACAAGTATATTTGCACTGATAATGATTACATCGAAGAACATGAAGATGATAACAACAGTAAGAAGAGCCAAGCACAAACATGGGGCACGTGGGAAGAGCTGTTATTAGCATGCGCCGTTAAACGACACGGATTTGGTGATTGGGATTCCGTCGCTACGGAGGTTCGATCCCGGAGCTCTCTCTCCCACATCCTCGCTTCCGCTAATGATTGTAGGCACAAGTATCGAGATCTCAAGCGTCGATTTCAGGACCAAGCAAAAACCGATGCGGCTGCGACGGCGACGGTGGAAGAAGAAGAAGAAGAGAGAGTCGGTAATAATATCCCTTGGCTTGAACAGCTACGTAACCTTCGTGTAGCTGAGCTCCGTCGTGAAGTTGAGCGATATGATTGTTCGATACTGTACGGAAACAAAGAATCTCTGCTTCTCTCTCTCTCCGTCGGATCTGAGATTTTTTCCGGTTTTGAATTTGTTTTTATTTCTTTTTTTTGTTCTTAGATCGCTTCAATTGAAGGTTAAGAAATTAGAGGAGGAGAGAGAAGTTGGAGAAGAGAAACCAGATCTGGAAGATGAGAGGAAAGGAGAGAGATCGGAGAACGACGGTTCTGAATCCGAGCACCATGGAAAGGCGGTGGTTTCAGCGGTGGAGGAATCTGATCGGGAAAACAGGTCGATGAACGAGTCGAACTCGACAGAAACCGTCGGAGAAGACGAGAGAGTTGGCGGAGATGAACCGAGTCAGACTCGAGATGATGACTCGGGTAATGATAATAATAATCCGGATCCTGATCCGGTTTATAACGATGCGGCGGCGGCGGTGGAGGAGGAGGAAGGATCGGTTAGTAGAGGATCGGAAGCGAGTCACTCAGACGAGTTAGGCGAATCAGGGACGTCGGAAACGAAATGGAAACGGAAACGAAGGAAACAGGGTGGTTCCGGCGACATCAGATCGGCTGAGAGTAAATCACAGCCGTTGATTGGTCTTCTTGATCTGATTCGGTCCCATCCGCGTGGATCTTTGTTCGAACGCCGGCTTCGGAGCCAGGTATGCTAATATCTTTTTTTTTTTTTTTTTTGGTAAGTGGTATGCTAATATCTTTTTTTCCTTCTATTTTTTTATTTAATATTCAATCTTAAATCTTAAATCAAACGCGTTTCTTTTCTCTTTTACGTTTCTTTATTATAAATCGTGAGTGAAAATAAAATCGAACTATTAATTGTTCATACCTAAATACGGATATTATAATTTAATAATATTCCTTCCAAGTGAATTCGTAAAATAAGTATTAGGAAACATAAAAGCGAAATCTTCTTACAAAGTTCTTGTAATCTGTATTCTAGAAATTTTATATTTTGAATAAATACTCTATATTATATATGGAATCTGTTCATTTTCAAATATATTTTTACGTCCATTTTAGAATTTTATTCGACAATTTATGGGAATGTTTAAATATGGAGAGAGAAGGTAACCAACCCACGTTGGTCCAGTTGGTAAAGGGCTCACGGCTGTGAGTTTCCCTTCCTGGGTTTTCGATTCGGGTTGGCCACCTAGCCGCTCCCTTAACGATGGAATAAAGCGTATCCGGGTGCAAGGCTTCGTGGATTAGTCTTTGGGCCTAGAAAGCCTTTGGGATGATCACGGTTATAAAAAAAAAAAAAATATGGAGAGAGAAGGTGAAGAGGGAAAAAAAAAATTTAATTTAACGAACCCACTTTTTTCGTGGTCACCTGTTGTCGTTTTGGTCACTCAATCTAGTCCACGTGGCAGAGTCTTGGTGTAGCATGGCTTTATCGTGTCTTTCCGCTAACTTTTTTTTATTTTGGGCTTTTTTGTTGGTCCTAATGGACCTATATTTGTCACTTACGTTTATAAGTCCATTAACACGCAGGAGGCTAAGGATTACAAGAGCATGATTAAGCAACATTTGGATATTGAGACGATACAGAGAAAGTTGAAGCAAGGATCTTATGATTCTTCAAGCATCACTTTTTACAGAGATCTACAGCTTCTCTTCACAAACGCCATTGTGTTTTTTCCTTTATCTTCCTCAGAATCAATGGCCGCTCACGAACTAAGAGCCATTGTTTCTCAAGAAATAAGGAAAGATACCGGAAAAGCTGGTCCCAGGTTAATAAACCGGGAAGCATCGGGTATGCGTAGTGGCAAAGCGGATGCTGAAACATCAGACTCGTCTCTCTCTAGACAGAAATCTTCGGCTACACTAGTTGTTTGTAAGAAGAGGAGTTCTGTTTCCGCTAAGGCTTCTCCTTCGTCATCAAGCTTTAGCCAAAAAGAGGAGACGAAAGAAGAGACATTATCAGAGGAGAAAGACAACACTGTGACTGGTGTAAGAAGCTCGAGAAGGGCCAACAAAGTGGTTGCTGGTGCTGCAGTTGTAACTAATAATACCAAGACGGGCAAAGGCAAGAACAAACAGAAACAGACAGAGTCGAAAACAAATTCGTTGAATGATAATAGTAGTAAACAAGATACAAGTAAAACAGAGAAGAAAACGGTTTCATCAGATAAGAAGAAGAGTGTGGCTGATTTCTTGAAGAGATTAAAGAAGAACTCTCCGCAAAAAGAAGCTAAAGATCAGAATAAGAGCGGTGGAAATGGTAAGAAAGATAGTAAAACAAAACCAAGAGAACTTCGAAGTAGCAGTGTGGGTAAAACGAAGGCCGAGGTAGAGAATACTCCGGTGAAAAGAGCCCCTGGGAGACCGCAGAAGAAAACAGCAGAGTCAGGAGCAACTACAACCGCATCTGCCTCAGGAAAACGGGGTAGAGATACCGGAAGCACGGGAAAGGACAATAAACAGCCAAAGAAAAGAATCAGAAAATGAGAATTGAAAACACCTTTTGCCCCTTTGGTGTCTTCTCTTAAGAGCACAGGGTACTGTATATCCATAGAGTATGCTTTGGAGTATTTTATCTTAATTCTAACACTAGGGGTCATATTCTCATAGTTATGGTATGGATTAGGGAAAGTGTATTTTTGCTTGCTGGCATCAGTAATATTCATTCCTTCTTTTCTATTATATTTTGCTCATTTCCACCATTTGAGTCCCTAAAAAAGCTCGAGCTACAGTGACAAGATACCGAAACTACTCCATTGAACATATATCCAACAAAACCAAGATCCAGGTCAAGCTAATCTCTAGTGTCAGCAAAAAATTACAGTCAAATACCCAAAAAAAGGGTAACATCAAAGAAGGTGAGACTTTGACCTTCGATCTCTTCTTCACCGGCTCCTCAGGGACCGCACATTGCACTGTGCCTTGGCAAAATTGCTTGATTCAAACATAAGCTACTGACGAAATGCACCTTCTATAGAAAAGAACAGAGAGCGAGAATTTCAGTGAATGTATTTGATCTGAAATTATAAGCATTTCGTCTTTATTTGCTCAAATGGAGGATTATCACTGAGGAAATAGGGCTCGAATATACTAAATGCTTGATATATCAAATTAAAAACTTGCCGTTTTCTCCATCGGAAATATTTCCAAGCTTTGCAATTGCGCCCACAAGTGCATGCTCGTGCTCCTAGATTAAAGTTAATAATAGAGCACTGAAGACTTTTGTATGTATAATCAGAACTATGTACGAAAAGATCATTGTTGTTGTAGCGATCAAACCTCCAAAATTCTCCTAGCCCTTTCAACTTCGTGGGGATCTGGATTGTGTGAACCAAGAACTCTCTCCACCTATCAGATACCATCATCATTTGAGAAATATCCTTAATTATCGTGCTGTAAAACTCGCCTTGTAAACAATTGATACCAACCTCTCTGATTAGGACATTTGTTTGGCGGATTCGTATATTGAGATGTTTCTTTTTCCCAGTTCCATTCTGTGATGTTCTGAAATCCTTTCTGATAGTGTTCTTTGCCAAACCGCTTCCTCGTTGTGGAATACTGTTGGGTCCGGTAGTTCTATTTAGTTCATGACCTTGTCCGTTATAACCATATCGATTACAAACCCCAGGATCCTCTCCTATCCACTCTATATCCCCAGGAGATATCTGTTAAAGAATTTGAGATCTTGGTTAAAAACTAACAAAGAATTGTTGACCAAAGTTTAGAACATTCTACTCATAAGTCTCAGCAGACTACTGATCAAAAAGTAATTACCTCTGAGAGATTAACCCATTCCCATGTCTCATGAGCTGTTGCAATGTCATAAACTAAAGCATGGCGACCCTAAAATTCAAGATTAAAGGAATATTTAAGCAAGTAGAGAAACTTCGTATTTTATAAGAACAGAAACTTTATGCCAATCTTATGAAGCCACACACCTCAACTGGATTATACATGGTAATGACAGCGTCGTAAAATGTATTGTCTTCAGGCCACTTTGTTCTAACTCTTTTGCCAATAAAAGATTCAGGATCGGTTCCGTTTGTGGGTTCACTTGAACTGGTAGGAACAATTGGTAATCTGTTCATGACTTGTCCTCGTGGAGGTTGATCTGAAGGATGGTATGGGACGGGTTTTGTGGAAGACGAACCAGGAAAAACCTAGAAACAGAAGAAACTTGTAAGAAGATATTTTCTGAGTAAAAAACATTCCAATTTTCTGAGTTTTTAACTCACTGGTTTATGCTTTTTGCCCTTGACAATAGGAACAGCTCCCCGTTTGGCTGTGGATGAAGCAAATGGGTGAGTGGGATCAGCTTGAGGATGAAAAGTAGGTGAAGAACTGGCGAATGGTTGAGCAGGAATTGGCTGGTTTGGTTTGTGCTTCTTAATAGAAGCTGGAACAGAAGGGCTTGGCAATGTATCGTGAACCACTTGAGCAGCATTGCGCACACTTGGTTGCATTCCTCCAGATTGTCTCCATTCCCTAATAACCGAAAAACCTTATGTTATTGATAGAAAAAAAGAAAGAAACTTTTCACATGCTGAAACGACTATATTATTGCTCAGATTATAGCTCTCACCTTATCCTTCGTATTGTATCATCTGCGTTAACACGACCTAGAAGTTCTCTATGCTCCTCATTCGATAAACTCAACTCTCTACGTAGCTCAGTGATTACACCTTCTTTTTCCTGAACAAGATACATACATAAAATACATGTCACTATACCTAACAAGAACCTAACACAACAAGAGAAATAAAAGTAGACCAAGATTCATCAAAACTACCCATGAAATAGCATCTCCTTGAGCTTTAAAGGCTCTTAGAACAGAGATATATGCTTCCTTCTCAATCTGGTGAATCTGAGCTTCCATATCAGCAGCAACATCATCATATATCTTTGGATAAGATGGAGGAAGATTCAAAGATCTTCCATTAGCAGCCACACGTCCTCCTCCTCGTGACGGTGGCAGATCATCATCAGTTCCTGAAGACACCACAGGTAAAATCAATCAATGTTGCATCATCAAAATCAAACCTTTGTAATTCAATCATTACCACACATTACATACAAAAGGTTTCAGCTTTAGAACAAACGAGATATGTTTAAGTCAAATTCAGTCTCACTCTCAGCTTAAAACACCAACCCACAAAAAAAAACACAATGTATAACAGTAATCGTACGGAGAAATCCCAAAAGTTGTGTAAAACCCTAATTTCAGCGACTGATAGAGAAGAAGAGAGAACAACGAGCTAAATCTAAACACTTTCGGGAACTAACCACTGCTATCAATTGGTTCGTAGTCCATTTACGAAGCTTTAATCAAGAGACTAATCTCGAAGGTGAAATTGGAGAAGCAAGACGAAGAATCAAGTAGAGCAAAGAACAATTGCGCGAGGTTGATTTCAATTTGACTTAGAAGAAGACTCGATTTTGGTTTGAGCTCAATTTTGTACTTGTCGAGCTTTTAAAAAGAAAGAAGCGACGGATCAAATTCTTGCTCCGGCAACAAATCAGAGCTCCACAACAAGTGATTCAGCTTAGAGATTACAGATTTTGCCGAAAGCTCATTATTTGCCAAAATAAGAACACAGACGATATTTAATTTTTAAAAAAAAAACAAAAACAAAAACAAATTGTTGAGAAATTAAATTAAATTTTCGTAGATTCATTCTCATTAAAGTTATCAAAATATTTACGAGGGAATCAAAACGCCGTCGTTTCATTCCTATCTACGTGTTCTCCTTACAGAGTTGTTTTGTAATGTTGGGTTTTATAACTGAAATTTAAAATAACTAGACACAAAATCCAGACTCTGTGTAAAGCCTTACCCAAGCCCATTAGTTTTATAAGTAGGCCCAACTATTTGTATGATAATTGATAACTACAAAACGGATGTTGTTGCTCAAATATGTTCCAAGTTAAATAGAACTACGTCAACGTAGTGTACGTGGGAAAATTCGTATTCAAACTTGGAAAAAGTGAAATAGCTGACCCAAAAATAGAAAATAGTACGATAAAGAAAGAGTTCAATTTTGATGGATCCTCTAACTCTTTTTTTTATATATATGATTATTTTGTTATTCTTCCAATGTTTCGTTGTAACATTAATTTTAACTCTACGTCTCTACCTAACCCTGCATGCTTATGTCATCACGAGGAAAATCGGTGTCTCCGAAGACGATCAATTCTAAGTAATCGGCATTACACTGTTGATATATGGAACGTTTCTTCGAAAACATTATAATCTACAAGAATCGATACGAATCCAATCAGATTGTAGGAGTTATTCAAAGTCAACTTAATATTCTTGAAACTTGCTATAAAACTTGGTGACGATTTATGCGATTCAAGTTTCAATTTTGTGGAGTTCCTTTTTTGTTTTGTCAACAATTTTGTGGAGTTGCATTTTATAAATTTTGTGATATAAATTGATACACGTACCAGGGACGGTCGAGAATTGGACTAGTGGAGAAATTACGCCCGTGGTTCGAGAGTTTCATACGTATAGAACATCGATATTTACGATCAATTCAATTCATTATTGACCTGAAAATCGACTTCTCAATTTTCACCATTAGATATCTTCCATCTGTTTTCTCAAATATTTATCTCTATTTATATTTAATTTTTCATTATACCACGATCCAAAATCTCCAATAATATACGAATGATTAAGATTTTTTTTTTGGTAAAGCATTTTTTTTTTTGCTAATCAAGTGATTAATATGTGGTTCCTTTATCTTGCTAACTACTCAACTGTCGTGAATCTTTTGATTTTCCGGTCTTCTTCAGTTGTTGTTTTTTTTATTATGTCAAAGTTCTTTAGTTGTTTTAAGTTGATCAAGTTATTAATAGAATTGATTATGATAAATTAATAGCCGAGTCGTCTTATATGCTTTATTGGCAACTGGAATACTAATACTTAAAAGGATAAATTATTTATTTTGGTCGTCAGAATAAATAAATTAGATTTGTATTTTTAACCTCCTCCAGCCTCAGTCTATATGGATGAATAAAGATAAGGGATTCTAGCACATTACCCTATTTACTGAGTGATGATTATTTACATATTCAAGAAGTCAACAAACTTGGCCAAAAACAAGGTCTTTATATATATATATATATATAAAAAAAACAAAGTCTTTTACTCTTTTATAGAGAAAAAAGGAATATATCACCATTCCAATATCATCTTTAGGAAAAAGTTATCTCACCAGGATTACGCAGATTTAAGTTACATAAACACAAAAAAATATGTTACGCGGATTAGTTAGATAGATAGTAGTAAGTGGCTTATTTGCTAGAACAATTGTAAGTATTACCAAAGATTAATTTCTGAAATAAAATATCAAAGTTTGAAAGTTTCTAGTTTTAAGAAGGAGAAAAACAGAAACAGTTTTATCCACAATTCTTAGATCCACACCCTAGTAGCAGCGTAATCTCCCCGACACTGTTTTATTCATTTTTGAGGTCAACATAGGACAATCTAGCTCGTGATCGCAATGCGAAGCAAATATAAAAATAAGTCGAGTCAACAGACGTAGTCACACAGGCAACTAGTTTGACTATGGCATGTAGGGATAATCTGTAAATGAACCATATTAAAGTTAGAATTTTCCTGGTTCCTTCATACGATGTCATTTGCCTATATAAACCTTATCCCATCGTTTCAATCACAACCCATTTCCCATTACATTCATTTCATTTCTTTGTTACTTTTCAGAAAGAATAAAAGATATATAGCTCGGCTTCATTCTTGCAAGATCTTCATTAAGTTGCAAAACCAAAATGATTCAGTAAGTCATAATAACTTAAATGCAAACATATAAATGAACGTAAAAAATAATCTATTAATGGTTTCTAATTTTATATCAGAGGAAAGAAGATTTACGCGGATAAAAGTTCGTTTGGCCGATCCGATTTCCCTGAAGGCTTCTTGTTTGGGACAGCCTCATCGGCTTACCAATACGAAGGGGCTGTTAACGATGCCTCTCGAGGGCTAAGTGTTTGGGATACTTTTGTCCGCAAGCATCCAGGTTTATATCTATCAATCTATCGATACATATTTCTTATGTATTTGTTTAGTATTCATGTAAACTAATTAAAGCTTTAATTCATACGTGCCAGAAAGGAATTGTTACTCTGATGCGGACCAAGCTGTGGAGTTTTATCACCATTACAAGGAAGATATTCAAAGAATGAAAGATATCAATATGGATTCATTCAGATTCTCAATCTCATGGCCTCGGATTCTTCCTCGTAAGTCATAAACCTCAGAACTTTTTTTCTTTATTACCTTTCACCAAACTCATTATGTAAAATTTTAACCTTTTTTATGTATAGATGGAAAGAAAAGTAGAGGAGTGAACAAGGAGGGAATCAAATTTTATAACGACCTCATCGATGAACTCCTAGCTAATAGTATAACATGATCCCTCTCTTGTATATATATATCAAAACATTTGAATCTTTATATGAAATTGTCAATTCGTATGTGTATTCTAATTACCATGATCACACGTAACAGGAATCACTCCTCTCGCGACTTTGTTCCATTGGGACACTCCACAAGCCTTAGAAGATGAATACAATGGTTTTCTAAGCGAAAAAGTTGTGTAAGTAGCTAGATATTAAACATCAGTTATATATATATACCTTTTCTTTAGCGTTAAATGATTTTCAATAAACATCTAACTTTATGCATATACCAATAATCATATTATTGATGCATGCAGTGATGATTTCCGCGACTTCGCCACTATATGTTTTGAGGAATTTGGCGACCGTGTAAAGTATTGGGTGACACTAAATGAGCCGTGGGTTTATAGTATTGGCGGGTATGATACCGGGAGAAAAGCTCCTGGCCGTGCCTCCAAATACATGAACGAAGCAGCTTTGGCTGGTGAATCGGGTCGTGAGGTTTATAATGTTAGTCACAATCTACTCTTGGCTCATGCCGAGGCTGTTGAAGTCTTCAGGGATAACCCAAAGGTACAACAAAAACTGATCTGTTAATAAGTGTTTTTTTTTGTCTATACTCTTTTATCCACGTACGCATGCATAAATCTTTTCTTTTCTTTTCAGATACATTATATACTGGAATTTTAGTAAATTGATCGTTACTAAATTTATTGATATACAATGATACAATGATATTCTGTGTTATAGTGTAAAGATGGGAAAATTGGTATTGCACATTGTCCGGTCTGGTTCGAACCTTATGACTCGAACTGTCCTAAAGATCAAGAAGCGGTCGAGCGTGCCATGGAATTTATGTTTGGCTGGTGAGTGATCGATCTTATATATATAATTGAAACTTATCTTTATTATAACAGTGACTAATAATAATTATGGGGGATTAAATTTTTTTTTGTTTTTTTTTAATAGGCACATGGATCCAACGGTCTATGGAGATTATCCGGAAGTCATGAAAAAGTTGATTGGAAAAAGATTACCGTCGTTTACTGCAGCGCAATCTAAGAAGTTAAAAGGATCTTTTGACTTCGTTGGAGCAAATTATTACAGTGCCTTTTACGTTAAAAATGTTGTTGACGTGGATCCTAATATTCCCGATTGGAGATCTGACGCACACATCGAATGGAAAAGTAAGTTTTTCTTTTTTCTTTTTCCAATATCTTTTGTGGTTTCTTGGCTCACAAGTTTGTTTTGAAACAGAACAAAACAAAGCAGGACAAACTTTGGGTCCTAGAGGTGGTTCAGAATGGGACTTTTTATACCCACAAGGGTTAAGAAAGTTTTTGGTTTATGCCAAAAACAGATACGGAAGCCCTAACTTTATGATAACTGAAAATGGTACAAATTTAATATCTTTATGTGCAACTATTTCAAATTTTATTCACTTATTCGGAGAGTGAAATCATGAAAATTATTAACATTATTTCATATATATTGAAATTGATAGGACATTGCGATTTAGACTATGAGAAGAAAGCAAAACTTTCAAACTTGATGGATCTCCAGAGGACAGAGTACCACAAAATACATCTCCAAAGCATCCACCAAGCCATCAAGTAAGTCACTACTCTATTTAGTTTCTTGACAAACAATAAACATGTGCGGCAACCTAAATATCGACATTGGAAAACAAAAAGGTCTTAACATTCATGTTGTTCTTTTTTCTTTTTAGGGAAGATGGTGTTCAAGTAGAAGGATACTATGCATGGTCATTGCTCGATAATTGCGAATGGAACGCTGGTTATGGAGTTCGATACGGATTGTTCTACGTAGACTACAACAACGGTCTAAAACGTTATCCCAAAATGTCTGCAATGTGGTTCAAAGAGTTTTTGAAGAAAGAAGATATCGAGGATTCGGAGAAGGAAGGCTCGTTGAATTTTGTTGTTAACAAGAAGAGGAAGAGATTCTTAACATCTTCTGGTTCATTTTCCTGCTTTATACCTAAGATGTCTGAATCCTCGAAAGCATTAGAACTCCTTTTCTAAGATCATTTGTTTATTTGATTATTTTTTGTTTGCATGTGAATGTAAAACTTCGAAAAAATGAACTTAAAATAAAGTTATAGACTAATGGCGGTTTTATTTTATTTAATTTAATGTGTTTTGGTCGTTATTAATGATATAATGCAAAACAATTATTTAATAATAACAAAAAATAATAATAATCAATACAATAAAAACACTAGGTTTCTCTCCTGGTCTGACACCTCAGATTTTTCAGCTCTTCTCAGCATGACACATCATTAAAACTTTTACCTAATCAAATTATAACGATTAATACAGCACATCAGTTCTCCGTCCACGTCAGTTTATTTTTTCCTCTTGAAAAACATCACATTTTTTATGCCTAAAACAGAAAAAACGAAAAGAATCGTTTCACACGAGTTAGCTCGCCGCATCTAACCCCAAACACACTTCGATCGGCGACTGAATTGGCGATTATGGAGAACAGTGAATGCCCAGAGCTTGGACTTGTTGGAATTTTGTTGATTTCGCTAGAATATTAACGAGAGCTGCAGTTTTTGTGTTAGATCGGCGGTTGAAGAAGCAATCTGTTTATGGTGCGACTTGATGCGCTTTGATTAACTTAAAATTGAAAAGTCTGAAACCCACTTCGATTTGTCTTGCTAAAGAAAAATAATTTACAATTCAAGTTTATTTATCTTTCTATTTTTCGGTTGAGGTTCTAAATTATATGTATCAGGAAACAAAATGTGATAAACAGAGGAAGTAGATGATGAAAAAACATGGCAAAGACGCAGAGCTTTTAGCTGAATTTTGAGATGTTCAAATATTTAGAGAAAGAAGAACTTGAAAGCTTCACAAATCCCATTTCATTCGGTTAGTGGAGCTCTAGAGATTTATCATCCTAATCATGATGCGTTTCGGGTTCGTATTTTGACCAACGGCAGGGTGTTCGTTACTAAAACGACACAACAAACCCAAGTGTTTTGGGAGTGAATTAGACAAGTAAAACAGATCCTCAAGGTTGTATTGATTGTATTAAACCATTAACCATGCTTCAAAGTTTGTATTGATTTGGGTTTGATTGTTCATTGATTTTGGGTTTTTGGGTTTTCTTAGTCTAGAGTTGTACCACATACTGCGGCGGACCTGATTGAGTAATTTCTTGATACCGAAGCTCAGGAAATTAAGTACCAGATCGCTAGGCTTCAAGGAAGGTTAGTGAATTTGAATGTTGCACACCATGTGTTTGATGGATTGCCCATGTGAAGATGTTTTTATGCTTTGCTTTCTTAAGTGAATCCGTTTGAAATATTGAAACTTGGGTGATTAAAATAGCATATGGGTGAAAAAATTGTTGAATTTAAATATTGCGTGTTTAAATGGTGAAGACGTTTTGGTTCTTTACTTTCTTAAGTGAATCGATTGTCAGAAATGAACTCTTCTCATTTTATAGGTTATATCGTTATCTATTGAGAAGCTTGGAAATGAGCTCTCACATGTGTCAAGAATAACGTTGGAGTCTCTCAAAATCTGGTACGCTGTCCAAATCAGAGGGCTTGGGACTCATATCGTTATCTATTGAGAAGCTTGAAAGCTTGGTGTCTTCTCCACAGCAGAGGAGCTTGGCTTTTTTAGTGCCCTCGCCTAGGTTGCGTTCTTATCTCTAATGGTTTTAGTTGTAGCCATGGTAGTGATCCTGGATGACTTAGCTATTCTAATATTTCATGCAGTTTTTAATGTTTTATTGGTTTTAGTTGCAGTGTTAAAATGCTTTAACGTTAATGTTGAAAAAGGTTGCAATTTTTGTTAATCTCATATGTTTTTTATCAATTTAATTCATGCTACGTAATGGGTTCAAATGCTTTATACTGTTTTGATCAATTAGAAAAAAATGGCTTGGGAAGCCTCTTTATTTAAACTTTAAAGGCATGGATCAATTTCTTTGTCTACCTATTACTTTGTTTGCAAAACACCTAATTATCATGCTATGCGGTATTAGATAAGGGTTGGTGCTTATTTAAGATTAGTGTAACCCATTGACATTACAAATGAACCATAGTTTAGAATGAGTGATGTCTGGGTTTAGAATGAAACAAAAAGTAAAAAGTTTTTTTTTTGAATCATATCTCTTTTTCTTAAGTACAGAGATGTAGTAACAAATTGTGGGATTTATCGACTTATCAATAAATAAATAAAATAACAAATAGTGTGATTTATTACAATTGCAAATGATGTCTAATAAGATGTACTTAATTTATTATATCTTCTGCTTTTTCAAATGTCTAGAGATATGATATTTCTTTATTGTTTAAATTTAAGTTTGGCTACTCTTTTGTTTTGTGTTATCGAAGAAGCAAGATGATAAGCTCAAATTAACATTAAGTTACTCTCTCAAATTAAGAGATCGATTGTAATATATAAGGGTCGAATTTCACAAAGTTTTATAGAACAATGAAGTTGAATACTGTCGTTGAAAATAATCGCTGGTTATGTCGTTAGTTATGTGTTGTTGTCGTTGTTTTAATTGGCAACAAAGAATTAAGCCTTTTACGTCGTTGTGATCAACATCGAGTGACATTACAAAGTTTGCTAGGTAGTATGTGCTTTACGTATTTAAATTACTTGGTTAGCGTTCTTTCTATCAATTTAACTACAAAGTTTGCAATCTATATCTTTTTTTCATTTGTATTTAGTTTACATGCATCATAAAAGAGTTATCTCATTGAAAATATTAACTTTCTGATAAGTGAGTTTATGAACCACAACAATGATAAGTCATGTTTATACATTTACTATTTTTGATTGAATTGTGATTACAAACATTATAATTTAACTATTACAAACAATTAAATATAAATATCAAACAAAAACATTTTAAATAGGTATCTCGCAGCGTAGCGCGGGTTTCGACCTAGTTATAATGTAATAATAACCCAATTTAAACGATAGCTATTTGTGACTGGTGAGACATCTACTTATCCCGTCAATGTTTCGGCCCATTAGAGAAGTTCGCTTTTTTGGCCCAGCAAATTACTCTGACAATAGCTATATTATTTAAGAAATACATAAATTTGAAAAATGACAACTGAAAACTAATCAGTAATCGGTGTCGGTGATGGCTAAGACAACCCACAACTTGATAAAGTTTTCTCCTGCTCTAGTTTGATTTCATCAATTTTTGAATAAATTTTACAAATAAATTGGTATCTAACTGTTTTGTTAAAAGTAATTTTTTGTAACGAAAAGTATTTAAAATATAAATATTTTGGTAGTAAAATTTTTTACTAGCTTTAAAGAATATAAAATTTAATATGATAGCTGTCTTCTTCATTTCTGATAAATGTGGAAAAAGATCCGAGGACGTTGAAAATCAAAGAGAGTGTTAATTAATTTTTTAAATATATCATGTTAGGTTTGATAAATATATTGTGTATTTTGACCGACAGTCCAAACGTGTTCCAGACTACACCAACCTGTGAAAATAACCTTTTTCCTCTACAAAATATAAATAATATAAAAATCTTGAAACAAACGTTTAAAGAAAGAAGTAAAACAAAAGTAATTAATTGAAATTCGAAATAATAGCCGTTACAAGAAACTTGTCGATATTCTATCAAAAGATGTTTTAACACAAAATGACGAAAATGGACTTATCAATACTAACACGTCTTCACGTTCCTTGAGAAAATTAGCACATCCCGAAAATCTCTACAAGACGTGCAATGATGCTTTGAATTTTCTCAAAAAAAAAAATTAATAATAATGACTCAGCTTTAGATAATCGATGCCGGTTGTTTTGATGTTTTCTAAAAAGTCGATGCAAAAATTATGTAAAAACAAAAATCACTCACGTTTTACATTCTTTCCTATTTTGATATAACTTGATAAGGTCATTTTGAATTTTCCGTTTACTAATTAAGAAAATTAGAATATTTTATCATATTACTCTCTACCAGATCATCTTTCTCAAATAGCTCTACTATTTAGATATTCACATACATATCCACCAGTTGTAATTCTCTTCCCTATATAAACCTCCACTTAAATTTCATCTTCTTAACAGAAAACAAGATTTAATAATCATAAGAAAAAAATTTAAGAATGAAAGGTGATCATCTCTCTTTGCTAGTAGTGCTCATTGTCTTGGCCTCCAACGAAGTTCTTGCCAACAACAACTCTTCAACACCTAAATTACGAAGAAGTGATTTTCCTGAAGATTTCATTTTTGGGTCTGCAACCTCTGCTTACCAGGTACCTTTTTTTTGGTTTCTTCTTATTAAAAAAAAGTTCCGATTACTGGTTAGAGATTTTTGTTTTTTTTGTTAGAGAATTTATGGGTTCTTTTTTTTTTTTACACTTCATAGGTCGAAGGAGCTGCTCATGAAGATGGTAGAGGACCAAGTATCTGGGATACCTTCTCTGAGAAATACCCAGGTTTTTATTTTTATTCCCATTGTTTTCTATGAATATTTAAATTCAAGATCTGTGAATCAGTATAGATGTATTATCTATATGTGTGAATCTGTTCATATGAAAAATGGGTTGATCATTCAAGAATTGATGAGAATTGGAAAAAGAAGTCAAATGTTAGCTAGTTGTCCCTGAGAATTAATGCCTAATTTTATTTTCCTAAAATACTCTGTTTTTGATTTTTCAATGAGATTAATAGTTAATAAGCTGAAATTAATACTTAATTTTAAATTTCCAGAGAAGATAAAGGATGGTAGCAATGGGTCTGTTGCAGATAATTCTTACCATCTTTACAAGGTAATTTTCCATTTTTTGGATTACATATGTAAAAAAAAATTGTTGTTCTTATTTCCATTGGCTTCATAACCAGTCACATTCTTTGATCATCATTATTAAAAAAATAATTATCGATGCAGGAAGATGTGGCTTTGTTGCATCAAATTGGATTCAATGCATACAGATTCTCAATCTCATGGTCGAGGATCTTGCCTCGTAAGTTATCTTAACGTCTGATCTTCTTCTTCTTTGAAGATTATTCACACATGAAATTCATATTTCTCACTTAGTACCAATAATTACTAGTTGTTTCTTATTTAGGTGGGAATCTAAGAGGAGGAATCAACCAGGCTGGTATTGACTATTACAACAACTTGATCAATGCGCTTTTGTCCAAAGGTAAAAGACAAAATCCAATTTGACACGCATGCTAAAGTAACGCTCTCTGTTTCATATGACTTTACATTAAGCTTTTAGTATTAAAAAGGACTAAAAATTTCTAAAAATTAAGCTTAGCAAATTAGGGTATCATACTTTAGTTACAAACGCAACAACGCATAACTAATGTAAATATTATGTAACTGTATACAGGAATTAAGCCTTTTGCAACCATGTTCCATTGGGACACACCACAAGCCCTTGAAGATGCTTATGGCGGATTCCGAGGTGCCGAGATTGTGTAAGTCCCCCAAACCTATAACTTTTTTTTATATATAGCATTTGTATATAGATACTCAAGGTTTACTAGCCAGTACAATTAACAAGACAAATCAGATTAATTTTGTTTTGTTATGTAATGATATAGGAACGATTTCCGGGATTATGCGGATATTTGCTTCAAGAGTTTTGGAGATAGAGTGAAGCATTGGATGACATTGAACGAGCCATTGACAGTGGTGCAACAAGGATATGTTGCAGGTGTTATGGCTCCAGGAAGATGCTCCAAATTCACAAACCCTAATTGCACCGGTGGAAATGGAGCCACTGAGCCTTATATTGTTGGTCACAATCTCATCCTTGCTCACGGAGCCGCCGTCCAAGTCTACAGAGAAAAATACAAGGTTAGAAGGAAAAAAATGCTCTGTTTCTTAAGCATCAAGTTACAGATCACTGAATCTTGCCATGTTTATTTAGTTCATATTGTGACAAATAAGATCTTAAATGTTGTTTTCATAGGCTTCTCAAAATGGTCAAGTTGGTATTGCTTTGAACGCGGGTTGGAACTTGCCATATACAGAATCACCTGAGGATAGATTAGCTGCGGCACGAGCCATGGCTTTCACATTTGACTACTTTATGGAGCCGCTTGTGACCGGTAAATACCCGGTTGATATGGTCAACAATGTAAAAGGCGGCCGCTTACCTATATTCACTGCACAACAATCTAAGATGCTGAAAGGCTCATATGATTTCATTGGCATCAACTATTACTCCTCCACTTATGCAAAGGATGTTCCCTGCTCCACCAAAGATGTTACTATGTTCTCTGATCCTTGTGCTAGTGTCACAGGTCCGTTTTCTTCTCATCCTGTTTTTTTCGTTTTATAGAACTAATTTAATCGAAATTTTACGAGTCCGAAATCTATGCTTGTATTCGAATCAGGTGAAAGAGACGGAGTTCCCATCGGTCCAAAGGTACTTGTCTAGACTCGAAAAACTTGCAACGGTTATCAATATTTATGAATTTATTCAATCTCATAAACCCAACAACTGCTGAGCTAAACTGTCTATTTGTGGGTTTTATTTTATAGGCTGCATCAGATTGGCTTTTAATATATCCAAAGGGAATTCGTGATCTTGTCCTCTATGCAAAATACAAGTTCAAGGACCCTGTCATGTACATAACCGAAAACGGTAATTCACACAAACAACTGCTTCAGTTATTGATATGTATAGATATTCCTTTAGTTTCCTAATGATGTGTATTAATCTTTGTAGGGAGAGATGAATTTAGTACCAATAAAATCTTCCTTCAAGATGGTGACAGGATCGATTACTATGCTCGACATCTCGAAATGGTTCAAGACGCTATCTCGTAAGCATCCTTTTATATCTAGCCGTAAAACTCCCAATTCGACCTAAACAATCATAATATTCATGTAATTCTGGTGCAAATGCAAATTTTAGGGTTGGAGCCAACGTGAAGGGATTTTTCGCATGGTCGTTGCTAGACAATTTCGAATGGGCAACGGGATACACGGTCCGGTTTGGGCTGGTTTACGTGGATTTCAAAGATGGATGTAAGAGGTATCCCAAGAAATCGGCTGAGTGGTTCAAAAAATTATTGAATGAAAAGAAAAACAATTGATGAGATATGTATATTTCATTATATTAGTTTCTCTGTTACTCTGAGAGATTTATATTTTTTTTTCTCCTTTGGAAATAATGAGAAATGGTTTTAGCTATTTTAACAAAGAACTCGATTGATGTATAGCCGATGTTAAATCATCTTTCGATGTTACGTACGTTGTATAAGGAAAATTAATATTAAAATCGTTGGAAAAAGATTAAAACTGAGAACATGTGAAAACGATATAGGCAGAGTTTGTAACATCTACAATTCAGCTTATAATCTCAATCTGAAAAAAAGTTTCGATCTTTAAAAAGAGGTGCACTCTTTCATTCTCCTTTTAATAATCTCATGGTTTTCAAAGATGATCATATATGGTATTATGAGTTGGATTATTGATATTTCTTTAAGATTGTGATGGTCCCATTATTGATTATAGCATGTGTGATGTTGACAGTACTGCTATAATATGTAACAATTATTCGCTTCTGTGTGAGAATATTCTATTATACACATTCAAATAGAATGCCCAGTGAATACAAAAGCCTCTCGATTTTTTATTTTCTTATTATGGTAAATCGTCGTTTTTCTTTAAATTTGTCTCTCATTCCTATAGATGGCAAATTGGCATCTTACTTTACTAGAATCAACTTGAACTGAAATGCTTTTTAAACGTTAATGTGTTTCAATCTAGAAAAACAATTAGTGAATCGTTCAGGCAGGATTTGTTTTGTGTGACATCGTTTTCTTATACGGCTAATGGGTTTTGGTGTTTTCCTTTATGCATTAGAACTATAGTTTAGGTGTTTTCCCTTTTTGAATTTGCTTGGAGTGTTTTTCCTTTTTTTATTTTAAGACGTTGTGGCCTGTATAAAAGATCTTTATGCTAATGAAAACATAACTTCCAACAGTTAACCTAATTCTCTAAGAGATACTTGGGTTAAGAAGAATCTTGCTTTAAATCTATGATCCAATCCAATATATCTTAAGCTTTTAAGTGAGGAGTAGAGATTTCCTTATTATCCGAAATAATTTCAAGACTTTGGTATCTATAGAGAAGATTTCCAGATCTTCCAATATCAAATTTTCTTTCATCTCCCACAAAAAAAAAAAAATTCTTAGAGAAGAATAAAATTCTTGGACAGAAAGAGTAAACATACGTTGATGTCATTTCAGAAAATATTAGTGTAGTTAAGCTTCATCTTTTCCACTAATTTCAAATCATTTAAGGTTAAATACATCAGTTTAATAATTCTATTTTCTTAGCGGCCCCACTATTATCCGGAGGAAAAATTCTTCACGCCGTTTGACTAAAGAAAAGTACAAACTACAAAGAGTTAAAACTCAAACTAGTCTCTCATGCGTGCATAGCAACAACTAACAACAAGAAGTCAGTAAAGGCGACTATGCGACCACTTAGTACCTGAATTTGATCCAAATACTTACATTAATGTTATGCACGGTTTTATAAATACTATTCCAAAATCAATAGTTCAATCGATAAATTCTACTGATGTTTTAAGTAAAAGTTATGTAAATCCTAAGTTCGAGTTGCGACTATTGGTTTACGCTCTCGTATAAATTTTACTAAAAGCTGATATCGGACCTAAAAAAAAAAGAATGGTTCGTCAGTGACCAAATTATTGCATTGCTTTGATTGCTCACATGACACATAAGATAATCTTAATATTATTTAAATCACTCAAGATTATGTTCAGAACTGGGCCTAATGGGTTAAGCTTTCCCAGTTTGACAGTGCCCAACTTTTGAAGAGAAGATATGTTTTAAAATTAAATTGCGTGTACAGATTCACTTGTCGTCACTAACCACGTATAGTACGTACTTATGAATGAAGACATGATTGTGACCATATCCAAACTGATTAGTTATACTATATGTAACATTCACTGCCTGCTGGTAAATTATACAGCTTCTCACGAGCCAAAGTGGAGTATCAGGCATTCCAAATGCTATTATTATCAGTACACATATAACTTTTTTCAGAATATAAGAATTTTTATACATAATTAGATTTGTAGCAATTTAAGAATTTTTACGTCCAAGATATTATAACAAATGATGTCAAATATAACTATTCTTTGTTAGAAAAAATGTAAATTAATGGATATTTAGAAAAACTAAGAATACCTACTATCAACAAATATTTCAGAGATTAAGTCCACAAGAAATCGAAGTTTACAGCTTAGAATGTAAAAACTGTCAGGAATGAATTTAAGTATCTTTTATATCTTCATTACCAATATCATATTATATATACACTATATGTGGATAGATTTCACGGCACGATGTTTATCCACCAATGGAATAAAAGGAACAATATCTGGATATTCAAATTCAGGAGGATTCACATTCTGTTATATTTGCATTTTCAATATGGAATCATTTCACTCTTTGATATTTATTTATTTTTTTATTTTTTTGCGGAATCGGAATTGGAGGTTTTTGATAAGCATTACAAAATTTCAGAGATTCATTCCAGATGAATCGAAAATAAGTTATCTTAAATTTCAATAACTAATTAAAACTCCAATTCCTTCGGGAATAAAATAAATTTCCAATTCCAAATCCACAGGAAAGCAAAAACAAAAACAAAATTGACAAAAAGGGTGTGAATTGTAATGAATGTTACACCGCAACAGCCACGATATCATCAAAGGCCGTAAAAGGAAACGTCAGCTTTTTCGAACGTGAAAGTTGTAAGCATTCCACAGTGTTTTGCATGCAAAAAGGGTTTTCGATAGTACACTGAACATAGTCAATATTAAGAACCACATTCAATCTTCACTTGTCCAAGTACAAACATAGACACACTAAGACACACTTATTTCTTTAGATTTGAATGTAAGCAGTGATCCCGACCACATTCAAACACGAAGATGAACAGAAGCTAAGAATACGGTCTAATTTGGGGGTAAAAAAGAAAAGGAAACCAAAATTGATTTCTCTTCTTTATTTGATTACCATAATTCTCTTAATTAGGGTGAATCATTGTTTAATAATAATTAAGGTACTTTATGATAGTAATACATACTGATAGGAGGATATACCTTTCCACGTAGACCAACAACGTCACGAGACTAAGTTCTATATATATTAGAAGAGAAATGCTTAGTTTGTCACAACTACAAATCTCAGCTTTGAACAGTTTGAAGAAAACACATAACTTTTGAAATTCCAAAAAAAAAAAAATATGAAGATGCAATTTTTCATCCTCCTTATCATAATCTCAGGGTTGTCGGAGAAGATTACTTCACTTCCTCCTGAATCTCGAGTACTCGATCGTCATGGTTTTCCCGATAATTTTGTTTTTGGAACAGCTGCATCGGCTTTTCAGGTAATATTTTAGTTGGTAATATGAAACAATCGATTATTTTATAATCTTTTTAGATCATTATAAAACGTAATTGGTTACGTACGGACTTAATTATAGTTGTGTGACGTTGACAAATGCAGAATCTAAGATTCGTAGTTTCGTACGTTCTCGTAGGTATAATTCCCGTTGATGTGGAAGTTCATATTCTAAGAATTTTTAAACTTTAAATGCGATTTAAGTCAGCCGTCTTATAAATTTATATTACATTTCAGATGACGTCGTTGATTTTATTCTTCACATTTTGTCTATGTCACAATGTATAATAACTAGACAACTTATATAGTTTGTAATATTCGATTTTCTATATATATAAAGAAGAAGATCAACTCTCAGTCTCTCACTAAAAAACTAAGATTATCCATTTGTCAATTTTGTACAGTACGAAGGTGCAACAAGTGAAGGTGGGAAATCTCCAGCTATATGGGATTACTTCAGCCACACTTTTCCAGGTCTCTTTTATATATAATTATATTCCGTACAATTATCTTAATTAAAATGTTTACTATAAAAATTATATATATATATATATCCCTATACATTAGGATTTATTAATGACTAATCGTTGTATTCCAAATGCAGAAAGAACCAGGATGCAGAATGCAGATGTAGCGGTCGACTTTTACCATCGTTATAAGGTAAAATCTTGGATGCGAACGATCTTTTTTTTTTTTTTTTGTCAAGGTCGATAAATATTTTTTTGGACCCATTATGTAATTTTCTTAATTGAATGAACCAAAATTATATAAACCTGCAGGATGACATCAAGTTGATGAAAGACCTAAATATGGACGCTTTCAGATTTTCGATTTCGTGGGCGAGGTTAATACCCAGTAAGTAACTTTACTTTTTTTTTTATTACTATATAAGTTCAGTTAAAATTGATATATTCAAATATTTTGGTGAATCTGCTTTAACTTTTGTTCTTTTTAAAAGGTGGAAAAGTAAAGGATGGAGTTAACCAAGAAGGTGTACAATTCTATAAGGCTCTCATCGACGAGCTCGTTGCGAATGGTAAGTTAACTAATCAATTAGACCAAACCTCTCTAATGAAATTAACCTATATTATGCGTTACATTATCTTATACTATATGGTCTAATGAACAAACATATCCAGGCATTCAACCATCGATGACCCTCTACCATTGGGACCATCCTCAAGCACTGGAGGACGAGTATGGTGGGTTTTTAAGCCCCCAAATAGTGTAAGCGAACTTAGCAAATTTTCTATATATTTTTATGGTTATTATTTCATTAAGATAGACATAAAAGAAATCAATACTAACTACTATTATTTTTTAATTCTCATAAACAGAGAAGACTTTCGAGATTTTTCAAGAGTATGTTTTGAAGAATTCGGAAACAAAGTTAAAATGTGGACTACAATAAACGAGCCTTATGTCATAACTGTTGCGGGCTACGATACGGGCAACAAAGCGGTGGGACGATGCTCGAAATGGGTGAATAGTAAGTGTCAAGGCGGCGATTCAGGTACCGAGCCCTACATTGCATCACATCACCTTCTTCTTGCTCATGCCGCAGCTGTACAAGAGTTCCGAAAATGTAACAAGGTGGATATATTGACGCTTTATATTTAATAAATTAAATCAATTACTTTTTGATTAGTTTCTTTGCTTTTGATTTTATAAATTAATCAAAATAATTTGTAACAGACTCAAGACGGTCAAATTGGAATAGTGTTATCTCCTTTGTGGTTTGAGCCTTACGACTCTGCTTCTCCTTCCGATAACGAAGCTGTTAAACGAGCTCTTGCCACTGAACTAGATTGGTAAGTTGTTATATACTTTAAATAAGTATAAAACAAGTAATGCTAGCTTACTTTTTTAAAAGTTGTAATCTTTATTGTAATCATAAGATATTTATTTATCATTTTTTCGAACATTTGTATCAGGCATTTAGATCCAGTTATTTACGGAGATTATCCAGAAATGATGAAAAAACTCGCTGGAAATAGATTACCTTCTTTCACTCCAGAACAATCCAAAATGTTGAAAAATTCATCGGATTTCATTGGAATAAACTACTATACAGCGCGTTACGTTGCTCATATTCCACACGTCGATCCTGCTCGTCCACGATTTGTAACCGATCATCAGCTCCAATGGAGAGGTAAGAATGCTAAAGTTAACATCCGCACGGCCATTTTCATCGTATGAGATTCAATAAATTCCTAAACTAGTTTTTATGTCTGTTTCTAAACAGTAACAAATCACAGTAATCACCAATTCGGACCAGGGGTACGTAACTTTTTTTTGACTAGTTTTAAGACAAAATCAATGTCGCAGTTATTTTTTTTTTCCTTTTTCTTTAACTCCAAAGATTCTAAGAATATCAAGGCTTGTTTTTTGTCACACAGGAAGATCGAGGCATACTCCAATCACATCCAGAAGGTTTACGAAAAGTTCTTAACTACATCAAAGATAAATACAATAACCCTATAGTTTATATAAAAGAGAACGGTAAGAATCTTTTTACGAAATATCTTTTTTATCTGTTAAACAGTAAATTTTTTCTTTCTTTGTTAAAAGTTTATTTGCTAAACTTTTTTATAGGAATCAATGACTACGACGATGGTACAAAATCACGAGAGGATATTCTCAATGATACATTTAGGATAAGCTACCATGAGGACCATCTCCAACAACTCCAAAAAGCTATAATGTAAATCCTGGTCCACACTTTTATAAAAAAACACAAGATTTTAAACTATTAACTGATCAATACTCACTATAAATTTTTGAATAAAAATGTTAAAATCTATTAAAAGTAAAAATAATTTGAAAAGTTAAATGCTATACTTTGCTGATTAGAAATAAAGTTTTTACTATCTCTCTTTTTTCTAAAATAATATTTACTGTTATAACAGAGAGGATGGATGTGACGTCAGAGGATATTACGTGTGGTCTTTACTAGACAATTTCGAGTGGGAACATGGATATTCTACTAGATTTGGTCTGTACTATGTTGACTACAACAACGATCTCACTCGTATTCCCAAAGATTCTGTTAACTGGTTCAAGCAGTTTCTCGATTTAAAGAATGAAGAAACAAATGATGAAGAAATATGGGATTTGTCACATGAGAGGTCACATGAAGAAAGGTATAATAAGACTTTCGATGATTCAGAAAGTTTCGAGGCATCTGTTGGTTCGATTATCTATCTAATGACCAACATATCGAGAAGAGAAGAAGAAAAAAGAGATCAATGCGCTTTTCGAAATCTTAATGATCAGTCGGGTTTATTGCTGGGATCATAAAGTTCTTTGGGATTTTAGAAAACGTTTGGTGAAGTTAGTCCTTAATGGCCTTCACTTTAAATTTTTTATTTTATCCATGAATATTGTCAATGTAGATTTGTTGAATGGAAAATAAAAACTACTAATGAGATATGTATTTTATTGCTCTATTCTTGAATTCTTGAGTTATGTTGTAGCTTTTTTTAATGTAATGATAAGTTAAATTTTATGGGGTTTAATTAAATACTTTATGTATTATGATATTTTAATAATTAATTAAAGAAACATGATATATATAATGACTTTTAGAATTATTGGATTAATTAATTATGTTAAACATAAAAATTTAATTTTGAGGGTTTCGCGGATCCATTCGAACTTCTTCTGCCGGCAAAGAAGAAGACGTTGGGGAATCACCACAAAGCTTAGGCCTCTCTAGTGTTTATGGTCATATTTGACGTTTGAGATTCCGGTGGAATTCGCTAGCATCTGGAGCCTGAGGTGTGTAGCTAAGTGAAACAGAGGCAGAGCGTGTGAAATTGTTCATCGGTGTGAGTGCTCTAAGCTTAGTTTTGTTTCTTTATGGTGATCTCTGCTTTTTGATTTCAATACTATGCAGAAATTTCCTAGTTTGGAAGAAAAATTGTTAGGGGCTTCTTATAGAAGAGAAGAAAAATTGAATGTTAATACAAATTACTCCAGGGTTGTTTGGTCTTGTTTCTGTTCTTTAGTAGGTGAAATTTTGAAGCAGTAGCAGCAGCTCTGTTTTTGTTCTTAGAGAATGGGAGTGGACAACGCTGAGTTTAGCGACACAGCTTTGGCTTATGCCATTAGAAATGCCTAGGTTCATTCATCTTTTGGGGGTTCTGTTTTTCATGAGTCTGGTGCAGGTGTTTGAAATTCTCTTCGAGTCGTTTTGAGAACTTAATTCTTGGCTTAGACTCATCTTGATAATTTCGTCATTCTAGGCTCCTAACACTTTACTTCATTTTGCTTTCATCTGCAGTTCCTGATGTTCTATGCGTGCTTACTAGATCCTGAAACTTGTGGTGTTAAATTTGCCAGTAAGCTGTTCGATGCAGCAACAAACCTCGAGTTACTAGGTGAGTTTCATCTTGTCCTTCATGGTAAATATTTCTCTGCATGATTTCAAGCTAATACTGTTCTAGTCACCAGACTCACCACTTGCATATGGTTTTGTTTCTTCCCCTTACTAAACAGGATGAGTGATGTGGCTGATGTAGCTAGCATGTTAAAAGGTACAAAGAGATTGCTAAAAAAACTGAAAAAGATAATTGTTTTGATCTGATTCAAGTTTCACTCTGTTGTACTTGTAACATTGTTTCTCTTGTGTCTGAAATCTTAGATTGGTGGACGAGTGTGCAGATTATTGCAGAACATGCAATGATGATGCTAAGCCTGAAGTACATTAAGGTTTCTATTCAGGATGTCAGGTATAGTCCAAGTTTAGAACCATATCTTATTACTTTTTATTCCTTAAGAATTCTTCTGTGATATCATTAGTCATCTTACCCTTATAAGTCTCAAAGAGTTTTGCGTTTTAAGTGATACACAATTATGTCAAGTAATGACTTAAATTTGTTACTTTTCTGTGACTGTAGGCAATCTTGTATGTGCTATGCTTCCGAGTGAGATCAATCCTAGATGCTCCTCGCTTCCAATCGTAGCTTACACCATTGGAGTCAGTTTTATCTCACAAACTAAACCCGTTGATGGTAACTTACTCTATCATTTTTCTCGCATAGCTCATGTGCTATCTCAAGTGGTCTGAACCAAAGTATCAAATGCATTAAGCTTGCACCGACCTTTTTTTTTGTGTGTGAACATGTGTGACTTCCATCTGTAGTTTCTGAGTTCCTTAACAAGGCAAAGCTGGTGGTCTGTTCATTGTCTTAGAAGCCTTCATTTTCGATGCCGAGTCTGAGGTCTCTCGTGCTTTTGGTAGCTTTGAAAGGCTTGATACATTCTTCCCGTTAGACCCATGTTTGTTGAAAATCTCTAACAGGTTCACATTCTTAACTCTTGATTTTCTTCCGATTACAAAGCAAGCACGAAGCAACATGAGAAACTTATCGAAGTTTCTTGACTCATATGATGATTTACCCGACTTGAGCATCTTTAATGCAAATTCTACTGCATATCTTTAATGAGATTGAAACCATTGGAAAAGATTCTTCCTATGTTGAATATGATTATGTCCAAAGAATCGAAGGAGTTGCATTGCATGATTTTTACTCTCTTTCTCACCCGTTTGTTTGTCAAATCTTGAAACTTTATCTCTCCGAACTTCATCTACCGGTCACTGGTGAAAACTACTTATCATGAAGATGATGAGGATGAGCTTTTTGCCGAAGTCATAGTGATTGGAGATACAGACATTGAGCAAGATGTCTATAATTCCTGAACACTCCTTTATGTGCGAAACAGAGAGGTTCTTGAAGATGCCTTCTAGAATCAGATCATCAACTAGTCCTCGTAAATCCCTCTGAATCTCTGATTCTAGTGGAGGGAATGCAATTTTGTAAGCTAGATATACGTTTCTTTATGACAAAAACATTATTGAACTTGGTTTTTTCCGCAAGATTTGGAAACTTTTGGCATGAATTGAAGTTAGAAATCGATCGTAGACTGAAGTTAGAATGTTTAGGTTTGTTTTTGGTTGAGTAGAACTTAAACGGAATAAACTTGAGAGAATGTTACACATTTATGTGATTTAGGTAGTTTTGCTAATGATTCCATCTTAAGATAGTAGTTTGTTTATCTCATATGCCTTTACCAAAGTGTAGTACAAAGAAGTTTTATGGAATTACTTTTTTTTTTAGTTTTGTGGAAAACTTGGAGTGCATGTGCAAATTTGAGGGTGAGTACCAAGCAAAGAAATATGGCTATGAAAGGAAAGACGATAATACCAAAAACAATTATTTGATGCAAATCATTCTAAGCAGTAAAATTATTTTTATACATAAAACAAGAATTGCTTCACCTATTCTTTCTCTAATTTTCAACTATATTAAAGAAAATTATATGTCATCAAGCTTTGAATAAACAGTTAACTAAAACTTTAATCATATCTAGTAAAAATAAAATATCATAAATACACTTTTGTACATTTTTTTCCTATAAAAATTATGTTCTTTTTTTTGATACAGAATATTGCCTGAATTGATTAGTCTAATTATTATTTCTAATAATCATCCAAGAGTAAAAGATGGGTTAGAGCATCTCCAACCCACCTCTATATTGCCTCTAAACTCTATTTTAGAGGCAAATTTGCTCCAACCCACCTCTATTCTCACCTCTAAAATAGAGATCTCTATTTTTTTCTTTATATATAGAGGTGAGAATAGATAATCTCTATTTTTTCCTCTATAAATAGAATTAAACTTTTTAGAGGAAAAAATAGAGGAATACATTGGAGTAAAAATAGAGAAAATTTACCTCTATTATAGAGATAGAGCTAAAAATAAGGAAATACATTGGAGATGGTCTCATAAAGCACTAGAGAGTAGAGAGAATGTCTACCAACACAAAAGAGAGAAATAATAAGCCACCTGAGCTAGTAGACAAAAATAAACTATAAATTCACAATAAATGAAAAAGTGGTTAAAATTTTGATGTTGGCAAATTATAGTGATGTGTTCGGTTCTCTTAGATCTATGGCTAAATAAATAAATGACCCTCGAAACAAGTCCTTAAAAATAGCGACATTGCAAATATCGAGGTATGTAACGTAAGAGTTCTTTAAGGGAAAAAGAAGGTAACGTAAGGATTGCATTTATTGCGATAAATATGATTCCACGAACATCTGTCAACATATTTAACTCTTGCGTTACACATGAATATTAAAATATAAATATCCTTTCTTTTTTTTTTTTTTTTTTGGACAAAATAATATCCTTTCTATATAACGTTTTCTTGATCCAAATTTACTTTATTTGCGTTGTAAATCGATTTATCAATTAAAACAAGAACGTAAATCCAAACAAAAAGTAATACTCCTTCTATTTTATATTATAATTAAGATATTTTGAAAAAAAAAATCATAATATAAGATGTTTTTAATTTTATGTGAATTATAAACTAATTTAATATTTATAATTATTTATATTATATGTTTTTTATGATTAATTGAATTTTTTTAAATTGAATATTTTGAAACAGATAAATATTATATCTTTGCAATGAGATAATAATATAATTCTAGTTCTATTGTTTTAAGAAATTATGTTAGACAAAGAATTCTCAAAATTCATTAAAACCTATGAATATATTTAATTAGTATTTTCATACACTATTAATTATATATTTAATGATAGTTATAAATATATATATATATATATATATATATATATATATATATATATATATATATCGGACAAACTAATTAGAACCCGATGGTCCGACACTCAAATACTCAATTAGTCAATTTGGTTCAACAAAATGTGTGTTTTATAAAAATCTTTTAAGTTTACTGCCCACAACACACAAACCCCAAACCAAATTACATGTCTTCGTTATTTTCTTTGAAAGAATTTGTGAAATAAAAAATCTAAATTTAAATGGTATATCATGAAATAATATGCTATTTTCGTAATATCTTATGGGTGAGTTAAATATCTATGCCCAGAAGAATGAAAAATAAAGAATCTAACCATGAAGATTTGTTATTTAGTTCTCTTTCATCTGACTTCCATTAATACCAAAAATACCCCTTGTCACATATGCGCGTTAACAAGAAAACTATCAAAATAAAAATGTTTAGATACAATAGTAGAAAATGAGTTTTAGCGGTAACAAGCTTAGATAGTTAATTATTTGATTAGTACGCTATATAATATTTTATGTCGATATAACTTATAACAAGATGTTTTTTTAAAACATTAGCAAGGTAAACGCACTATTCGTCTTATGTCGAAAACATGTTTCTTGTGTCAAATTATTTATTATATAATTAATATCAACTAACTCATACATTTACATGTTTATTTACTTTGATAATTTAATTATTACCGTCAACTTATACATTAATAAATTAGTTATCACCCTAACATATCTTTTAAAGTGATAAATTGTATGCTACATCATAGATAACTATATACATAACAAATTATTTATATTTTTATCATGTTAACAACGAATTTTGTTTTAATTTTACTCGGTAACTAATAGATTAGCAAT